CCTGACAAAGTTGGCTTTTCAAGAGTGAGAACACTAGCTCAATTGGATTAAAGTCTGGTGAGTAAGGAGGCAGAAACTCAAGCTTCACACTCCTGATTATTTGTGAGCAGGTTATATGGACCTATTTCTCTTAAAATACATACCTCTCTTTAATAATTCTACAGACTTCTAGTACTTTGTGTATAGCACAATTATCTATTACAATAACAGATCTTAGACTAGGAAACAGCTGACAATGATCCAACAGGCTCTTAATAAATTTGGTAAAGTGTTCAGTATTAAAAGACCCCTTAATGATAGTACAGTCAACAATCCTATCAATCACAATACCAGGCAAAACAGAGTATCTTTATTTGGATAGTGAGTAATTATTCTCTATATACAGATTTTCAGATTTCTCACCTCTTTCCTCTTATGAAGAATACCTTACAGACTGTATGTAGACCCTCTAATACTCATACTTTATCTTGTATATAAGCTTGCTAATTACAAGTACTTTCATTAACAAATATGAGCTGATCTGCCTTGTAATTCAGAGTCATATACACCTTGAATTCTGCTCACAATTGTTCATTTCTCTCCTGTACCTGTTTACTTATCTATACTGTATCAGTTAAATAGATATTAAAGTAAGTAAATCATATTTACTAACCTTCTTTAATGTGAAACCTACCCTCCTCAACATTCTCCAGATTGTTAACTCTGAACACTTGATCCTACATTGTTGCTCTATGATATCCTTTAGCTTGTCAAGGTAAGTATCATTCCAAAACTCTAAGGCACTCAGGAGGAGTTATAAGATTCAATTTACATGTTACTTAATGCTAACAAGTATAATGTGTGATTTTTTTGGTTTTACCCTTGTGTCATTGTAATCAAGTGCTTGTGACTGTCCTCTAATTGATTTTGTCTTTGTAACACTGCCTCCTTCTGACTATGTTCTCAAAATATGATAGACAGTCAATAATAGTATGTTCAAATAAAACAATATTTGAGTAACTAGTATGTTACAAATATGATACATTCAAACTATAGTAGTATGTATATCCTATAGTACTGCCATTCCTATAATAGGAATTAGACAGTGTATACCTGAGATGAGTATTTACAATACACCTTCTAATACTTTAGGAAAAATACTAATTCAAGCTTTGATAAACAAGCTAGCAATGTAGGGTAGTAAGGGGAGGAGGGTCAAAACAAACTGAACAAACAGTTACACAACCCTATGTGAATGTTAGAGTTGCTGAGCACTCAGATCAGTCTGATCAAGGTACTTTTGGTAATTCTACTGACTTTTCAGAAAACAGGCTTTAGTACCATTCTACAAACATGACATTGAGCTCTCAAAGCCTGACTACACCCTATACCCTAGTGTGTTTCCTTCCATCATACTGCCTGAATCCACTAGCCTTGAATTGTCTACAGAAAAACTGACACATAGGAAGATACCTTTAATAAAAGTACACAAAGCTGCTCAAGTAAAGGAAAGCAAGCTAATAGGCTCTGTACAAGTAAAACGTCTGCCTGAACACTCTCAAAAGCTTACAAACACTATGCTTGACAGTCAGTCAGATTCTGTGCCTCCTGAAAGTATCCCTACAGTATGTATTCATTCTAACTACTCTATTTTTTGCATATCTTACTTTATTTATAGATCAAGTATAAAATGTCAGACATACTGAAAGAAGGTCAAGCCAACAAACTAAAGGCTAGTGTCAAGCATGGCCCTGGACAACCCTGTAAAGTTGCTACAGACTCAGCAAATATACAGCCTACAGTAAACAACATTACTCCTAGTATTCAGGTAAGTTTTCCTCATTCTATTATGTTGTTACTATACTAATTTATAATAAGTCTGTTAAGATTGTCAATAAAGTTGTTGATCTACCTGATGATAGTGTTGATCTCTATACTGAAGAACTGTCAGAGCTTGAATTGACTCATACAGCTTCATTAGTAGTAATGGGTAGTAATGATGATGAAGCCAGAGAAGATGATAGGGAAGAGTTTGACTTGGATAAAGTCTTGGATGATAAAGAGTTTGACATTACTAGTATGTATTTGTATCCACTACTTGTTATTACTAGCTAATTGATAACTGTATCAGCTGTTTGTAAATCTGGCCAGGCTGTATCATTAGTTACTCAGACTCAAAGACTGAGTCAGTCTTCTCAAGACACAAAAATTGTTATTCAGGTCTCTGATGGTCATACAGTACACAACCTGACCATATACAAGTCCTGAAGGTTTTGTGTTCTTCTACATCAAACAGAGGATATTATGAAAACACCTAGGAGTCATATTTCTCTTGTGTACAAAGCCCTATAGTGTAAACAAACTGGTCTGAAAATGGTTCCACATTATCTGGAAAATGACAACAATTATGCAAAACTGTTCTCTCAATACAAAGAATACATGGATGCACAGTAGAAGAAGAAGAAGGGGGGTACTGTATCATGTCCAATCATCCTTACTAACATTAATGATAAATTTCAAGTAGTCTTTTCTTTATTTCTTTAAAAACTATTTACTGATAATGAACAAGCAGGCTTTAAAGGCTACAAGTTGTAAGACTAATGAAACTAAAGCATCCAACTCTTGGTCAAACTCAAACAATGTAAAGACATCTATACTGTCTATTATTACTGAAAAGCTTCAGGAGATAGAGGCAAACTTCTATTGTCAAAAGTACAGTCAGACATGCTACAAGACATACTATGGTGAACACAAATTGTATACAAACAATCACTTGACAACTCACACACAACTTCTTGTGAGTCACTAAATACTGAACTGTTTTTAAAGCTAATAATTGTGAAGAGTAACAGTGTTAAAGGTGTTACAGCCAAAGATGTGCCTGAGCAACTCAAGATTATGGACTATATCAAACCATCCAAGGCTCAAGAAAAGGCTGTAGGTGATAACATGGGTGATCTTACAGATGTTGAGAGTAGTATTAGTGTAACAATTCAGGATAGTCTCTCTCAACCTGTTATACTGTCATCTGAAGGAATACTCTATCAGAAGGTTCAGGACTAGCTCTACACATGTACAACTCATCAGGATTGTGGTCAGGATGGTCATAACTATATGGTACTAGCTAATGTATTTGAGCAGAATGAGATTATGTGTCTGGACAATATTACCTTTCTTACTACAAAGGATATTATTGACCTAGCTCATGATTGTAGGGTTACTGTCTTGCAAGGTCTTGCTAATCAAATCATTAGATATTCAAATGAAGATATTAAAGATCATAAGGGGAAAGGAAAGGAGTAAAGAGACTGTACAATCCTTGTAAGCAACTCTTCCACTTCTACTTTTAATAATGTATTGATTCTTACATTTCTATACTAAAGGTACAGTCTATTAGTAAATGATTAGAAATAGATTTGCTTTCTTGTGTCCTGAATGTTTGAATGCCTATAACTTCTTGGAATGAATAACATTTGACTATGTGCAATTTCAGAATGTGATAATACAAATAATAACATATAAGTCTAAGACTTGTCTTATATAAATGTAAATAATTAAAATAACCAGCCCACCAATCCTAATAATATTATAATAAGAGATCCCAAATATAATAACAATAATTTTAAGACTCTGTACATAATTTATAACAGTTAATAGTATGTACTGTAGAATTATTATGTCTGAAATAATTGTTATTCTTACTGTTCCATTCTCAAACTTGTAAAATATTAGTTCAAATAGCCCACCAATTCTTATAATATAATAGTATAACATTCTACAAGTAATAATAGTAATTTACAGTACTTAATTATAATTTTTGGTGACCAATTGCAAATGCTACAGCTTTTACATGTTTAGAAAAGGTATTATGAGAATCATCAAAAAAGTACAGTTCTCCTTATATAATTCCAAGTATTTATTTTATCTCTATTTTTTTTACAGATATATACTATAACAGTAAAAATATAATTTTTAAATACTTTACATACATATAAAATAACACTTGTAAGGAGTAATCTACAAATCTTTTGAGTTTTAGTTAAAGTGAACATCTTGCAACACAAATCATGTGATATATTGCCATTCTAAGAAATTATGCAAGTAGCAGTAACTCACAACACTCAACTGTCTTATTTCTGTGTGTAAAGTTTAAACAGCACTACAATACATTTTCTTAGCTTAGTAATATCAAGCATTTGTTTTGAAAGATGATAGTGTACTTTTATGAGCTATTTTAATGTAAAGTATCTTGCTATATTTGGCACAGCGTATACGCCGTATACGCCGTATACGGAAGTAGCGTATCGTATATGGGTCCTGCTGACCCAGTTTACGCCCGTAATTATACGCGCGCATGCGTATACGTGGGAAATTTTACGCGCGTAAGCGTATACGCTACGCGCGGAGCACTATGAGCAAGGCAGTCCGGAGTAATTCACAGGCACATTCTTTAGCCTGATACTCAGGTCCTGTTTTCGTTAATAAAATCTTCCTGGATACGTGCAGAGGGTGCCAAGCACTTGTGAAAGCATTAGCTGTTATGAAGTCAGGGACTTTGTACTGACTGCTAAAATAATCTTCCCTGCAGTGCTCTCGCAGTCATCAGTGGCTTTCCTGAATTAGAATGACAGCATTGCAACCAACTAGCATACCAAGTAAAGCTTGAACAGAGCATCCTGGATTTTTGTACTACAAAGAACACACACAGTATTCTACATCACTTAGACACACTAATACATAGTATAATAGTTTTTCCATAGTTTGGAAACACTGCTTCAGTATAGATTTGTACCTGATAAGTCACTCCTGAAGTTAAGAGATATGTATACAGTTATTTGAATACACTGAAACCAATTAATTCTTCCTAATATAAATATTGGGTAAGGTTTGAAGTGAATGAAACAATCACCATACTGGGTAATACCAGCCACTTCTGGTGTCTCGGACTTGACACTTGACATATACGGCTATAAGACATTCTACATCTAACCTTCACTCGCCCACATACTTTTAAACGTGAAATGTCGCCCAAAACTCAATTCAATCTAGGTCTTCCTTTAGAGCTATGGCTAGACATTCTTAGACTAGCAATAAGAACATCGGATTGGAAACCGTACATGTTCTTTCCACCTCACGAGGATTTTGCTTTCGTCGAAGGGTTCAAGAACGCATCGACGGAATGTCGTAAACTTGTCAAAACAGCAGAGAATAGTCTATGTGGGAGATCTGTTGTTACATCTTTTTCCGATGATGGTTTAAAGCCCGATTTTCCAGCTGGGTCAGTCAGGTATGATTTTTTTTAGGATAACTACTGTATGAATGCCTAAACGGACATTTGTCTGTACAACGCTTCTTTCCGTTAGACACATGGTCATTAATGATGAAATGCGGCCGTCTAGTAAAAGTAACCATACTATATGGGGACGGCAGCTCAATACCCTTGAATCTGTCTCAACTATCTTTGGCAGCCGCTTTGTAACATGCCTTGTCTGGGAGACTCCACTGGGACCTGTACAAAGCCTCCGAAGGCTTGATCTTTTCTGCTGTTTCCCTTATTTTTTCAACCCCGACCTTGCCGTCACGCTCAACTTTCCTAACCTCGTCGAGTTACGTTTGGCACGCTTTAAACCAACGGAATTTTGTGGAGATGTACTATTCACGAAATGTTTCTTATTGAATAACGAAGTCGAAGAGGTAAGCATACGTCTTCGATATTGCGTAGACGTTTGTTGACAGGCTTTTGGATCTTGTTTAATTCTAATGGGTTTGACAAAGGATATGGCCGATCGCATTGCTGCATTTTCTGCATTAAAAGGCACCCTGATCGAATTGCCGCACCTTCGGCTTCTTTCACTGCACGTATCGCTTACTTACAGTGAAAAAGTGGATGCAGCCAGGGAATATCATGATAAGAAGCATAGAGGCCACGGCTCATTACTCAGATATTTACGTTGCAAGGACTGTCCACTTGAGCAGAATGACGAAGCTGCAAGGTTGAAGGAAAGAATAGCGACAAGGGACCTGGCAGAGGCATTGCCCAAGCTCGAATGTGTTCGGTGGACAGATGCATGGAGGAGAAAATATTTTGATGAAGTGGGACAGAGAGAGTATGAGGTTAGTAGGAAAGGCAATGGCGAACTTGGTATTGTTGACCACGGTGTTATTGATGAGCACTGGCCTTGTGATAAGTATTGTTTCTTATAATTTCTGTAAAAGTAGGAATCAAGGTATATTCATGGGCAGATACAGTATGTCCTTGCTCACCACTGTCCGTCTGCCTCTCATGCTTCTCGAGTATATGCAAGTCGTACCACATTGTAGTAGGGTCACAGGTTTAGACAGGCATAGGGAGATAGAATAAGCAAAGTGGTATACTAAACGAACTGGTACAGAATTCAATAATTGGAATAATTGGAAGTAGGCTCATAAGGGGTACGGTACGAGAGATCAACGACAAAAGGTCATAGACTCGTGAAGAAACATAGAAAAAAAGGGGAAATGAAGAGGATAAATAAGGAACTTGGGATTAAGGGTGGACAAATCCAATCAGCAACGCCCAATTCCAACAGATTAGATATCAGCACAGGCACTTGGTGTCAGCATAAACAAAGTCAGTCAGTCAGCTCTGGCTCAGATTTCACTGCGCCTTCTCTTTCTTTGCCCTTTTCCCCGCCCTCTGCTCCATTCCCCTCTCCGCCATCGCAACAAACCCAGCAACGCGCAGGGACATATCCACACACATCACTAGCTGAATCACAAAGAACGGCAAGTAACTCGCGAGCAGGTTGATCCTCTGTTCTGGTGTAATTGTCAACTCAGGCGCTCCAAGTTCGGACAGTTGACTGAGAACATTGGAAGGATCGAGTAAGACAGGCGGGACGGGTGTTGAGGAGATGGGTGTACGGAGGAGGGTGGAGATGCAGGGGAGTGTGCTCGTTGTTGCTGAGGCAGAGTAGATTAGGAAGAGTGGGTAGGTGACGAAAGAGTCTATATGAATGTATGTGTACTGTTAGGAATACTGAAAACTGTCTTGTATGATTCACACGACACATACCCGTCCAGAGTGCATAAAGTCCAATAAAGAACACAGGAAGCTGGAAGACACTGAGAAGCAGTAATAAGGATATTCAGCATATAGCATTCAAGCTGCATAGTGGAAACACTAACGCTTCAAGAACCATAAAGCTCTTCAACCACACCCACAACGCAGGCGGGCCATTCAAGTCAAATACACCCGCAATAATCGGATCCGCATACTGTTGAAGATACCACTTTGGCAGCTCCGCGATCGCCTTTGGAACAAATTCAGCAGGATAAAGCACTTGAAGGTCAATCAGGATTGTCGCAGGTATGTGTATCTGCATATCCAATAATCCATTATACAATCATCATCGTGAAGCAAAGAACAACGCGAAATGTAAGTCAGCTCAACCGACATCGATGCATAGTAGGCTTATTGTTACTCACGAGGAAGAATATGAAATAGATGATGTCCATTGGACGAGATTTGAGTGGCAAGCGGACGCGCGACATGATGGTTGAATGTTGAGATCAAGATGAGGATACGCGACGCGACAAGAGACGCCCAAAACCACGCGTTTCCCTGACGCGTCATCCACGTGATGTAGATGACAAATAATAGTCAATACATGCATGTAAATCGTGTTTTTAGTGGAGTAGACAAGGATGAAAAAGACAAAGTATATACTGCTACAAACCAAGTAAAACACCTGACACTACAGTCTGGCATGTAACGGGCCTTGAGAAAGGAGCAAGAAGGAAATCCATGAACTGAGTTATAAGAGGACAAGAAAATACAATTTTCGATCAAAGCATCCATTTTCAGCTTTACAATTCTAATGATGCTCTACTTAAGTGAAGCAAGCAGAACAAAACAACGTCCTCTATATACTTTTAACACTTACATTACTTGTGAACAAACAGAGACCTGCTGTAGCGGCAAAGAGACACTATTACACAACACACAACACGTAAGACCACAAAGGATTGCAGGGCAGGGAGAATTCAGAGCAACTATGCGAAGAGGACGGAGAGACTGTAATTGGAAGACCAGATGACGATGCGGATGCGATCAGATGATTGACTGAGGAGGAACGATGCTACGACAATGATTGAACCGAAGACGAAATGCGGGTAAAGACGACCAGACAGAGAAAAAAGCATGAGGGTGCCTTGTGTTATCGAAGGCTACTACTATCGGTTTGAGATCGCTCCACCATCAACACCCACACTTTCACCTCCCAAATCTCGAAACAGTCCGGATAACACGCTTTCAGCCCTAGGAGTATTCTCGATCTCGCCTTCACCTCCATGAGTCTGGATCTTCAGAGCTCCCATCTTGTCTACGAGGATGGCATTCGCGACACGCTCTCCTCGGGCACCGTCTCTTTCTATCGTTTCTACTTGCTCTACTGCTCCCTCTTGACCAGCTACTTGGGACGAAGGCTTTTGTTGACTCTGAGGATTTTTCTTTGCGCCTCCCTTCGGGTTAAACAGCTCTGCACTGCCCTTCCGAGGAGGTCGTTCAAATCCGCGTTCATCATCCTCTAGCCTGTTAGCACCTGTATGATTAAACAGTGCCGTACCGTACGTAATGCCCTGGGGATGGTTAGAGTGTCCCGGGTTCGGAGAAAGGACTGTACGTGCAGTAGAGTTCACATTAGACCATACTCCACCAGCAGGGGGGCGTTTGTCATGCGACGGACTGGCAATTGACGAGAGTGGAGGAAAATCGTTCGGCTGAAGATGAATCGGCGGCCTTTGTTGAGGAGGTGGCTGATGGTGACTAGGTAGGGGTTGACCAGGCGGGCGTGCAGGCGACATCGTGCGAGAGTTATTGCTGTCCCGTCTGTGACGCGTTGTGGGATGCAAGGTCGGCTGTGCTTTCAATCCAGCTGCCCAATCAGGTCTCGGAGGCAAGGGATGCTTTGGAGGGGTTGACAAATAAGTTCGCCGAGACGAGGACGAGCTGGTAGACGATGACTAGTAAGCGACCAATGATTGGAGAAGAGAGAAGTGGGAGTCAGAGAAATTTCAATGTCAGCGGATCCGATAAAAGCACTTTCTCATAAAGGTGACTCACCGCAACGGAAGCCGTTTCATCTGCTGGCGTCCTATGCCCGCCACTGCTAGAAGACGCCGATGTTCGCCGCATTGCCTGACTTAAACGTGGGCCAACAATCTCTCCACCCCCTGGGCTGCTGTGTACACCTGGACCCGGGCTAGACGCACTTGAATGCATTCCTAACCCTGGACCGTAACTCCACGCCCCACGAGCAGGAGGAGCTCCGCGTCTAATTCCATGATTACCATTTATATGATTATGATGGCCATTGCTGCTCCCGCTGCTATTCGTGTGTCGAGAAAGAGTCGGCGATGGGCTCCCTTTCCCGCTAGATACACCACTGGAAGTTCCCCGCTCAGATCCACTACCGTTCGTAGGCGGAAGGTCAATTGGATAAAGAGGCTGTGAGTGCGGATGTACGATGGGTGGTTGAGGTGGTTGAGATTGAGGGGGAGGGAAATAGGCTGCATATCCTGCGTACGGCACAGGACCGGGCGGAGGCATGTATGCTGGATATGGATAGGCCATCGGCGATACACCTGGAATGGGCGGGTGATGAACATGGTTCGGTCCAGTGCCGGGAGCTGAGTGATGTTCAGAGGGTGGTTGCTGGTGCTGATAAGCAGGATGAGGAATCCATCCATAAGCGCTTGGACCCACATGCGGAGCACTCATGGAATGATGAGGATACGCATCAGATGGACCCGATACCGGACTGGCAGGATCCGAGTTAGGGTGAGGTTGCTGGGGAGGAAGGCCGCCATAGGGAAATTGTGGGTAATACTGGTACTGCGCAATATACGGAGGTCCTACTGCTGGCACTGGTCCCGGGTTCTGAGGCGGCTGAGGAGGAAAGTACATTCCCATCGGTGCGGCCATGTAGGGTCCCGTAGGTGCCATGTAACCAGGCTGCTCTTGGGCTTGTGGCTGACCACCAGATGGATCATATAGCGAGGGATACGTGAAAGAAGGAGATGTCGTCCCAGAATCACGTCGGCTTTCGGACCCTTGAGGGTTGAATGAAGGAAATGATCGGGTCGATTCAGCAGAGTTCATTCCCAACTCGCCTCCCCTTCGACGGTCCGTGACAGGTACAGACCATTCGCTTTCTGTGGGTGCAGTGCTCGCATTATCATCTATATCGCTCACGCTGCTGCAACCAGCACCGCCACTGTGCGAGCCTGAGCCAGAGGCAGAAGCAAGGCTGAACGTCGATGAAGAGGCACTTGTGTCGCGCTCTTTAGCTTTCTCTTTCTCCTCAAAGTCCTTAAAAATACGAGTGCGCGCTTTTTCGTACGCAGCTTCACGTTCTGCAATCGTCATATGTTTCTTGCTGGTCGTGCTTCTGCTCCCCATGCTCCCAGTCTCTGAAGGGCCAGGGTCGGAGAGCTCTCCATCTTCTCCCGCAATAGAGCCAGGACGTGAGGCAGAGGATTTCTGACGCCTACGATCTAGCTCAGTTCGACGCATGATTTTGAAAGCCGGAAGCTGTGTCTGCTCAGCAGGAACAAGTTCGGATATGCGTCTGACAGGTCTGTTACAAGATTAATTATTATCAGTCAAACTCCCCCAGATGTCGATCGAGACTCACATTCTACTTTCAACCGTAATGGAAACAGACATGTCTCGAATGCCGGATTTGTCGCGTGGAACAGGATCAGTCTCTGGCGTGAGTCTATAATATTGTGCGCAGCGATGGACCAGAAGTCTTTGGTATTGATTTTCCGGAGTGAGGTTGATTTTGGACCTCGAACTATGTTAAAAAGGTAAATGTTAGTCCATGATGATAACGATGCGAGACATTAATTTTATATGGCAGACGACTATCGCGCGGCACAAGGTGAATGCTATCACTTAACATCACGCGACAAGACCAGGTACGACTAGGCTTGTCTGTGGCTGTGGCTACGGAAATCCAGCAGAAGTGAAACGAATATCTCTCGCATAGCAGATACTAGGTGCAGAGCTAGAAGAGCTACTGTGCATCATTTATATTCCAAATCCCAAGTGTCATGGCGCGGGCGCCTAATTCCTACCGCCTAAGAAGGCCACGCGAAAAACTGACGCTACTCACTTCCTTTCTCTAATCAAGCCTTCCATCTGTTCACCCATTTTAAGCACGAAAAGTCGATCTTTGCTCTTGAGTGCTTCAAGGATTTGCGTGTCGACATCCGGGGTGGAGGCCCCACTACCATCCGCACTGCCCTCTGCCTGTGGCATCGCGTCGCTGGAGCACCTCCGGAGTGACGATTGCGAGGAGGAAGAAAATGGAGGGGCGACATCCACAAGCCTGTCTGTCGAGCCATTTGCGGTGACCCGGAAGCTCGAGGAAGAGCTGGCACGGGACGAGCTTGGGACCGACATCGTTGTGCTGACGAAGGCAATAGGGTCAGGAGAGGAACAGACGGTGGCTTCTTCAACTGTCATTAGATAATAACACAGAAATAAAGGTCAGCTGCACTATCTCTAGGCAGAATGGCAGCGGTGGAAACCGCTGAGCGACACGGAATACGTACCCCGCGACATTGGTGGTGTGGTGTAAGGTGGGTGTCGTCTCGATCAGAGGAAGCGGAGAAGGAAATGAGTTTTTCACGGTGAGAAAGTGGTGTGTATGATGAGTCGTGTCCCGTCTATGTGAAAGGAGAGGCACTATGGCGACATGCTTTGGGGTTCAGACGACAGTCGAGGAGGAAGGAAGGAAAGAGAGTGCACCATGGCTGCCAGTAACACAGCTACGCTAAACGGCACTTGCCGAATTGACTTCCCCACACTGTACACACAATCAGATTATCTAACCATGCATCTCTTCGCCTTCGACAAGACAAGACTACTGCGCGAATGTTTTATAGATATATATATACTACAGATGGGATAAACATGTCATACAACGGATGGAACAGAGAAAATGGTAAATGACCACAGTCTATCACTGCGCTTGCACAGTCTTGCAGCTTGGCCCTGGTTGTCCATCCAATCTAAATACGTATTCTACTAATGAATCACTACTGCCCAGGAGACTGAAACACTTGGTATATGTTGAAGGTCAGGCTGTGATGAGTAATTAGTACATGCATTCCGCAAGTCGTACGATGTCACCCACCAGAAGACAAAGATGAATCCTCCATAGATAGCAAGTGCCAGCGAAGCCCGATTCAGTATACGGCTGATGCTAGGATCGTCCTTGGAAAGCTGTAATCAACATTAGTCTTTTCAAACTCGGAAAAAAAAGGGAAATCCAGTAAATGCGTACCTTCCAGAAAAACAACCCGGGCAAGATGAAAGATATGGTTGTGGACCCAGTAGACCCGACGAATGATAGCACTAGTAGGGAACAGGCCAATCAGACCAAGATAAACTGTAACATACGAAGCGCCACTCACCAAGTTGCAGGTCATCGACAAAGAAGGCAATCGTGAAACCCGAAGCAATGATGGCGGTAGTCAGCACGGCATGCTTCATTGGGCTTATTTCATGTGGCACATGGTCTAAATCAAAAACGTCGCTTTCATCATCCTCAACGATAGGCTTGTGGTGAATGAGTGCGTCGCTATCGTGGAAGACTTTGTCTAAGCAATTACGGCAAGGGTGCACTTGCAGCGGGTATGAAAACAGGACAAGAATAACTATGGCGAGTTGTCCGATAGCAATAAAGAGCGATGTCGACGGGTACATTGCAATGATGTTCGCTCCAACCTACATCCTACAATGAGATATTATTCATGCGGATAAATTTGCTACTTGCCTTTGAGCCGAAAGTTAGATACCCGAAGACTGCGATGACTTCATAAGTGATTGTAGCTGAACCAATAGCGCTCCCGATGACTATGTTCATCCGTCTCTGGTTATTTGACTTAAGCTCATTGTACAGCGGAAAGAGCTGACAAAACATAAGATATCACTACGTCCGAAAAAGTAAAAGGTACTCACATTCTGTGCGCAGGTGAATGCAAACACTTGCACAGGGAACGTCGAAATGAAGGTGGGTGTAAAATGTACGAGGTGTACCTCTCCACGAGCCGGAGTTCCGCTCAGAGGATTGAAGTAACAAACGATAACAATTAGCACAAGGTATGCTGAAGGTTATTGGGTTACTAAGCAAATAAAGCGTATATTTATAGATGAATTCTCACCAACAGAGAACAAAGCAATATAGCTCGTGTGCCGGAGGCTATCCAGCTTTCTAAGGAAGCAAAGTGGTATGAGGATAACCATAAAGAGAGAAATCCAGGCTTGGCCGGAGACAGCCCAAGCAGGAGGCTCCGTGTCCGGAGATGTAAGATCGTGGTATAAGGACAACACAACATTAGGCATTAATGACTTGATGATAATCAGATAGCTAAGCCAATTCGTGAGTACGTACAGTCGCACGACGAACTCGAGAAGGAACAAACCTGACGGAGACCCCGAAGCACTTCGTGGCAATCGCAGCGTCAAAGAAGACAGCTGCGTTGGGGAATGTCAGCTTCGAGACTGCGAAGAAACTTGAGCTGCGATGCGCAGTGTACTGTGCACAACGAGAAAGCAGGTAGAGCCCAAATGAAGCAATGCAGCCGCACAGAACGCAGCTTATCATACCAGGGATGATACCCGCGGAAGCCATTGCCTATTTCACGGAGTTTAACAGTCATTCAAACTTGCTTTGCAAAGTAATATAGACTATACTCACCAAAGGGAATGTGAGCATCCCTTGAGAAAGAGAGTATTTCAGTAAATAGCCTATTCCGCAGAGTTGTAGCCTAAACGCACCGCTTCCAATGATGGTGTTTGCAAGGTTGCTCACACTGCTGATCAGGCTCCCCGCACCTTCTCGTTTAGCAATCACTGCCTTCGGCGTCGCATCTGCACCCAACAGGGCGCTGCTCTCCCCGCCATGTAGTTCGTCTGGAGGAAGTTCGCTTGCACCTCCGTGGTCCACGGCAACGCCGTAGGTCTGCACCATTTCGTACGCTTCTTCGGTGTCAATATTGGAAAACTTCTATGACAGGGAGTAACAACGACTGCTGGTAGATAGCATTAAAGTCTTGGCAATGGAAGGTGAAATGCCTATCTCAAGGAGCAAAGTGAGGCAGGCGGCACGCAGAGTCACGGAGGCAAGGTGCGTGCGAGAGCCGGTTAAATATGGCAATTATCCATTTCCGAGCCGTGAAAAACTCCACCTTGTCAGCAGCGGAATCTGGAGGTTCATTCCTTGCTACAATGCTAGGGTCACCCGATAACACTTCAAAGAAACGACAAGACATTCGTGAATGCTCTACAATCACGGCGTTAAAGGATATTCAGTAACAAAAAATACAACGGAATGAACTGTAGCTATGTATCTAGGATTTCTGACGGACGAAGACATTCTACTAAAGATATTCGTAAAAGCGGCAAAACAAATACTGCAAGAGACAAGCCGGACCAGCAAGCCAAAATCGTAAGTTCCATCACAAAGGCTCAAACATTCTAGTAGGAAAAAACGCATGTGCACCTTATATCTAGGGATATTCTATTGCTAGTTAAAGAAACCTTTCTGAAAACACGTTGTAAGAAAGTGGCTTATAGTATAAAAAGGCTGAAAATAGAAGGGCCAAGAAGCCTTTTGAGTCAAACATTGCTGCACATCCAGGTGTACTGTCTGCCTGGATTGGCTATTGGCTTCTTATTGAATTTAAATAAGTTGATATGTACTTACATACAAAATGTATCCAGGATAAAGCACGATACAACTCTATAAAGCATGGTAATTGGTGATAGAGAGCTGCACCTTAAAAGAAGTTATATTGGATTCAATCAGGGCTTACAATCGGATTAAATAAGAATTACCTCTGAAATTCGGGTTCTTGTAGAGTATCTCCTCCTCTGTGTCCTGTCTTTCCTCCTGGCTCCTTAGGAAGAAGTTTGATCCCAGATTCCTTTTCCTCTTTAAACTTACAGTCTCTAACTTCATCCTATATGTATATTGAAACACCTACTGAAAGAATACTATATATTTAAACGTACTAGTTTTACTGAAGTTTCCCTGGACTCGCACTTGCAGGTCGGGCTTTTCCCATTCAACAGATCAAATATTTCTGTTTGCATTTTACCTGAATGCCCTAGTTATCATCTGTTTGTAATTTATAAGAGGGAACGAACTTTACCAAGAGCCACTTGAGAGCCTTGGTTTGATGTTGCAAGGCTTTTTAACGATTTGTGTATTGACTTATTCCCATCCTGGACCATCTCCCTCAGACTCTGTAAGTCAACTCGCAGTTGTACAGTCGACTTGGTCTAATGAATAGAGTCCATGAAATATTCGAGTAAGTAAGCAGAATTGATTGGGCTCACAGTCAACATCTTTATTGCATCGTCGAATCGAGCTCCGTAGTCCAAGATAGCTTCATAATCAGAGCTGGAAGTGAGAAATCGAGAGAGTTTGCATCCTTTAGCACGTTTATCGACAAACTCATGAATATCATTCAGGACTCTATCATATCGCTGTTAGCTTCTATTCGAATACAAAGAAGACGACAGAGTCGTGTACTTTTCGACTTGCTTAAAATCTTCTTCCAGACCTGGTGGATTCATACCATCCGAATTTTCTAATACACTGTGTATCATTTGGAACACATGAGCGATTTTGCGACATAGTTCCTTTTTGAAGGCATTCCAAGTTCGAATTTTCTGGTAAGCACCGGGGCCGGAAAAGGTTTCTCAGTGGGGAGTCCAGAGGTCATCAATGACACGTACCTGAATTCTATCTACTAAAGCTATCCCAATCCCTAGCAGAGCGTCCAATTGCGTTCCAAGTGCAGGTACCAACCGCACAAACGGTTGGAGAGTCTCTATGCACCCTCTAGCGACATTAAGGGTTTTTTCTGGAAGAACAATTTTTGGTCTAATAGCCTTCTTTAACCCTTTGAGACGAAAGAACTTTGAGATTTTCTTCTTGCACATATCTAGTTGGAGTCTCAGAAGTAAGTGGGATCTCAATGTTCAGTGGCAGTCTGTATTGTTTTATATGCCCTTTGTTGCAGGCGAGTCTCTTAATTGTGTGCTTGATAAGAATAGGGGAGGCGACAGCCGTTAAAGTATAACTAGATTGATCACACCAGAAACGTGAATGGTGGGAAGATTGTAGGTGGATCAGATTCACAGGTACTGTAACAGGCTGAGGACATGGAGGTACAGTCCTGCATATCCACAAGGCTGCAATTGGCAAGTAATGGGATCATCAGAGCTCATCAGATCATCATTTATTAGACTAAGGTGATCCAACCTTCAAAGTAGCAGGTGAAGGCGAAAGTCATCCGAGTTGGTATTTAATAGGCTGAGGAGGCGAATGCCAAAAGAGGAAACTGTTGCAGTAATGGAAGGAAGGCCATCTTTTGTGCTCAGTACCTGCCTGATAGGCAAATTTGATTCGGATACAGGCGCTCAATGTTTGCCTCTTTCGAACTCAAAATGAAGTGGTACAATGTAGCAGCCGCGTATATTGCTTTTATAAGTTCAGGTTGCATCACGTGTCATGCATCAAATCCATATCTCAATTGGGAGATACCAAACACAACTCTTCATCGATCCAGTGCTGACAACATCAATATTACTTCTGCCATTAGCTGCTGCAGTTCTCATTGTTTTGAAACTCCTGATAGTAGGATGGCGAGATATACCAGGAGAACAAATATGCATATTTCATTCTTTTCATGATAAACTTTCGAGTGGTCAAGCGGCTGACTTGGTGGCACTACCAGCCTCCTGTATCGCTTTTATAGTAGAGTGAGTATCTCCAATCGCTTTATGCTCCCCCTTCCACCAGTCGTTGCACATTATTCTATGACTCACACTCCTTTATATGTCTTGCAATAGCTCTCTTCCACCACCGATCCGTGACGCATCCGGAAAAACGTACATTGCCATCCCTGCCCCTCCTTTCATCTTCGCGCAGAATGTCCCGACTCAATCTCATGGCTTGAACGATATACAAGGATATATTTATGTTGAATGCACTTCCTCCACCCCGTATGGCTCCGCTCAGAGAATATTTGCCGGAGAACATGGCGAAGTAACGGAGGTCAAGCCGTCCGTTAGCACTTGGATGGTATACCTGTTTTTCTTGAGATCCATTCTTGTTTATTTCTGACGACTTGAACAGACGACAAATCTACCTGCTGAGCCACCACCAGGTCATATTCCGTGGACCGGAGAAGTCCCGTCTAGTGATTCGTCACTCTCGATTCCCTCTTCAACGAACAACCGCGCAGATCTGCTGAGTGGAAGCTCGGTACGCACGAGTTCGTCGGGCAGCTCATTTGATCTTCCGGCATTGGCGAGTGCAGAAACTCTGTTGAGTGAATTATTACCTTCAATGTGTTCATCCGAATGGTCCGGAGGCGTTGTTCCCCCTTGCATATATGATGCAAAGGCAGCCGCCGCCGAATCCCGGAACAACCAATCCGTATTAGCAGTGGATAGGCCTAGAGTGCGTTCGACTGTCAAAGTCTCCAAAGCAGTAGATAAACGCCGCTATACGATTTGTATCCCAGACGAGACTAGGCGTAGAGAGGCTCATGTCTTCAACCGTCATCTTGCCTTTGAGAAGGAATGGAAGCTTAGACAAAAGAATGACCCGAGCGCCGAACGCAAATCCAGGACTAGCTGTATCATGTCTCAAATGGACAAGCTTGGTGACTTCTTTTCAGATGGCCTGAAAAGGATGGACATGACTATGTTGCACCTGAACGAAGAACAGAACAAGATGGAGACCCCTGCTTTGGTTGTTTCTACCTCAACTGCCATTCGCCGACTTTCGTTGGAGTCTTATGGTGAAACGAAGAGGTTAACAATGCCCTTGGCGACACGACGCGGTAAAAGCGTCCCAGAAGCTTTGAAAATCAGCGATCACTCCAAGCTTGAGGCGACAAAGTTAGATTATCCTGAACTTCCCACGCCATTTCGTGGAACTCCTGGGCCAACGTCAGAGACGTTTGATCAAGCCCCGGTATATCCGACTATAACAATCGATCCCAGGATGACCGCTGAACAGATGATTTGTAGCTTACGCGAGCAAGTCGCAAGCTTTTACCCCGGGCCCCGTGGAACCACAAAATCATCGGCTACGTTTGAAGGCCAATGCAAAGAGGCGGAGATGTGGCTTGAAGACGAGGTGAGGCAGAGTCTGTTTGAGGACAAGTGCGACTCAGATGGTGTAAGGAATTCGACAGAGGCCATAGGAACATGCAGCAATACCAATAAGCATGATAGTTCTCTGGAGAATGTGGCCTTTCTTTCTCCGTACGCATCCGACGGCCCTCATCGTCAAGTGACCAATAACAAGCAGGTCAAGACACCTCAGGTTGTGCGGTCCGATCTGAAAGGTCGTGTTAAGTCTCTCCAAGCTAGTATGGTTCTTCCTCCCGCGGACGATTTGAGAGAAAGAAATGGGAAAACCCATAGTTCAGCCAAGTCAAAGCCGCGCAAATCGATCCTTTCCAACGGTTCTTCTTCTAGTTGTGGTTCCGGGAAGAAAGTACGCTTCTCAGATGTTCCGCCGTCAGTCATACAATCCGTGGAGGATCCGGCTGAAAAGTCTGTCCCATCTGCGTCGACTTCGCCTCGACAGATATCGCTTTCTCCTCCTAAACGCAAACCGCCCCCGTCTATAAGCTCCGTAAAATCGCCCATTGGGCATAGCTCACTGCCACCGACTCCAATGAAATCATCGGCAGTGCGGAAACCCTCTCCTTTGAATCCGGCTGTGCAGGCTTCCGTGACGACTCCTACGAAGCGCGCAGCAGTCAAGCCACCTGCTCAGTTGGCGTTGTCACCTGTACATGACGGCTCGCCTCCTGCACTTAGACCGAGGAGTCTATCCGAAGGAATGCCGCTCAAGAAGGGGCCGGTTTTCTCCTCGGGCTCTCCTAAGGGTCTCATTGGGAATGGTAGTGCGTCAAACGCGAGATTCAAGAAGAGCGTCCGACGACTTAGTCTCGGTGTGAATTTGAAAGAAAATCGGGAGCAATCAATCGCCGACAAGCTTGCAAATATCACGAAGCGCCGTAGCCACACAAGCGATACAGATAAAGAAAATCGTCGGGGCTCTGAACTTGCTTCACTTGTTGCTCGTGAGGTACAGAAGAAGACTGGTAGGCGAAGCTTGCCGTTCCAGAGCATGCTGAGCCGACTTCGTGGGTGAGAATGGCTGGGCGAGGAACGCGCCTCAGGCGGCTGTTACGCCATGATGTTGCAATGCCTGTCTTTTCCATCATCGTTGTTGATTCTGGTGTTGTTTTTATATACGCTTTGATAAAATCACTGTATTTTTTCGTGTTATGTCCCGTAAAGGGTGCCTGCGTCGATCTTGGAAGTCGCCAGACGCGCATCAATACAGACGCGTCCACCAAACTTGTCCTCGACCCTCATTCACTTCGTGCTTTCTTTGCCCACAACGCTGCAGAGATCTTGGCTTCAATCAAGTGAAACTTACAGGGAAAATGCCTCGCGGCGTTCCAAATGCAAAGAAAGATGACTTGGGAATGCGCTTTACAACTTTCCATGCGCCTCTGCAGTACGTGCTCTTACCTGCATCGGTCCATAGCAGATTAAATTGAACATATTGGATAGAGCTAACACAAAACTCACGGCTTCGAGTTACCTGAAGTACGAAGCGCAGTCTGTCTGGACACGCAATGCCGCGCGTGCGAATAAAAATCGAATATCTGAAGAGCTTGGTGTCCACGAAGTGATTGCTCATCTTTGCTGTATGAGGGCGATGAAGGCAGAGCTAACCAAGCTTTGATAGGGACGTCGTGGTTCAAAAATCATTGTTATTCATCCTGGTTCCCGTTGGTTGCGTATTGGCCGTGCGGCGGACGTGGTACCAGTCGCAGTTCCACATGTTATTGCACGCAGAGTCCGTAATCCACCCGCCACACCACCTGCCCCTCAACTCTTCATCAAACACCCAAAGAAAGGCAAAGAGCCGGATGGCACTCCTCGAGATGATGATGCCGAAGTGGGTACAACGACAGAAGATTCGGTGGGTACCGTTCTGTAGCATCTAGCGTAGAGCTAATCTTCGGTTTGAAGGTTGAAACAAACATCGCTCCCATTGTTACAGCACTTCGTGATCGAATGCGATTCTACAAGCTACGCGTTGTATCAAATGCGTCAAAGGTCGCGTTGACTTTCAATGGACAACTGGAAGGCGAAGAGTCGCCGAATCCTGATCCACCAGCCAGGAGTCCACCAGCGCAAGATGTTCTGGTTGGAGAAAAGGCGAGTGGCACTTTATCAGTTCTTTTTCTTGCAGCTTAACATCTATTCAGGTCTTCGATCTTCCGAATGACGAATATTCCATTGGGTATGCGGTTCGGTGGCCAATTTACGCCGGACGGTTCAACTCGAGGGACTATAAGTCTCACCAGAGTGTACTAGGTGACATCGAAGAAATCTGGAGAACTGTGCTGGTGGAGAGGCTGGGAATTGACCCAAAAACTTTCACGGTAATACTTATTCATACAGGTGAACGGTGTTGTGATCTGACTTTAATCTCAGGAATATTCTGTTGTCCTCGTTATTCCTGACGTATGGGACAGATTCTACGTGCATGAACTCATTAATATGTTACTATCTACGTTAGGCTTCAGACAGATAGTTTGCCAACAAGTGGCGTATAGACTGTTTGATTTCTGACAATTCGTGATTAACCTTTATCTAGGAATCTCTTGCATCAACATACGGTGCTGGCATCTCGAATGCCTGTGTAATTGATATGGGCGCAGTAAAAACAAGTGTTTCGTGTGTCGATGACGGGCTCGTGCTCGCAGATACGAGGTGCAACCATCCCTTGGTAGATTATATTATTAATGCCCATATCTATTATAGACTTTCCTTGTCTGTGGGAGGCGACGACGTCACAGAATTTCTTTCTGTTCTTTTGGACCGAATAAGCTTCCCCTACAAGGAGCTTGATCTTACAAGAATGCATGACTGGATCGTTATGGAAGACCTCAAGTGCAGAATATGTACGCTGAACGAGGTAATATTTCTACACCACGTCAATGTCTATGTATACTGAATAGACACGAAGGCCGATGTAGCTTTGAACCTCTACGATTTCTGGGTACGCCGGCCGGGCAAGAGCCCGATGAAGTACGGCTTACGGGCTTACGATGAAGTGATCATCGCACCAATGGCAAGTCGATGGCATAGACTTGCAAAGGCGACTAGTCACTGATATTCCTCCTTTCTGAACGGTCCCCCCACCAGATTCTCTTTGATCAGCGCGTTGTCGATGCTGAGCGCAAGCGAGATCTATTGAAACAGTCAGGAAATCCGGATATTTCTGATGAGCTGGTTGAGTACATACAAGACCAAGTGGTACGTCTAGGGTATCAACTCTCGTTGCTACCCCAGACACGTCAACGAACTTCCATCTTACAGACGAATGCCATGCTAATTTCGACTCAGCATCTTATGCCACAACCACCCCCATCGACGTTAGCAGCACCATCCGTTACGGCATCCGGTGCGGTCACTCCACAACCTCTTGAAGGTAATGTTTTCTGTTACAGTTATTAATACTGCACGCTGATCATGTGGAAAGGAGCTCCCGCCTCGAGGACCAATGAGACGAAGAGTGAGGAGGCCCCAGTTCATAATGAAGGCGTGAAGACCGAGGGTAAGTCGGACGTCATTGACGTGGATATAGAGATGCTGGATGCGGAGATGAAAGATAAGCCGGACGAGTCGTCCACCAAGTCCCCCCCAGCGGAACAGGACCGGCCTCCCGAACCGACGGATCCTCCTCCCCAACAAGAGCAAGGTCAACCTGACGGAAAGCAGGACATAACACCAACGCCAAATGAACCTTCTGCATCTTCGACGCCTGCTGCAGCAGACGCGATAGTAACGACAAATGCTGCCACTCCTACGTCATCCCAACCGCTTGCACAACCGCAAGTCTTCCCTGGTGGTTACCCTGTTGACGTTCCTTTTGAAGCTAGCAAATTACCCCTCGACGTCGCCGTATATAATAGTGCACGAGCTGCAGGCGGTGACGACCGCATCCGCAAGTATTTGCAGGCTGTACTCGTGGTAGGAGGTGGAGCATTAACTCCCGGAATAGTGCATGCTTTGGAGAGCAGGTGAGCATCTGATACCTCATTTGATGTGCTGGCTTCTCTGCGTCCTGTCACGATGACTGATAATCCACTTTAGGCTTCAGGCTATTGCTACTCCGCTTGTTCCTCACATGGAGAAAGTGCAGATCATTCCACCACCAAAAGATACTGACCCACGTATGCTGGCGTGGAAGGGGGCTGCTGTGCTCGGCAAGATGGACGCTGTTGCTGACCTTTGGGTTACTGCCGCCGACTGGGTAAGTTTCTTACACTACTATTTTGTGCTTAGACTCTCATCGATTTTCTATTCTCGCCATGGACTGATCCGTAAATCCGTGTTCTATATTCATTTAGGATCTCTTTGGAATGCGAGCTTTGAAGGAACGCTGTTTCTACTTACAGGTCTAGGCATTGGAGTTGATTTTCAGTGTGTCGGACTTCGACACTCATGCATTTGTATTGTATCTGGCATCTTCATCTCATGTATCTGGTATAATTTGTATTTTGTCGGGTATGAGTCGGATGAACGGCCAACTTGATAACAGCTTCTCCGTTCCCCACTTCTTTGCACGTTGGGCGCTTTGTACCCATACTGGAAGTCAATAGAATCCTGACGCGTTCTGGGGTGCATAGAAGAATAGAAGAAGTCCATATAGTCCGTTTATGTACATTCGTCGGTTCGGAGAGGTGTACACATCGGGAACGTTCCATTCGTTCTTCATCTCTTGGGCCCCTTCAGCGCATCACGTCTGTGAAGAGCAGAAGGGAGAAGCAGTTGAAGCCGCTTAACTATCCCTTCTACGCTAGTTGTGGTATTCTATTGCTCCCCCGAACCGAGGAAGAGATCTTCTTCCGTCCTTTGCAAGAGAGTTCTGTGGGATCTTTTGAAGAGCGCCGAGCAATTTATTTGTAGAATTCCCGCACATGCAAGGAAAGAAGCTGCATAAATGTTAAAGAGGTGATATTAAAAGTGGTGGAACTGTGGCATGTGTATCGCATATCAGAGAGGAAGAAGTGAGATATGATCATAGAAAGGCTTTCTGTCTTCAACGAAGCCTTTATCTTCCCAAGCGGACGAGCCATGCTGCATGGAAGGTAAAGCATCAGATAGCCACTGGACAAACAACTAGACAAGGTGAACGGTATATAGTGCATTTCAACACATGGTTGGGAAAATTACTCATATTTGTGATGCAGATGAACCTTCTAGCTATGTGTTCTCAATTGCGCGGAGAAGAGTAGCCACAAATCATAATTGCAAGAACCAAGAGCTTGGATATAGGCAATATGTTATCGATTTGACAAGGTGGCTAAGACAGGTTCCAAAAGCGAGATTGGTTCGTCCCGTCATTCCGACGCGCAGGCCCATCGTTGCACTCCCACATGACAGGCCTGAGAAGAAACGGTATTGAGCTCAATTGCTGGGGGTGCACCGGGCAGGGAAGTCTGTCGGCCCATGCACGTCGGAATAAGATTGACAGCAAGAAGGGGGAATTAGGAGACCAGCATGAGAACAAGCGAAAGGTCAAAGAGGATACTTACTGGTGAATGACGTGCAAAGAATGGAAGGAGTTTCGTTGGGGGTCTAGATATTCCTTTCTCCCTGGTAAAGATGACCCCGGCACCAGCAAAATCAATCAACGAGAGTCCCGATCTCCCATCCACATGAGGTATATTTTGTGGAGATACGAGCACTCTATCTGAATAGGTCATGGATGGTTGGCAAGATGTCGATGTAGCAACACCTGACACAATTAAGCTTTTGCCTCCCTGATGCTCTGCATTGTCCTAATGTCGGAAAACGCGTTGGACGTACATTAAGTCAGGTAATCCGCTTAGCCGAACTAGGAGTCCTACCTGAGAACTCGGGCGACAATTTACCAGGCTGCCATGTGATTCAACCCAGTTTAGAGCGACTCCCCGACGTCCAGGTCTATGTCTTCAGGAAGTATACACAGTGGTCGAGCCCATCGCTTTACCGAACACGCAGATGTCAGCAGATCCAAGATGACACAGATAACTTTTCCACAACTTCCCGTGCTCCGCCGGTGAATATAAAAATTATAAGCGCTAAAACCAGGAAATCAGCTAGAAGTCATGAATCCAACTACGGCACTCACATAATGTTCGAGCTATGAGAACGATGACATAAGCGGGTCAAATAGAGAAGGCTGACAAGATTTAGTGCTTGGTACACCCCAGTTCATGGTGCGAAAAGATTTCAACGACTCGGTAGTTGCCAAAGGTGTCGCGTCCTGCTTCATCTTTTTACTTGAAGCTACATCTAAGTAACTTTCCCAGATATTGCATTGAAACTCAGGAAGATAGTGCTTCTGCTTCAAAGAATGGGGTGAAAAAGAGTCCGATTCAAGAAAGCTGTAGACATAGAGTTCATCCAGACTTTCAAGACTTCCATGAGGTAGCCACAGAAAGGAAAGGTTTTTCTCAGCTTTGACGAGAAAGCAAGACCCGCTTGAAAATCTTATGCGACATTGATGTTCGTGCGTTGTTTTAAGTGAAAATGCAAGCGGTTTTATGAACTTTTCGTCAAACCGCTTGTCATTGTTTGCGCGATCACGTGCCGCTAAGAAAGTCGAGCACCTTGCAACTACTAGGCTTGTTTCATCCACCTTTCGCTGTCGTCTATTAATGAACCTTTCCACATAGGTGGCAAAGCACATAGTAACTTCTATGTCTACCTGGTTCACACCAACTTTGGGCCCTCAAAATGCGTTTTGGCACCTTGCAAAGGTTCACTTAAGAAATAGTCCTCATGTCACCGGCTCAAGCATTACACGAAAACATGTGGAGACTCCAAGTACAGCGATTTGCTACATCTGGGTATCTATGGGAATGCTTTTTTCTGTTGAAGGTAATGTATGGTAGAGCTGCTCAAGTATGGAACTGATGTAAATACTGGCTAATAGTGGCATCTTCTCATGATGGACGGTGACTCGCCTCAAGGAAATAATAAAATGTTCTCGGAAATCATATAACATCTCGTTTTTCTCTGGCAGTTGGCTCAGTGATATCCGACATCCGTCCTTGAACCGATGACTTGGCCCTTGACTGACCGGACCCCATGATGCGGGAGAATCTATCGACTGCCCGGGGCTGCATACGGGCCGATGTAAGGGAATAATTCCTGTAATAATAGTGATACAGGCAAGATTATTTTCTCGCGGCTCGGCGCTCCTGTGATCTTGGAATCCGCCTGGGGGAACGTAATGAAGTATCTGGTAAAGTCGAGTTTCTTTGCTTTCTTTGATGTTAAATATGACCTTCCATTGATTCTTAGATATTAGTACCGCCTGTATCACTCGGAATAACATATCTTCCATCTTCATACTTCACATGAAACATCGGGTGGAGATGCTCCGTGGGTATTACCTGCTATCAGCTATCGGGAAGAAAGAATACAAGAGATTCGGAGTATTGCCATCCTTCCCCGCTCGAAAATTTCGACTTCACCTCCGCGATACCTCATCTCACTTACGTACATATGTACAACTCTGAGGTTATCGCCTTCTTTTCCATTCTGATGAGTAAACTTTTCGTGGGTACCTGAAGGAGATGTCAGTAGTTCTGATCAGATTTTTGCAATGGGGTTTGTTCCTGTACCTCACCGCACGCACACGAGTCCTCGATCGCGAGTCAATCTTTTTTGGTGACTATCTCACAATTTAAACATTTGCAACTGAGGGACTTGCGGGGGGTAAGTTAAAGATCCACTGATGCGAATGGTTATAAACTGGATCACCATTGCTTCTTTCTGTTGATATCATTTATAATGACTAGATGCAGAGTCATCGGCGAAGGCTCCGTGACACTTCCGCAGACGTACTTTCCTATCGGAGCGACTCTACTCCAGGTCCAGATAAAGAGACTTGTTGTCATCCAGGTTCTGATGCACACTTTCGCGTGACGCAGTTCCGGTTGTCTAATTCAGTCTCTCCGAATTCAAGACACTCTCTGTTCAAAAGCCTCGTGTTATGTTCACAGGTATTTGGTGAGCATTCGTTGACAGAATTACAGCTAGCGTGATTGTTTGAATATGTTCGACAAACAAGCCCGTCGTTGAGCAAGATGCGATGCAACCTCGAACGAGTGCGGGCCGTGTTTCGGCATTCTCTGAACTCCTTCCTTACCACTGGCATGCCGGTACAGAGTCTGTTAAATGAAATCTGCTGTCTATTGCCGCAGTTGTTCGCTCGGAATGATCGTATTGTTGCAGGGATGGACTTGCTAGCGCCGCCGAACAGCTGGGTTTAAACAGCTTTCGGAAATCGGCCCAGTACTCACTTTTAACAAATAAGATCGGATGGTAAGCAGAACCGTTTCGTGTAGTTTGTGTGTCGTTGAAAACTTTGCTTCAGCATTTAGGAAATTGACACTTTAAAACTACCGAGCGTCAGGTCGGAACAACCCCAATGCACGATAGCATGTGCGTTTCAGGTTGAGCTTCACAGTGAACTCGAAAGAAGGTTTATAGGCAACCTTATTTCTTCCATCATGTTCCAGGAGGTGAACTTATGCATCGCGGGAGAATACCACGTCATTTCAAGATGGTCAAGTGGTCGATGGACGCTGATGACCCTTTGCGGTGAACGCCCCATTCGGTAAATGATTTTGCGGTTCCTTGCGGGCTCGGCAGGGGACAACTGTTATTCGGAGCGGCCGCCGAGTTTCTCCTGCCCTTTCATTCAATCCAGCGCTCACGATGTCCGTGTTCGGACGGGTTCTGCCGATGTTCAGAATTGAGTGACTTGCGAACAAGAGTTTGCCTCAAATTAATCCGCTGCAGCACTTTCACCGATGTTGACATCTGGGGACGGCCTTGGAGCCAAAAGACTGAGTCACTCACCGTTTTATCCGCTTTGTATTGAAGTCAGGTTCCAACGCGTCGCACCGTCGGACGGGCCGAGTCGATCTGTTCTACTTGTATTGTTTAAATCGTAAGTTTTTTCACGTATTCGATAAATTTTGTTGTGCATGTGGAATGTACTATGCTGCAGTGAACTGCAAGACGTCAGTAATGAACTAGAAGTGGATTGATAATAGACTGGCTCCAGCTTGCCGATGGACTGGTCTAGTACTCGTTTGGTGAGTTTCGGACGCTTCTTCGGAATTATTTTGACTAGAAGGCTCGCACTACGCAGTACACTTAGAACCACATGTATTGAGTTCAATGCTAGAATAGATGATTGAGGATCGAGACCTTGCACTGGTTTAAGAATTTGGCTATCATGTGCATTGGTATTGGTGTTTTAGCTATTTCAACACTTGTCAGACAATTACCCAGAGCTTGCATGGTATCTTTAGGGTTGTTCAAAATCTTACAACGAGCCATAACATAGTTCATACAGACTTATAAACAGGAAAGCTATTGCTCAATTTCTTCTGTTCACCCCCTATATTGGTCTAGCAATGTTCCCCCCTGTCTCTCAATAGAGGCAGCTGCTTTTCGGGGAAAATTCGTTCTCTTGCGTTTCTTCTAACTCTGCTAAGTGTGTATTTGCAAGGTATCTGAAAACGGATTGCCGTATTCCAAAAGCGTCGAGAGAAGCAAGAAGTAGTTGAGTGCAAATATGAGCGTCGATCATTCCAATAAACCGACGATCACATTATGCGCCTTCATCCAAATTCGGGACTGAAAGTTCTTCGGGAGAGCTTAACGCCACCGCAACACCCCGCGTCGGAGTTTGGACGAGACGACTTTCATGTGACTGGCGATCCTCATCACGATCGTCTTGTGCTGAATGCTCTTTGGCTGGAGGATCAGGACAATAAGCGATCGAAGGGAACGCGAACTGCGAACATTCTATGATAAGGGTTCTCGAATATCACGTTCGCGCAGCATATCATCTGCCCTCTTTTCATTTATCTCGTCTGGGAATCTGTTCCGAAACCTCTTCCTTCGGTGCTTCATACTCGGGTACTCTTCATCCTGAAGGAAAGCGACGAAATGGGAATGTTCACGCGCATGGGACGGAGAAGCACCGACGCGAGAATAGACGTAACGCTGCATTTCTCACGTGCTTGTGCGTGGGTACTTTCTTGCACCAAAGACTGCATCCGGTTCTCCGAGAGTTGTGAAAACGTGCATTTGGTTACACTTAACCACCGATCCCGAGCAGCGATCGTTTTAGCTTCGATTCTAAAGCGAGCGGATCAGCGACTTTTCCTATGAGAGAACATTTGGCTTAAAGAACTCCCGCATGTCATCTTCGCATGTGCTATGAAATGAAGCACGGAAGTAAACACTTCTCGACACCACAAAGGCTTTCGGAATGGATCGAGTGTGTCTCACTGCTTCTACCGTAACTCTTACATAACACGACTAATTGACTTTGCTGGAGTCGTCACAATATCAATCCAACATTCCAGGGTACATCATGTACAGAAGCTTTGTGCCTACCCAGCTTGCCCGCCTTTCCGTCCTTCCCGTGATACACTGGAGCGAGGGTCCTGCGGGGCCGTATGAACAGTCCGGGGTGCACTCGACGCCGATCAGAATTCATGTGCATCAGCCCTTGTGACGCTTGGCGTTGAGCGCGATTGAGTGCACAAACGAAACATTAAGGTACCAAGGCACAGTTATTCGGCATTGGATTGGATGTGTGTCCTGACGCTGCTGTATGCGCCTCGTCTTGTGATTTAATTTCATTTCTCACTCCTGTCGTCCATCGGATAACGAAATGCAGAATTACGCAGTTGTTAAATTTCTTTTGATTTACCCCGGTGATGAACAGGAGACGTTGCAAGGGGCGCTGTGAGGCGCAGAGTGAATTGAACTGAATTGGACCTTGCGCGCCTGACCGACTTTGTGATTGCATGTTTTGATATCAATTCAATTGGAAGGGGGCCGCCGATGCTGTATCGGAAGACCGATTAAGGGTCTAGGTATACATGGAGATCGAGCAGGAGAATCCGTTGTCTGATGGTATCTCGTTGCGTTGCGTTGACATTTTCGAGAATTACCTACATATGCAGCACCAAAGCATTATTTCAGTATACATTACACGGGTGAAATATACAGTTCATTTCTTGGTCTCACTCAATCATCAGGAGACGACAACCGAATCTGGAGTCAATCTCTTCCATCCTTCACAGCCCCTCGTCGTCTTCTTCACCCAATCCATTCAGCTGAGGGTTCTCCGTTAATCGGCATATCTGGAGAAAAAATTTGAAGTCCTCCTATCAAAAAACACAAGCAAGCACCGAAAACGGATCAGTGGCGCTGTAAGTGAGAATGGTGGAATGTAACAGGTTAACAGTTGCGCAGTCAGAGGGAGCCAGACCCGAAGGAAGAAGGAAAAAAACAGGGTTTGATAGCCGCCATCCTTGCCACGTCTGTGTGACTTGCTTATCTGCGGAGAACGACACAGGGTGGCAACCCTCACACAACAAGACACATACCGAAAGAAGCTGCCCCCGCGCGCTATTCCATTCTACGAATTCAAACTTCGTGATGCGGGAAGCGGGACCCTTGCATATTACCTGCGCGCCAGGGCTGTGGCTGCGGAAGAGTGCGAGAATACAATTACTGATTGACCCGGTGCGGATATAGACGCGTAAATAGGTGTTTCTGGTGAAAGTCGAACTTCGTTTTCTTTCGGACCTGTGAAACCAAATTCTCAGTGGATTGGTATTGGCCGCCCGACATTCGGGAGGACAGCTTGGTTCAATCTTCGCTTCATAAACTCTGGATCGTGCGAGGATTCTGCACACAGACGCTCTCATGTCTTCGTTATCAGAGTGCAGCGCGTAGACGAAGACTACTTATTTAGTATTTATGAAACGATTGCGATTGCGTCATCAGCAAGCTCAACCGAAAAGGCGAGCGCGGTCCGTGTTTCGCGGGAGTCGGCGGACTGTTCGGGCAACGCATGTCATTTATGTTAAGTACGTCTTTAAAACGTCAGAAATTCCCCAGATTCAGAACGCTCTTGCGCTGTCCCTTCATCCGAAATGAGGGATATACCCGAGCCAGCGGTTTGTCTACATCTGCGGATTTTCGCGCTGTTGATGACAGCCAAGTTGCGATGGATGATGCCATGTCGGTTTGAAGTCCGCCGTTCGCTCCGAGATTGTCGATGTCGATGACGCGTAACTGCAAAACACAATCAAGCATTTCGTAGACGACGACCCATCCATCTCAGGCGCGAAAGAAATGAGCGTTTGATTGACATGTCACTATGCGTGTGGTTATTTCCATATCCGAAGAGAGAAGGAAGCGGGAAGACGAGTTGAGTTCATTATGGGCGCTAGAGATGCTGCACGAGGATATTTGAGAAGTCATAAGCCATAAGCACCAAAGTTTCACTGACCCGATCGAGACGCGTAGGAGATAGATTTCACAGAAAGTTTCGAGAAGCACAAGAGCTATCCAAGAAGGTGGACTGGTGGCAATTCACGAAGCTGGCGTCAAGTCAATTGAGTCTGAGGCTGCTAAGTTGTTGCGTATGTTGAAGGTGTCGGTGTCCGATCGCATACTTTACAAAGCAGCTGGTCTCGACTGTCCAGCTCGCCGCTGCGCGATATGCCGAAGACGTCCCAGATTTCCGCAAGAAGATTAATTGAACTTTTTCTATGTTCACAAAGCCGCTCCGACTTCTACGTATCGAATCCATGTCCGCTGCTGTCTTTTGAATGGAGAAGAAGACAAGTGAATGGAGGTGAAGGAGGTCACAACATTTCTTCTCTCGAGTAACTTGAGACATGAGAAACACGTGCAAAACACGCGGAAGCAAACTTTGTAGATTTTTGATCACTTGCTTGAATTAGGACAGGGATCAAAGGACATCGGATCAAGAGCATCTCCATCACAATCAGACGATCAAAACACATCGGTCGGCGAGTCGAACGGGATCATGATCTCATATCTCATCTAATACTCGGTAGCCTTTTTCTCACTTGACCTGGACTTTTTTTTCTCTTTTTCTCTCTCTCTCTTTACTTGGAAATATATCCTTTTGGTCAATTTTTAGCCTGTGTACAGGAGAGATAAGCACAGGAGACAAGAAAAATACGGAAGACACGCAAGATAAGAAGAGCTGTGTCGTTAATTGAGCAGAAGAAACCAAATCCGAACGCGCACTGCTTCGAATAAGTAGATCTGGATTTCGTGACGTGGATGGATGAATATAAATTCGAGACGCGATGAGCTTATCGTTCGTTCGTTTTACGCGAAGACAGCTGGCTGGAAGCGATAACATTTCCTTTCTTTTCTTTTCCTTCGTACTTTTCGGTTTTCCCTTTTTGCTGTGTTTTATTACCGCGGTTTTGAGTAATATTTGGACGCCGAGGTGCTCAGCCGCTAAATAGCCTGACTGCCGAGCCCTGCACTTGCTTAACTGTGTACGCTACGCGCACCTTACGTCCGAACTCCGAGCCCGGTTATCCTGACGCGGACGTTCTTGACCGTGAAGCAACAGAACTTCGATCAGTCGGGTAAAGGTAAGAAACACATAATCTGTATTCATTCGCATATTTTGCAGTGAGTTTCCGACAGTGGCACAATTACTTACTCGAGAGGTGAAAGACAGAACGTATCAACATTGTAGGGTATCCAATCCGCATCCAAGAGTGCGGATGATTTCAGGACAATCTCTCCAAGAAGTTCAAGCTCTCATAAAGTTCACGAATTTGAATACACCACACATTATAACATTATATCACCCGATTCAATGTACACATCGGTCGGTCTCTTTTCATTTACATACATCATTTTTTGAGTTATGTAGTAACTGAATAGAAGCTTAAGATGGCAAAAGAAAAGGAATTGGATTAAAGGATGGATAAATGGGACTACTGTACTGTTCGACAGATCGCCATCACAGCCAAGACCGACTCGGAGGGACGCAATTCATATCGAGGTAGAGTAGAGTGGAGGGAGAAATAAATCACCCCACACGGAGAAATAAACGCTGTAACTCTCTGAAATCAACTCTCCAGGAAGCAACTCAGGAATGCGTTTGAATACCTCCGAGTCTGTATAGGTTTTTCCTTCGCGGCCAGACTTTTCGCCTGTACGGCCCGAGTGGTGGTGTTACATGCATACAACCAGAAAGGGAATACTACGGTCTTCACCGGACTTCCGACTGCCCGGAACACACTCCCGCAGACCCGAAGCAAAAGTGAAGAAGAAGAGAGAAAAAGAAAAACTCAAAAAGTTATGTACAGTAGAATATGTCGTAACGCATAATGCTGGGAGAGGTCATTTCTGTATTCATTATGGGATTTATGCATTATGGCATTGCATTTTGGCAGAGAATGACCATTTGGTTTTGAGAAAAAGTCATTCATTATGACATTTATACATTACCACATTATGCATTATGACATATTTGACTGTATTCAGATTACACAATACAACAGAGATAACCGAGGGTAAAACATTTAAAGAAAAAGTCACGTAAATGAATTAAATAAACAAGTGAATAAATAAACGGATAGATAGATAAAGTGTGAGGATAAATGCGAAGGAAAACACATAAAATAAGATTTAACTTTTCAATTTGGTTCGTGCGTTCGTTCATGCATCAGGTGAGAGGGAGCGCTTCAGTGGTTGGAGAAAAAGATAAAATCCTGAGACACCTTCGCGCTGACCCGATCGAGGGCACCTTTCTTCCCTGCCTTCTTCGTTCCATGCCATACCCATACAATTCATAAATATACATATATATTCGTGCTTCGTGAGCGTCAACATTAAATAATACATATCAATACGTGTTTCGTGTGAGACTTTCTTCTTCCCTCCCCCTTTCTCCCATGGACATGTACAGTTGAAAATGTCTTATTGCATAACGTCGGGAGAGGGCTAAACTCAATGCATTATACAATTTATGCATTATGACAATACATTTTGGCTGAGGACCTGAGTTTTGGTCTGGCCAAAAGTCTATGCATTATGCCATTTATGCATTATGATGTGATGCAATAAGACATTTTCAACTGTATTAACAGTATGTTTTTTCTCCAGCAATAGACGCTCATTGCCGAAGTGTAACAGTTCTTTCTTGATTTCTTCGCGGGTCTTCCAATTATTCGCTTGCGCCTCTTGTTTCGTTCTTTGGTTCGTCGGAGTCTGAGCTTACTTTCTTTCCTTCTCCCAGCGAATAGAAAAAAAGTAGATAAACTGATAGAATAAATAAATTGGAGAGAACACATGACCACGCAATGACGTTTTTTTTGTTCGGCGTTGATCTGATAAATTATTTTGATTTCGTCCCGATAGCACAGACAGACAGACGGGACGGACGACACGGACCAAGTTGTCGGGTTGGTTGGGATGTGTATAAATTATAATGTAACTTAAAAGGAAGTTCAAACACGTGTACGGGGGAGGGTCAGTGAGGGCGAGTGGTGTAATGTATGTATTCTTCTTCCTAAGTTTCTTTCTTTTCATAAGGATCGGATTGATTCATTGCCGGTGCTTTCATCTGAGGAACCGGAGTATTAATGTTAGAGGAGAAATGAATGAACGAATGAATGAATACATGCGCGGATGAATTCAATGTGTGTGGACGAGATACGGATGAACTGTGTCGAAGAAGGGTCTCGTCCCCCGGCTGTGAGCGATAAACGAGCTGGCATCCGCCGAGTCGAAGGAGCGGAGGAGGAGAACGGGACAAGACAAAGGGATGAACGAAGAGAAAGGAACGAGAAGGAGAAGGAGAAGAGGAGGAGGGTTCCCAAGTAGATTGTTTGTTTGGTGTTTCAAATGCATGTGCAATTGCGATAGAGGAGAGTTTATAAAAACTTTCTTTCGACACGCATATGGGCTTCCCCGCTGGTCAGTCAAACAGACAAGGACAGAAGGACAAGTTTACTGCATTGCACTGATACTGATATGAGATGCGAGACGAACGACGCGACGGGCGTCAGGTGCCATGTGTCGGGGCAATGGGACAATGATGTCCCGTCTGCCGGCGGAAGGGTGATGACAATGATGTATGTGTTCTGCTGTTGGAGTGGGAGTGGAAATTCGCGAATATGGGAAGTTGCTTCTGCAAAAATGGACGCGTAGAGGGGTGTGTACGTGCGAGCAAGGAAGCATCGTTGGAGATGAGCAGATGAGCGAACAAGTGATTTACCTTTCGACTCCCCAGAACGAAGTGACGGGAAAATTGACAGCGGAATAATGATGGATGCGAAGCTTGCATGCAGCGCTTGCGGCTTTGCTATCAACATGACTGGATCTCAAGCATTCCTTCTTCTTGATTATGATGATGACGATACCACATGCATGTGAACAATGTTCGTATCCCGCATGCGAACTAACACTAGTCGATTTTTCTTCCTTTTCGAGAATCGACTCATCGACGACGAACATCTCTCTCGCTGAGGCAGGAGAGGCGCCGTCGTAGTCGTCCTTGTTCTGCCCGTGCACATACAGTACGCGCTCCGTCGAACTTCCCGAGTTTCAAGTTTCGGATAAATGTGCAAAATAATATTCGCAGGCAGAGCTAGGATGACCGGCCGACCGCGAGTTCATTCATGCCTTTCTGCTCGAGTGAAGCGCCGTGAGTGCCGCGTGGAGCGGATGGACAGAGCCAGCGCAAAGGCTATCAACACCGGGAGGACCCGGCGAGCCGACGGAAGCATCGCCCAGAAGAAGAAGGTGCAGGCGTGTACGGCATGTGACCGCTACGTAATTATTAGATTGGTCACGGCGGAAAGGGTGTGATTGGACGTCGGAGATGCCTTGCGAAATGGGGAGCAGCAGAAGACAGCAGAAGGGTGTTGCTGCGTGTTCTGGGGAAAAAAGTAGAGAGAAGGCCGGAATGACGCGAGAGGTGCCGCAGACGAGCAGCCCAGAATGGTCTGATGATGGGCTGTCTGTGTGTCTGTGATGTGCAGTTCGGCACAATCGGTGCGGGGAGTGTAGCAGCAGTAGTGCGGGCTAAGTCGAGTGCAGCAGCAGCAGCGTCGAGCTAATAAAGCAGACGGACGTGGTGTGTGTGTGCACGGGGAGGTGGAGAGCGTGTTTGACACGGGCGGGATAGGACGAAGCTGTGGGGGGCGGAGGACGTGTCGGCGGGGGAGCGAGAGCGGGCGTTTGTTTGTGGCGCAGAAGGGCTCAGAACTGCAGGGCTGGCTGGAGTGAATTGTCGGAGTCGGAGGACATGGGCGAGACGAGAGTGTGACCAAGGGTTCAGCTTCGCAGAGGATCGAGGGAAGCGAGGGAAACAAGGTTCTGTCGGGCTCGTTCTGCCGAAGAGCGGCTTTGTTTTGGTTTGGAGTGACTGTCTGTTGGGCAAGAGATCATCGGGCTGTCCGGATCCGGAAGGGAGATGCAGCAGATATACAGGACGATCTTGGAAAAAAAGAATGCTGCAAAAAGAATTGCAATTTCAGCTATTTATGTAAAGCCTCGCTATATATATTCATCTCATACATTTCTCTCTCCAAGGCAGGCGCGTCCACCGACGACTCTCCCTGGCTGATGCTCGCACCAGACCGCCTGTTCATCCCCCTCACCCCTCCGCCCGACAACCTCGACCTTCAAGTCGCCGGCGACCCCTTCGGCTACACCCTCAGCAAGGCCAGCCCCGCCCTCTCCGCCCCACCCGCCAACAACTCCGGTCCCAACCCCGGACTCAACCTCGGGCGCCCTCACCTTGGCCAGGCATCGCTCCCCCACGCCGCCCTGGCATACAACGTGCATCCTGCCTCCGTCGGCGTTTCTACCTCCTCTTCCGCCGAGCAGACCTTCCGCTATCCGCGCGACGCGCTCCCAGTAGCTGCTTCCGTATCGGCCCCGCCCGGTGGCGATCAGGGCATCTACACCTCCCCCTCCACTTTAGAGAGCTCCTCCGACGTCGCCACACTCGCCACGAACGTCTCTGGTATGTCGCCGCCAATCCATCCATCTGTCCACTCAGCGGTACCGCCGCCACCAGCTTCTCTCTTGCTCTCTTTCTCAATTTGTCCGCCACTCATGTTAATCACTGCTCTTTAGGCTATCCGTGCTCTCCTCCCCCTTCAAGGCACCATTCCGATGCTGCTTCAAATCGTGAAAAGCTGTCCGGTGCTAGCCATTTTCCTACCCAGTCTCCGGCAGGCTCTCCTGCACGTCAAGCCGCCACGGGCACCCCAGCGAGACTTAATTTGACTTCGATAAATTCGCAATCTCTACCAGACCAGTATCACGCTACATTTAGTGCACCAGCTCAACCGGAACAGAACGATCAGTCTAAACATCTCACTCAAGCTCAGCAGTCTTCGCAGCCGCAGCAGCAAGCTAGCTCCCAACTACGGACTTCATCCTCGGTACACTCGCCATCCGATCGCTTCCCTCCCTTAGCGGCAATGCTGTCCTCCGACCGCTATCCGCGCGTTGATAGATATGGGTTCCAACCCCCAGGTCATGAACGCCGCATATCTGATCCCTCAGATCACTATCCACCTGCAAAGCATTACCCTTCGTCAATAACTATGGGAACTGGCTATGGAGCGCCGCCATACACCCTCCATCGAGTCGGTCGAACTGGCTCGTACTCAGAAGTTGCAGTAGACGCTGGCATCGCTCATCCTGATTGGCAAGATGAGGATCGGGATCGACTCTATGTAGACGACCGCACTCGAGCTGGCTTCGACCCATATTCCCCTATCCACTCATCTTTCTCCTCATCGAACTCGTCGATCGCCACACAGGCACTGCCTTCCCCTCATGGACCCCCATACTATCACTCTCAGACTTCCCGCGGGTATGGCGGCCCGCAAGGTGGCGCATACACCCCTCTCTACGGCTCGTCCGAAGACGCACCATACGACACCAGGCCTCAGACGGGTTCCAGTGACTCGAACTCTCCGTCCTACGGCTACACGCAAGCATCCGCGCCCTCTGGCTCTCGCGGCCATCCGGGTTCTCTCCCTTCACACCAGGCGGACTATGCAAACTACGGCGGTGCTGATCCATCTTCGAAGACCTACTCGTTCGTTTCGTTGCCTGGAAATACCGTGCGTAAGCGTCCTAGACGCCGATACGATGAAATCGAGCGACTGTACTCGTGCAATTTCCCTGGCTGCACTAAGGCGTACGGAACCTTGAATCATCTGAATGCCCACGTCAATATGCAAAAGCACGGCCCAAAGAGGCATCCAAATGGTGAGTCTGTTTGTCAATATCGGAGAGTTTTACACTTCCTCCCGACGGAACATTGACGTCTTTATTTTTTACTTGACATGAACTGTATCTGACTGATCTTTTTGCTCGATATTTACATAGAATTCAAGGAAATGAGGAAACAGTGGCGAAAGATGAAGAAAGAGCAAGAAAGCGAGAGGGAGCGAATGGTTCAGGCTGAAAGTTTACCTAGCGCTGGAACCAATGCTCTTTCGGAGGTGATGCGCCGTCGGCGAGCGACAGATCCAAGTGCGTACGGCATTCGTGGGATAAACACGGAGGACATCAACGCAAATGGACTCTCTTCGGGCCCGGTGGCGACGCCTGTTAGTGATCCGTTGGGGATGTCTTCGCTTGACGTTTCTTCGTACGGATTGAGCTCTGGTCTTCCGATGAACGTTGGCTCCGACCCGATTACGGGAATGGGGTATGGCCAGCAGCACTACACGTCTCCGGCTGGTTATCATGGCCCTCAGCGTCCGCCGATTTCCCCAGTTTCCCCCACAGGACCCTCGGATACGCTCGGGAGGTACGCATCGAACGGATCAGGGCTTGGGCCCCTGTCTGATTCACCGACTAACTATTACCATTCGGGTGAAGGTGAACGCGAACGTGCACGGTCCCCAGCTCCACGGAACCAACTCCCTCCTGATGCTACGCTCTTCTCGGCGTACTCCCATTCGCAACAGTCAGACATGGGAAACGACGCATACTCGTTGTCTAACCTGTCTGCCGGCCGCGTGGAGCACCGTGGGCACCATGGTTCACAGTAATGTGCATCTCTGCCAACATTAATCACACATGCAGATTCTGCGTGCGACTCATTCCTCAACACGCACACAGCTTCTCTTCTTTTTATTTTTTCTTTCCTTTTTTGCTCTCCGCAGTGGATCAAGCTATGTTCTTCTATTATTACAACCCTAATTCTCTTGTCGGCGATTATTGCAGCGGAGTCCACTTCCTTTCTTCTACGTGTCAACAACGTCGGGAACCCTTTGGGAAAACGTCTTACTCGTATGCAGCTTATAACTTCTATATGAATCTCTTACTTTTCCACCCTCTCCTATTTGTGCGTGCGGTGTGCGATTGGAGCTCATCTGCCTTCCCTCATCGTGTTTGTATTTCTACCGGATCCCTGTCTCCATGTCTTTCCCGTTTCCTAGTCATTCACTTTCTGCAACATATTCATTTCCGTCGGATGATTGCTCCTTCGCCGTACCCGCTTTTGGATGGATGGAACAACCCCTCTTGCAATTTTTTCCCCTTCCTTCTTCTATTCTTTACTGTGTTTCTTCTATTCCATTGCCCGCCCCCCAGCTTCTTTTTTGTACCTCTTGCAAGCCCTTATAGTTTTTGAAACATCCCACATGTAATACGCATGCATTGTGTTGTCGCACGATACGTGTTCGACAGACATGATGCATGATGGTCGGCTTGAGCGCAGATTATAAGGTTATAAGGTACCTAGTAAATAGTGTATATCATATATCCTTTCTCAAATCCTTCTTTCTTTCTGTTGGATGTTTGTGCATTGAAACAGAATTACAGAATTTTGAAATGAAATTTATGTAAGATGTTTTGTTCTGTCCGCATTTACGACGCACGTCGATTCTGTGATTCTATCTAGATAATATCAATATCAATATCAATACGAGAATGGCATCTGTTCGCCCCCGTTCGGGAAAGTCAACAGCCAGATGAAGGTATGTACGATTGCCGAACAGGCATAAAGTTAAAATTCTAAGCCACGGTTTCGATCGAGTGCGTGCATTTTGCGTTTCGCTTTCCTTGTCGGAATTAAAATTAAATGCTCCCTGCCTCATAGTCAGATGTCTTGTCCGCCTTTACGACGCAGCACAATTCTCTGTAACTCCAATAATTTAAATGCTCGAATAACTTCTATTCACCTCTTGTTCGGGCAGGTCGACAGCCAGCGTCGTGCTGCTGGCAAAATGAATTAAGTTCTTTGCCATCTTGCCAGCACATTAATGGGTGTTTGACAAAACGGACTTGGAGAAGCACCGGGAATATGCCATTAACGTCCTCGCCGACCCCAGAGAAATGATGACGATGATGACGATGATGGATGGTGATGTATGATGACACTTTCCAGGTGGGGCGCATGGCTATCCGAGCGAATGAACGAATAGATGGCGAACAAACTGTGTTGCATACATACATGTACGTACAAAGTGTTCACCGCGATGAGTGTAGGAAGAGCGGCAATAGGTGCTTGGAAATTATGTGTCAACGAGAGTGTATATTTTATATTCTCTCACAAAATAATTGGTCCAGGACTGACCAACTGACCGACGTGTATTATTTTTGAGACACGAGATATAGTCGGCCATGACTTGGAATGACTGGAATGACTTTCTGTGGGATCCCGCTATATAGATTGGCTTCTTGACGCCCAAGAGAAGACGATCATCGACAGAGACGAGACAGAGTCGGTCCGCATGGAACCCAGGCCTCGTCGAACACCCCAACATGCTTCCCTTCAAGAGTTCCGACGACAGAATCACGAAGCATAGTTCCACGGAGGACAGTCAGAAATATCAGAATGATAGAGTTCTAACAAGCATGTTTTCCCAGATAGTTCCGCGGCCATAAAGTTCTTGATTTGCAGAGACAGAGCGAACGGGAGAGAGATAGGGAGAAGTAAGACCCAAGGCCTTCGCGAAAAGAATGTCATATTCCGGATTTTCTTGGCCCCAAACACCTCCGCGTTTCAGAAATCTACTCGGGGTACACTTCCGCGTCTGAGCACACTCCGTTCCGAGAACTTCGAGAGTTCGAGACGTGTGAATTGAAGTGCAGGCTGATAGAACGAACGATGCATTGAGTTCAAGCAGAGAGGCGAGATGGGAGGTGCTTCGTCCCGGACGTATCATGGTGGTGGTGGTCGAGAACATCATGCCACTCGAGGCAGAACTGAGAAACTTGAACAGATCCGTTCCGTGACGTGACCATGCGACTATTTTTGTACACGTTTTCCACGTCTTTGCTTCCCTCTCATATCACTGGCAGTTCTTCTCTCCAGTCGCACATGATTGAAATTCACGGCTCTCATCTCCCCACTCATCCAATCGCAAATTGTGAGCCATTCCATTGGCTTTAACATCTTTTTTTCATTCGTTGTCGGATGACGATTGGACAGTTTTCATTGTATCATTCAGAGTGTCTCTTGGGGATGCCGATCTTCTTGATCTGGTTCCATCTGGATCGTCAAGAATAACGAATTGAGAATTCTCGTTTAGCGGCGTTCTCGAATTGCCTAAATTACGCTGAAACGATGCATTGTAGCTTCCTCTAATGTATTAATGAAGGACTTTCATTCTTGTACGTATATTACAGGTAATTTGTATTTGATGATTATTTTAACAGGGCATTCAATCCACACTGTGGTGTGGTGTACATTTGGGACATCGATTTTTAGTATCAGAACACCCAAGCTCGGGAACAACGTGTAATAGTAATATTAATGTCGTTAGTTTCCCATAGACCGAGAGCTGCATAGGCCATTCATAACGAACCCCGACGCAATGGATCTACTATATCAAGAAGCATTCACAGATTCCGGCTCGACGGACCTGATCCAATTGAATTGAATGTGTGCAGCATCGACACTCAGGTTGCCGAAGAACAATCATTTTGCTATTTGTGTACGCCGCCGCATTACCTGCACTGGAAAGTTTACTCGAGATCTTCGCGCTTGAATGCCCAAATGGGGAGGTTGACGAAGTTGATAAGAAGAATTAAGAATTACCCCGCACCTGAGTCTTGCGGCGAACTGACTGCTAAATGTATGAAGCGCCTGAGCATTGTCCATTCATATGCCGTTAGGTCAATGAAACGTCGGGAACTGCATGAAAATCAGAGCATGACCATCAGAAAGCTCTCAGATATCGAAACAAAAGACCCGGATCGAGGCAGGTGAAACAGTTTATCAAAGATTCATAACATGAATCTTAATAGAATAATCGGAATTCATTGTATTTTTTAATTTCTAATTCTATAGATAATTTGCAGGCTAACCCTTCGTGACTTGTCTATAGGGAGGATGGACTGCTGAGCCCCTGCGCCGCATGAAGAAAGTAATGAATTTCAGGTTATGTTTCTAGTCGAATAATTATTGCTAACTTTGTAATTTGAGCAGACAAAGTACGAGCAGCCATAGTGTGAAATATGTTCCAGGCGGGGTCAAATTGAGAATAGGACAAATGATCTAGACACAATTGTGCAGTTTCGAAGCACTAGAGTGTCGCAGACCTTGTGAAATGGCCACCAATCGCAGAGTCATCTATCCTTCTATCTAATGGATATCTCCTTGAGAAGCAAAGTCGGTTCAAAATAGCAAATTCGGGAGTCGGTGCAGTTACGTTACTTCTTTTCGTCTTTCTGACTCGGAATACGCTACAATGCTGAACCGAGGGACCATGCAGGTCGAATTTGTCGTAGAAGAAAAGCCAAAAAATAAAGGAAAGTGGCATACCCGGACGGAAAAGTATTTGAATTTCTCACAATAAGTAAATCCAGTTACGTAATCATTGCGTCATGTGGTAATTACTGTTCCTTCGAGTTACGGCGCAGCATCACTGCGACTTGTTACTTGACAAGAAACACAACAAGTTCATACACCTTTCTAACCAATGGCTTCATTCGAGCACTTACCTGACGAACTATTAGTTGACCACCTTCTACCAAACTTACCAGTGCGCGATGTACTTGCATTAAGTGCCACAAATCCCTACTATGCCAATCTATGCAACGACGAGACGTTCTGGAAGAGGAAATGTAAAGAGGATTTCAACTTTCAGGGTTCGAGAACAGCGAGGACGAAAGGTTGGAAGTTTATTTACAAGGGACTAAGTAATCCCAAGGTCTTCGTTTGGGGGTTGAGTATGCGATTGTTTAGGATTCGGCTTTTGCTTACTTTGGAAGTAGGTGTAATGCGAATGGCAGATTAGGAGCGGTGGGATCTTTCGCAGGGCATAGTCGAAATGGCGTGCCATATCCTAAGCAACTAAGCTTCCCGAAGAATTCTGCTATAGTTGACTTGATAGCGGGGGGATGGTACGAACCTTCTTACATTGCAGCCAGCTATAATTGACAGCATATATCCAGGTCATTCCATGCTCTGGATTCTTCAGGACGTGTATATGTCTGGGGTGAGATCGTATTCAGAAGTTAATAATGTGAAGCAGACATTCAGTTCCTTTCATCTAAGGCACTATGGATGGAGAAATGTTTGGTCTACAGAGTGACGGATTTTCTCTGCCTGAGAAGGTTGCGGAGACACCGTTGCGCCTTGAACTTCCTGAACCAATTCGAACATTGAGGTCAGTATAATATAGCCGTCATACGTCATAGTTCATCTTTTTTAATGTGATCTATAGTTGTGGACGCAAGCATTCCATGGCTATGGACGCAAAGAACCAAATATGGACGTTCATCTCATGGGGAAGACCTTTTCGACTTATCACACCAGCACTAGACTGTACTTCTCCGGATTCAACACCAATACAAGCAGAATGTGGGTGGGGGTACAGTGCTGCTTTGGCTTCCTCTGGGGATATCTATATTTGGTGGCCACTCGGTGAATCTATTCAACAACAGTTTGGTGCGACAATGGGTCAAATGGACGCAGAGGGGGATAAGCGTGCACAAGCAACAGCAGAAGGTACAATTCCCTGTGTGACGTGGGACTTGCACTATAACCCACAGAAACTTCCGGCTGTCCCCCATCTTCCTGAATTATCGCACACGGGCCGAGTGATGGAGAAGGATGAAGAAGAAGATACGAAGGTTGTCAAGATTGCGGGGATGGACGGGTTTTTGATAGCACTGACAAACAAAGGACACGTCCTGAAGTTCGGTGGCCTGAGCAACGAGACATTTGTTCATCAAGCGCAATGGGAATATGTAAGGGAGTCGTTTTGTTATAGTGGATGATCTTCGGGCTGATGTCCATTGCGCCCCGTCTGCAGCTTCCAAACTTCAGCGAGACAGAGAAGATTCGGGCGCACCCCGCGTTTGCTGGCGGGGAGCGAAGAGAAGAAGGGAAGCCCGATACGCTGGCTCCACCGGTAGATGTACAAATCACCCACGTATGTTCTTGCCTTGTCTTCCGTTCCGCCTTGTTTTCTCACACATGTTCACCGTCGGACCGGCTATTCATTTGCACACAGATTACAGCGCACTTCGACCACTTTGTCGCGTATACACACGAGGATAACTCTATTGTCCTACAAGGGAACACGGACACGAGGGCGGACGAGGCGGCGCACGTAATACCTGAACTGCAATACAAGGCGATCATTTCGGTTGGTCTGGGCGACTATCACAGTGTGGCGCTCTCTGCAGATGGAAAGTTATACTCATGGGGTGCGTTCCAAATGGGTGCACTTGGGCTTGGACAGCCGGAAGAACTACCTGTGGGTGCACCAGGCGGGTATACCACACAACAACAAATAGATCGCGCAAGACAGGGATACCGCGTGCATGTTCCAGACGTTCCAGTACCGACGGAAGTGCGCTTCGACCACGACTTGAAGAAGAGAAGGGACCGGTTTTGTTTCGCTGCGACTGCAGCCGGTTGGCACTCCGGTGCATTGGTGATTGATCTTGATCCCGAGGTCAGACTTCTTCAAGGTTCTCGGAATGTATAGTTATATTGAACGTACTCAATTTTGAATACAGGGGGCCGAAGAGGACGAAGTCGAGGCGGAACACGACGACCCAACAAGCCAAATGCCCGGGCACTTCGATCCACAACCGTCGTTTCCTGCAGACATTCCACAATACGGTCCAGGTCAGATGCCACTCATGCCATGGATTGGCAGGATACCAGGACCACACGCACCTCGAGGACCCTTCAGAGTAGGGTTTGCGGGAAGAGGGGCATCTAGAGGACGGGGCGGGTAATACGGTAATATAGATGGACCGGAGTCATTATGAAGATACAACATAGAGGGGCTGAACTTTGCGGAAGTTAGAGGTATCGAAGAAGACGACTGTATCACCTTAACATTGACAGTGAGAATGTACAACAGTAATGACTCGAGATGACATGAATTGGGAACAATGTCTGAGAGTTTTTCCGATGTCATTAATAGTTCGTGTCCTGAATAGCGGAGTTTAGTATTCAACTGATTTCGCTAGCGAGGCGTGTCAGAGCGTCTTTCGGTAGAGGAATCCACAATGTCCCGCTACCGTCTGCAGCGCTTGACGAGACCACGAGACCATGGTCGCGGTACTCGCCGAGTAATGCCTGCATCGCTGTATCGTTCGTTGCAATGAATTCATCTCGCGCAGCCGCGAAAAGTAGTTCATAGCTCGTCGCGACATGTGGCCCGGGCTGCACGGGAGCACCGGAACCCGTCTCGGCCGCGAGAGCGTCCATCGCGGCAGTTTGCCGCGTGCAGAGGAGCGCGAAGAGGCGCTTCGCCTTGGCTGTCACGGATGCGAGGACGTGTTTTGCTGCTCCCTCCGCGATCATCCCGCCCGCGGTACCAATACCAGCTATGTTAGCTTGTATACCGCGTCCTCGTTGCCCAACTGATGTGCCTGCGTAGGACGTGCGGTCTGCGTAAGTGAGCTCGAAATCGTATGACTGCATCGTTGTAAGATCGTGCCAAAGCCAAGAGAAGCCGCCTGTTGGAAGAGCTTGTCCTGCAATACTGTGATTTTCACTTCCGCTCGATTGTCTGGCTTTGGGTTGTGCAAAAGACTCTGTTGTTGACCAAAGGAGTGGGGCATTGATGTGGTCGACGGAAGCTGCTATGTGAATAGACCGATGTGATGCAAGTGCTGCAAGACAGCTCTTAGCACGTTCAGAACGAAGTGCTGGGGCGTCGATGTTGTGGATAATGAGGAACAAATGACGCGCAGTGGGCTTCCGAGCGTATTTCTCTAAAATTCGTCTGCATTGTGCTTCAAGCCCAGAGCCAGCATTGGGTACATCTGGGGCACCGATTACTTGTTCTGCTGAAGCGAGGAAGTCCTTTAGAGCGAAATTAGGAAAGAACGCGTTTGCGATGACGACGTGTCCCTTCTTCGCACAAAGTCGTGCGAAACGGTTGAGGACCTTGCGCTTTGAACCAAAGCCATAGAATATGAGATTGAAGTTCACGGCAAGTTCGGTAAGGTACATCGGGAAGTAATTAACATGGGACTCTTCAAGTGCGGATATCCGCTCGTTGAGCAGTGCTGGAACCTTCATTCCACGAATACGCTCGTGGAATTCTTCGGGAGTAAGAGGCGGAACAAGTTGGGAGAAGACGTTTGAAGAGGTCTTGGATGATTTACCAGCCTGAGTGAAGTAGGCATCAAACGCGCTTGGAAGGTGTGCAGAGGAAGAATCGTCGAGGAGAAACTTGCGAGCCCAAGCCGTCGCGTCGCGTCCAGCATCCTCGACCTCGGAGCCGGATTCAGCGTCGCTCGTCGGGGGATTTGAGTCTCGCTCGTCTCCAGAGTTTTCCATGACTTGTGTGTCTTCAATGTTCCCTTTGCCGCCTTTACAGACACAGCAAGAGTAGAGACACAGAATTTGTCCGAGCAAGAGAACTGTAAGCTAGAGTAGAGCGCGATTCAAAATTCGCGTCGCGTCGAGAAATGCATCACGTGAGGATTGTGGTACCGTGACTACCGAGACTAAGTACATTACAACGCATTTATTATTATCTATCGTTCCTCTTCATAGCATTACAAACGACGAACGTAGAGCACTGCCTGTCAGGGCGCCGCACGCCCAACAATGTCGATACAAGTACCTTCAGCGGCGCAAGCCATCGGCGAGTACCTACAGTCTCCAGACGATCTCATGAAAGTCGCTGCGTTCCGCAAGAAACTCGAGAAGGAGAAAGCATCTATCGACGCCAGGCTCAAGACAGGCGTCAAGGAGCAACTAGAGGCTACTCGTGATGGACTGCGGAAGCTACTAGGTACTCGTACGAACGTTCAAGCAATCAAGGACGAGATGGCAACTATCGACGGCTTGTGCAAGAATCCGCAGAACACCATATCGACGTTTGACCAGATCGCGCGGGTCTCGATGGTTCATCGTAATTTCGAGCAAGTAGAGGAGATGGTAAATAACCTTACGGAAATGCATGACAAACTAGACATGCTCGAAGGGATGCTTAATGCTGATAGACAAGATATCACTGGACCTGCTCGCAATCTCCTTATACTCCATATCCACCTCACTCAGCTGGAGAATTTCAGGAATCAGACCCTGCATCAGGCAAAGAAGGCTACTACGGATTCTCGCGCCATCTTGAATCGTTGGTTTGAGCGTCTCAACAAGTTCGTGGCGAACTTTGAAGAATACTTTGCTGATCTTAGTCGCAATATTTTGCCTATTGTCCGAGCTGGTCACTCGGAGGTTGTCGTTAAGCTGGTAAAAATAGCAGAGATTGAGGGAAAGGAGGATGAAAAGGTCTGTTGTTTCCCTTTATTCTAACCTAGTTACTAACCCGATTATAGGCCATAGCCATTCGTCTGGTTAAGAAGGCGGCCAAAATGGATGCTGCATCAAAATTCAGATCTCTGCAGGCTAATGCTCGAGTCATCAAGCACTACAGATCAAAGCTAACAAAAAATGTAACGGACTCGATCAAGGCATCCTTTGAAGAGGCATATCGGGCGGATGAGGAAGACCCAGCGGCATTTGTAGAGAACTTAAACGGGTGGATGTACAAGGACCTCGTACGAATCGAGAACGATGTCGTTCCCTGCTTTCCGCAGAGCTGGGATATCCATTCCTTATACATCCGCGAATATCATAAAGCTCTGAACGATTCATTGAAGAAAATTGTCGCCTCAAAACCTGATCCACCCGTTCTACTTATTATTCACGGCTGGTTGAAGGAACACAAAAAGAACATGAAGGAACTCGGTGTACCACCCGAATGGCTCGAACCACCGTTGTTGGGAGGCAATGAACAAAGTCTTATCGAGGATTATCTACAAACAATTATCAGTAAGCTCGACGAATGGACTGATAACCTCATGGCTGCGGAGAAGAAGACGTTTATCACTCGTTCTGATCCGCCTGAGGTCGATGCGGACGGGCTCTACGGTATGCAGGGTGCCGTCGACTTATTCCAGATGGTCAATCAGCAGGTCGACCTGGCCATGGAAAGTGGGCAAGGCGGGATCCTTGCTCGTGTTGTCACAGAAAGCGCACGCGCCATGCGTGGTACACAGGAACAATGGGTACGTCTTGTCGAAACAGAGTACAAGAAACAAGTCGAGAAGCCCGACGAAGTTGCTGGTGGACTGGGCGAGTACTGTATCGCTCTCGCAAACGACCAAATCAAGTGCGCAGACTACGCGGAAGCTCTATCTGGACGTCTAGAACCGCTTGTATCAGAGAAGTACAAGGTCGTGATTGTCGAGCGGCTGAATGATGCGATAGATGGATACCTTGATGTTGCGAAGAAGTGCACACAGACGTTGATTGATATCGTTTTCAATGACCTCAAACCTGCATTAAAGCAGCTGTTCCAGCCAGCATGGTACGACGGTAACGTGGGACAAATTATCGAGACAATGCGGGATTACATGTCGGACTACCAACAATATCTCAACTCAGCAATCCTAGAGCTCCTTGTCGAGGACCTATTAGATGCGTTCCTCGTCGCCTACCTGACCGGGCTTGGGAACGCAACGAAGTTACGCATGCCAGCAGCAACAGATCGGATTCGGGACGATGTCAGCCTCGCGTTCAAATTTTTCAGCACGTTGAAGCCAGCAAAGGAGCTCGAAGCTCACTTCGAAGTTGTCGAGCTTGTTCTTGCGCTCCTCGAGGCATCCAAGAGTCTCGTCTTTCTTTCATTCTGGGAGTTCGCGAAGGTGCATGGACCGAATATACCTTTCGTCGAGGGTCTCATGAAGGCACGCGATGATCTCGACCGTACGGCGGTCAGTGAAGTTATGGAGAGCGTGAAACGCAAGGTAAAGGAAGAAGGCCTTACAGATCGTAAGTGAATTTCCACAAACCGGGGTTCTTTGCATCTAACTTTATTTCGCAGCACCTGAGCCTACTATTATGAAGAAGATCGCCATCCAGGGAACATTTGCGCGGCTACTTCGCACTGCGGCATCGTAGTGTGAATGTTGTTGATATTTGTTATTCTCGTCATTCTTCGCGCCTGTGTTCGTTTTCCGGGACATTGAGTTTTATTCTTCGTTACCCACGTATTTATTCTGACATTTGTCTTTGTGGAACTGTATCGACTACCCGTAATTGTATTTATACATCTTAACATTAGATGCTTTCAGTTTCGCTTCGTGTACTTCGGCTTCATACCTTCAATCTGTTTTGGTCTTGCTTTCGTCCGACTTCGAGCGGTCTGGAAGCCTCTTGGCGGTCTCATCGATCTTCTTGAATTGGAACGGAAATCGAGAAGGATATAGGAACGGGCGCAGATCAAATCCTGCAAATAGGCATCAGACATGTGCACTTCTTCCGCTCATCCTGCCTTCGGATATCAAACTCACTATTATCGTCCGGACTGTACGACTCCTAATTAAGACGGTATTTTTTCCCAGTCAACTCTTCTTAATTCTGTGCTGCCGAGGTCGGGGAATGGGAGAAGAAAGAAGTCAACTTACGGCATGATATGCCGGGGTGAGAGTAGTCATCTTGTGCCGGTTTCGCGCGTATTCGAAGAAGAAAAGCTTCACTTTATCCGCTATCTTCGATATGCAAAACAAACTCGGCGTCAGTCGGGCTGGGGAAGCATAGGGTCACGCGTATGTGTGTAGATTGTGAAACGAAGGGAGAAAGCAGGGAAAAGAACCCGTGGAAGCTTACTTGCAGTGGCGAGAGCTTTGACCCCCACTCGTGTACGAGCTTCGTAAACATGCCATAAGGCCCACACTTCTCCACTTTCCTAAGGCGCCCGAAAACCGATAGTTCGTTATATGTCATTCCCATATCGGCCTGTCATACGGAGAAAATGAACAAGTTTGCTCACGTCACTCGGCTATTGCGGGAAATTTACTCACTTCATCAGCCTGCACGTAATTTTCAGTTATTGGCTCAAGCTCAGCCGTGGGGACGGCGTCCAAGAAGCTGGAAGAAAGAAGATCCCGTGAGCCTCGGAGAATCCGTTGTGGGACGATTCCTTAATATTGTGGAATCTAGAATAAAGTTGCATACTTGGTAAGGATGGGAAGTTCAAATGCATCTCTCGCATAGGCAATGAACTTCTTCAAGTCTGTCTTGCTGATTCCGCCGATGGGATTGATGTCAGCTGAAATGGCGGAAGAACAACATCAGAAGATTAAAGTTCGATAGCATCGTGTATTTCTGTCTTCGGAGGCACGAACCGGAAGAACAGTCATATTTGGTCAAATATCCTCGTAAGCTATAAGATACGAGACAGAATGTCAATTTGGTTGTTTTACTAAGCTCGAAGAAACTCACCTTTCATCGACGTTTGCGCTTCCTAGCACGAGGAGTCCACCTGTCCTGCCTCGCAAGAAAGGCATGAGCTGTGCAAATAAATAGGAGAGGACCATCCGAATACGAGCCTATTCGGCAAGCGTCGGGCCACGTCAAGATCAACAGTAGTAAAATAAGGAGCCCCGAAATAGTGCCTACTTGAATATTCTGTAATGCAAGGTTTTCCGCTTCAGATCCGCCATGCAGCTTGAACTTGGGAGTGACTCCAGTTACGTATCCAAAAAGAGTACGAACAGCCGTCACGACGGAGTCCATATTCAGGTCAATGTGGTAGCTTCCAATCGCATTCCCTAGATCCTTTGCACGCTCTCGTGTCTCTGCACTGGAATTTACCGTACCCATATAGCAGGTGTGCAATATGCGCTGGCAGAACTGGTTCGGGTCAGTCGGTACGTAAGATGAATCCTCGGGCGCGCCGGCGATTCGACGCGCGTCAGCAATGACTTGAGCGTCTGGAGAAACCAAAGGTAAGGATATTAATTGCGTGATAAGACTCTGGACTAAACTTTCCTCCACGATGGGCAGCTTCTGAAACAAGTCTACACATTGAGTAAACAATGACAGCAGTCGCACAGCTGTCAATCCCACCGCTCAAAGGTAGGAAGTACCCTTGCGTCCTTGATCTCCTAAGGTAATCCCAGAGCCAGCATGCTGGCCCAAGTCTGATAAGAATCATAATAAGTACCAAACTTGTAAAACGTTGTAAACTGATCATAAGAGAATTGCCACGTACGCAATCTCTTCTTCTGGTGTGTGATAACGAACTTCGAAAATTCTGTAACCCTCCACGTCAAGTACGTCTAACGCCAGCGGATCAGACAAAGCAAAAGGCACTTCGACGCGATGATAGCGTTCTGCTTCTGCTGCTTGCATACTCCTACTTGCTTTCGCCCTGTGTGCACGAACGTCTTCGATGTCTAACGTAGCAGTCACGACTTCGACATCCTGGAGAGAAAATTGAGATCCTTGCGCTACTATGCGACCATTTGCAGCAATCATAGCGCATCCATCATAATAGAGTCTATCGCCGTCGCACCCTTGTTGATTTGCATATAAATAGATCCCTCCGAGCTGTTATCGCGGATATTGAGAAATGCTAATCGTGATCATAATGCATATACTGACCTTGAGAGTCGCTTCCTTGATCAATTCTACGCGACGATAGAGCTTCCGTAGTTCATGGTGACTTCCGCTTGAGTTTGTAAAGATCTCGACGCCATCAAGTCCCATAAGAATGTGGGGACTGAGTATAGCTTTTGTCAGAATGGTATAATTTCAAGGTGTATACCTCTGCACGTACCTTGCTGGAGTAAACAACTCTTCACAAAGTTCAACGCCAATACAAGTGTCGGCCGTGCTAACCACAGCATCTCCAAATGGTACTTTGACCTTAACAGGAAGGGTCAGCCAACAGTAGAAGCGTGCATGTATTGACCTTGTCAACCTGATTAGTGATATTCTGGATCATACGAGGCAAGTAGTGATCCTCGACTTGACGATGCTTCTGCCATGGTGTAAAGTAACGTAGCTCCCGGTAATTTCCATCATTGGCTAACCACATTTTCGGACGAATCAGGAGAATTCTATGATTGTATATGATGATCCGACAGTTGTAAATGACGTTCTTATGCGTCACTGGCCTACGTCACTAATGAGAATAATGTACCATGATGCGACACGAATACGTACATCCCAACGTCGCAAAGAATATCCGACACGTCTTCAGACTCTAAAATCTTCCCAAGGATCTCCCAGGAGTGAAGCACAGTGTCACCTAAGGAGGTTGAGACCAAGCCATGCTGTCAGATAATAAACTGACCCTCCAAGAAATGGTCAAGGCATCCGTATCCACTGGCATAAGTATATATTAGACACCTGAAGGAGCAGAAGAGCAAGGATACACACGGAATCTCGAGCTCAGGCCCGACTCTGAGCGTGGCACCTCGTTCCTTTGCGATCCGGATACTTTGCAATATCCTCTCGAAGTTGCCCTTGCAATCACATAAGTGCTGAATAATTTGTCAAGAAGTATTGGTATACCTCGAAGTCGAGCGCCCATTGGTTCAGAGAACTTAGTGTTTTGCATGTTCAGGTGCATTGGTAAGAATTGGCGAAAGAACAGCTCACCAACTGAACAAATTGCTTGAGTAATTGAAGAAGAGAAGAAAGTTGATTGTGCTCACGTTGCAACAGTAATAAGGTGACCCATACCTCGTATATGATAGTACAGTAATATGTTTTGAGGATTTGGGTAGTGATGGACAGTTTCAAGTCGCGTCGGGGTTGGCGGTGTGATATCGTCCAAAGTTGTAGTTCGTGTGATTATCTTATCTCTGCTCTAGATTATTATTTATTACGTAATAGTAAGAACATTGGACATGAACACGAAAAATTGCTTCATATTTTAAATATTTATTCACCGGTCGTAAATCGGGCTGAAGTCGGGACTACGTAATAAGAACATCAATCTATATATATACACGACATAAAGGTCCCCTACACACGGCTGTACCGCATTTTTGGTCCATACCAAATTTCTGGTCTAAAGTCTAGCCATAGTCATTAATCCTTGTTAAGTCGAAATTCATCAGGATTCAGGGTCCCTCGGAATGATTTCCGTGAGTGAAGATTTCGGTGGCTCTGAGAAGCAAAGAATCATAGCTGGTCTATATAAAGCCCTAAGCAGGACAGTTGGTTGGTCACTACCCCCTCGAATTCTCATCACGCTGCACTAGTCTCAAAAAAAGACAATGCCGTCCTATCTCCCGATAGAACTATGGATACTCATTGTCAAGAGCGCGGTTGCATTGCCTGTGAACCGAAATTGGTTTAATCCTCGTTCAGGCAACTTTGAATGCGTAAAGGGCCTTGCAAAGAGCTCAGAAACATTCACAGAAATAGTGCAGGCGCTGAAAGATGAAATACTAGTCCTTTCGTTCCCGGGAATTGAGCAAGTTAGTCCCAGTTCAGCACGTCGAGCAAAGTACGTGAAACCGTTTAGTCACAATTACTGACACCTGATAATCATCACCAGGCACCTTGACATAGTTGACAACAGTCGCCTTTTGGGAACGCCAGTCCTCGACAGGATAGCAGGATTCTCACAACTTACATCATTATCACTCTCAGCACAAGAAGAGCCCATAAATATTCTCTTGTGTCTCCAATCTCTTGACGTCTCCCGGACTCTCCAATCTATCGACGTGGAAGGAGGATGGGCAAGAATGTTTCATCTCGGAGATTATCCAAAGCATTTCTTCCCATCGACATCACTGTCTTTTCCAAACTTGAAACGGTTGCGTCTGCGCCATATGGGACTAATTCCGTTCTGTAGGAACTCGTTTCAAGAGCAAGTTATGGTACGTAACTTAATTACCTTGTGTCAATTTTCTGCTATAAAACTCTTATCCTGTCCAGAGGGATGTGGCATTATTCTTTAGTGGATGTAGTGATCTCCAACTTATATCCATTCACGTCCCTTTGGACGACGCGGATGACTTTTACGGGCTGCTCAATGTTCATCGGTTCTTGCTTGACCACATTGTACCATCAGAAGGGTACGAACGGGACATGACTAGCTGTCCAATATGCTTTAAGGCCTACAACCATGCCCGTGTCGCACGGGCAGAGAACTCGGCAACGCGTATATTTGCGGAGAAACTACCAAATCTTTCAGAGATCCGTTGGATGAACATATGGGCTGATTCACCGGAAGAGGGCCATCAACGACAAATCAAAATTACACGTCAGAGAGGCGCTATAACTTTGACGAGCGATGATGGACGCTGGAAGACGTTCATCGACTTGTAGCTCATCATTCTCTCATATGTGAGTATTTGTGCCCTCCATAGTAGCCGTTACTGAGCTGGTCGGCATTGCTTGTTCAGTGCACACTGCACGCTGCAAGTATCACTTCGGCAGAGGGCTCTAGTCGCAATGGGAACGAATTGTGTAAATAGTTAGGAGACGTTGTCTGCATGTTACCGCTGTTTTTCAGCAGTAATGGTTTGCAATATCATATTGTCATAGCTTTTTTTTGCCGTAGCTCAGTGTATCCAACTTCGACATATTTTCCATTTTTGGACGAAAAGCGATTCAGATTTGGATTACATAACAGAGACTGTTATCTCCTGATTCCCACGATGACATTGACAAGTCTCACATTCGTTAGTTCGTCTCCGAGACTCCGACCACTCTTTGTATTCTCGGTGCTTCACGCCTGTTGTCACCATAAAAGGATGCCGTATCGTCTTCCGATAGAACTATGGACACTCATAATCAGACATGCGATAGCACCACCGCCCATCGAGCCAGATCGATTCAATCCACCTCTGCACGATTTTGAGTGTGTTAGTGGCTTTGCTGGAAGCTCGACGACATTCAGAGACATAGTTCAAGTGTTAAAAGATGAAATACTGGTTGTACATTTCTCAGATATTGAGCAAATTAGTCCTATTTCAGTGCGCCGAGCAAAGTAGGTAGGAACATCCACCTGCAAACCCCGGCGTCTGATAATCATAAACCAACAGATACCTTCAGATAACGAGCTCTAGTCTAGGCAGTGACGTCCTCGACAGGATAACGGGTTTCTCGCAACTGACATCTTTTTCGGTTGTACTTTTGGAAGGACCTGTAGAATTTCTCTTCCGTCTTCAATCGCTCGCTATGTCCCAGACTTTGCAATCCATCGACATAAGGGCACAATTGTGGGCGATATTTAATCCTGGGGAATATTCAAAGCATTTACTTCGGTCATCGACACTGTCTTTTCCAAAATTGGAACGGTTGCGTCTAAGTGATTGTGATCCATTCAGCCTCTGTGAGGACATTATTCAAGAGCAAACTATGGTGCGTAACGATATTATCCGAGATCAGCTATATAGGTGTTCTCATACTATGCAGAGGGAACTGGCAGCTTTCTTTAGTGGATGTCGTGATCTTCAGCTATTAACTATCCATATCCCTCTGGGAAAGAAAGATGACATTGTTAGGATGCGCGGAGTGCATTATTCTTCTCTTTAACATCTTGCACCGTCGGAAGGCTATAAGCGGAATATGCTCGCATGCCATATTTGCTGGGAAAGTTATGACCACGCCTTCGTCGTACGGTCGGAAAATATGGCAGCGCGTATATTTGCGGAGCAGCTCCCAAATCTTTCAGAGATCCGTTGGCTGGACTTATGGGCATATTATAACTTCGATGAGGGTTGTCAACGGCGGGTCAAAATTACCCGACAGAGGAATACTACAAAATTGATAAGAGATGACGGACGGGAAGTGTCGTGTATTGTATTGTAACTAATTATTATTATACCTTACGTGTGTGTCTTTCTTTTTTCTTTTATGTCCTCCGTGCTGATTCTGTCTGTGTTCCTATTTCGTTTAGCATGACCCTTATTTCCACGGAGGACTCAGAAGTCTCAGCTCAAATAAAAGCGTACTTCACGCGAGCGCCAAAATTCAAATGTCATCGCTATTGTCATTCGTTGGAGCTGTTCGTTTGGCTATTCGACTCATCTGTATTGTCCTTCAAGTTGCTTCTGACTAAGGACGGGACTCTAATTGGGCAAAGTAATAAATAGTTGCCATCAGTTCGTATGGCGAAGGATACGTTCGCTTGACTTGAGAAGAAGACCAACCATATCGGCTCCCTTGTGCACGCTTTGCAATGCTCACTTAACTTTGGTGAACAAGCACAGACTTCTGTGCATCAACAACAAACAGAAACACGTCCTGTGCTTCTTCTGCTCAAGGCCAAGGTGAGTGTCCACCAAGGTAGTCATTACTGAGCCAGTCAGCATTCAGTTCATTTAGTGCCAGTCTTACTTTGGCAGACAGCTTTAGACACAATAAAAACAGGTCGTGTAAATAGCCAAGTGTCATTGTCTGAATGTTACTATTGTCATTGTCTACTACATGTACTAAATGTACTAAGCACATTGTCTGTCAGTGTACTATCCTGCAAGTAGTTGCTCCCAGAAAGTGTGTGACTCTCTGAATAATATTGTAGTGATCACCTTGTGCCAGTAATAAGGTGATCCATGCCCAATATTTGATAGTACTGTAAACATTTCAGTGTTAGATAATATTAGGCTGCTAGTATAATTTCAAGGTTATTTGATCAGATTGTATGCTCACATGATCAGCAGCATTGAAGCATGAACTTAGAGCATGAAGGGAAAACTGCTTTATATTTAAACCAGCAGTGGTGGTTTGCAATATCATATTGTCACACTATTGTTTTTGCTGTAGCTAAGTGTTTCTCAAGTTAGACATATTTTCCATTGTTGGACGAAAATCAGATCATGTTCAGATTACATGACATGTGGTTATCTATAACACCTTGTAGCCAGACGAAGCGCGGTAGATTGTTTCTAGCGTCTCCCTTTATTCTCGGTGCTTCACGCTTACATCGCAAAACAAAGATGCCGCATCGTCTTCCGATAGAGCTATGGATCAAGATAGTCAGACATGCGATAGCACAGCCCTTCGACCGAAATCGATTTAATCCGCCTCTGCACGATTTTGAGCGCATTAGTGGCTTTGCTGGAAGCTCGACGACATTCAGGGACATAGTTCAAGCATTAAAAGACGAAATGCTGGTTGTAGATTTGTCCAATATCGAACAAGTTAGGCCTATTTCAGTGCGCCGAGCAAAGTATGTAGGAACATCTAGCTGCAAATCCCGGCGTCGATAATCATATACCAACAGACACCTTGAGATAATGCGCCCGTGTCTCATTTCGGGAACTCTCGCCCTCGATAGGATAGCAAGGTTCTCGCAACTGACATCTCTCTCGACTGCACCAGTGACAGAACCTATGCAATTTCTCTATCGGCTTCAATCACTTGCAATCTACCAGACTTTACAATCAATCGACATAGGAGGAGATTGGTCGAGCATATTTTATTTCGGAGATCATTCAAAGAATTTACCTCGATCATCGGTACTGTCTTTCCCGAACTTGACACAACTGCGTCTACTTGAGAGAGATGGACACATGTCCTTTCCGGATATTCTCCAAGAGCAAGTTATGGTGCGTAATGACGTTGTTCAAGGTGATCTATAATTACGTTCTCATACAACGCAGAGGGACATGTCAGTTTTTTTTAGTGGATGTCGCAATCTCCAGCTTTTATCTATTCACGTCGCGTTGGACAAGGGAGATGACATTGATACGATGCATGAAGTACATTGTTCTTCTCTTGAGCATCTTGTACCGTCGGAAGGCTACGAACGGTATATGTTCAAATGCCCTCTTTGCTTGGAAAGCTATGACTACGCCTTCGTCGTACGGTCGGAAAATATGGCAGCACGTATATTTGCGGAGAAGCTTCCAAATCTTTCAGAGATCCGTTGGCTGGACTTATGGGCATGGGATAACTTCGATGAGGGTTGTCAACGGCGGATCAAAATTACCCGACAGGGGAACGCAACAAAATTGATAAGAGATGACGAACGGGAAGAGTCGCGTATTGTATTGTAACTAATTATTATTATACCTTACGTGTGTGTCTTTCTTTTTTCTTTTATGTCCTCCGTGCTGATTCTGTCTGTGTTCCTATTTCGTTTAGCATGACCCTTATTTCCACGGAGGACTCAGAAGTCTCAGCTCAAATACGGGTGTAATTCATGCGAGCGCAATAAGTCAAATATCATCGCTATCGCCGTTCGTTGGAGCTGTTCGTTTGGCTATTTGATTCATCTATGTTGTCCTTCAGGTTGCTTCTGAATAAGTACAGGATTTTGTAATTGCGCAAAGTAAGGAAATAGTCGCCACGGCAAATGTTCTTGTGGCGAGAGGTACAGTCGCTTGACTCGAGACGAATATCATCCATATCGACACCCTCGCACACTCCTCGCAATGCTCACCTAACTTCAGTGAACAAGCACAGACTTCTGTGCGTCAACAGCAAACGGAAACGTACCCTGCGTTTCTTCCGCTCCGTCTGAGTGAAGCACCTCTGCGGGAATGGTTCCCGAGTTGCCTGCCGAGATCTGGACAAACATTGTAAAACAAGCAATTACAGTCTGGCCGGCTACCAGCTTTAACCTCCTTCCTGATGACTCAAAATGCATTGAAGGGTTCTCATACGCTTCAAAATTCACCAAAAGTATCGTCGACAAACTTCGCCACGAGAACCTTGTACTACAAGATTATGATGACTTTATCTTTCTTTATGTCCCTTGTCGGTCCGTAAAGTGCGTGTCTACACTCCTTGGCGAATGGATGCCTTTGTCCTAACTCCTTTCCAGATATCTTCGAATAAATGAAACCTTACCTTCCAGGCAGATGTTCTCTAATGCCTTCTATACAACACTATCAGACTATGATCAACTAATCTCGCTCTCCATCTGCACGCCTGAAGTAGAAATGACTTGCTCTAGACTACCAGATCTTTCGTTTGCAACCACTTTACGTCGGCTCGATCTGCGGTGTAAAAACAGCCATGACAGGGTGTTCTGGGACGCGGTGACTGTCAGCCTACCTGGGTTACTAGAGCTACGACTTGGTGCATCTGAATTTGTCGAATCTGATACCGGACTCTCTGGACAACAGGATCGCTCTGTCCGTGAACGGGCACATACAGATGCAGAGACATTCGCAGTAGGTCTTACTCGCTTGTTTTGTGTTCGTCGAAATTAATTGACATGTGTTGTGAATAGACTAGTCTTGCAACGCGCCTGTCAGGTTCACAAAACCTCCGCTCCCTCATTCTCCACATTCTGCTGAACGACATCAGCCCTGATGATGGTTTCTTCGACGAAAAGATAACTATGCAAAACGAAAGTGGAGCTACTTTGATCTTAGCGCGGACGCTCCCAAAACTCGAGAACGTGTTTTGGCAGAATCCGTGGATAGACGAGGAGGGAGATGGAGAAGTGGTGCAGAGAGGCTTGAAGGTTGTCAGAACGGAGGGTGGGATTGCATTAATAAGGGACGACTAGGGGCTTGTGTGGTTCTGCTGGTGGCAAAACGTGATGAAGCCGTTGTTCCTATATCTCCTAACAGGTGTTGATGGCATGGCACCATGTGTACAGCTATTTGAGTGATAAAGTGCGCAATATGAGTCGGGTACCTACTCAATGGGTGCAGTGTGAAGAACGCAACATGTTTCGCAACATAGATTGATAATATGATAAATGCTTTTGAACTTTTGATACATACATAAATCCTTATTTGTTATACATACAGACTACCCATGAGAAACTAATGTGTATACTATAGAAGATGTGCGATTAGGGAAAAGCAAGATAAGAGCGAGTTGCTAACCATATTCCCATATGAGATGCCAGCAAGAAAGAATATCCAATTGAAATATATTATACTTGACCAAGAAATAATGAGACAGCTCAGCTATGCATAGTGGCTGCACGCAATCCCAGCCGGGACGGAGACTTCATCCTCAACGTTCTCATCCCATGTTCGATCTCCTCAATATTATTCCGTACCTCCTCCGCAGCTCGAGTAGCTGCTTTCAACCGCGTACGTCCCTGTTCAAAAACGTCGTCGTATTCAGCATGTTCTGGCCCGCTTCGCATGCCACGCCTTGATCGTGCTCCAGTATCTTCAGATCTAGAGTTATCCGTAAAACGTACAGTGATTCGACCAGGGTTCGGATCGTGTTGGTCAACTTCTAAGTCAGGTTGGCCGTCCAGAAGTGCTAATATCGCAGGTCGAATACGCGCAACGCCGCCTGTACTGTGGTTTCCTCGACCGCTAATGATTTCAGTGCACTGAAGTCCAGCTCTACGGCAGTTTTCAATGTGAGTCCTGACGAACTCCTCTGCTTCGCGAACGTGCAAGTGGTGTAGGTCTATCTTGACTCGCGAGTTCGGATTGGAGTGATATTCTGGATTGTGGTGGTTGAAGATCTCAGCGGCGGCTGCGCGGTTGTAGTTCCTCATGTTGTTACGATGTTGAGCGCCTGTTTCCTGAAGCTGTAGGACGATATAAGTATGTCAAAATCTTATGAAGTTCGGCCATGCTCTGGGAGACCAACCTTCTTGGCGAATGCTTTATCTCCGGAAGCATACGCTTCGCGTGCACGCTCGTATTCCCGGTCTGCAAGTCGTCCCTCTCGAACTGCCAAACGACGAAGTTCCTGGCCAGGAGCGTCGTCAACCTGATCTGCCTCGTTCGATCCCGGACGACGGCCATCATGAGCTTCCGCAGAAAGCTCCGCTTCCTCTGCTTCTGCCTCAGCTACTTCTTCCCTCACTTCCTCTTCTTCCGTGAGCCTCCCAGTCTCGTCATCCTCTTCCTCCTCGGAGTAGTCAGATTCCAGCTCAGGAGTTGCCGAAGGAGCTCGAGGGGGAGGAGTAACTGCGCGGCGTAGAGGTGACGGAGCTCGAGAAGGTGATGCAGTGGGAATACGAAGGTGGGACGTATTGCTGAGAACATGCACCTGAGTGGGAGGTGACGTAACGGAGGGTGCATATCGCAGTGCAGTTGTAGTAAAAGCAGGACTTTGCGAAGGAGAGGCTGAGCGGCTTGTGGATCGCAAGCTGTGAACTTCGTCTTGCAGTTGCTGAACTCTCTGTTTTGAGTAGAGGCGTTGAATTTCTACATGTTTATAATCGTCAAATTAAAGTATATTTAGATGGAAGGTAGTACTACGTACTTGCTTCCTCGAGATCGCGTCTGAGCTGATCCATACGTTTCAGTGCACTACGTGCCTCCGCGTAGTCATCCTCCAAATCCAGGAGATCGGCTTCTAGCTCCTTGATGATCTTGTCCCGTTTTTCGAGCTTGCGCTCCAGTTTTTCGGAATAGTTACGCTCATCGTCAAGATCATCTCGTAGATCTTTTGTGAGTTGTGTCTTGCTCGCGAGGTCCTTGCGCAATCGATCGCAGTGCTTATATTCCTCCTCCAGCTTTTCGCGTAGTTTCTTGGAATACTTCGTTTCTTCGCGGAGGTCATCACGAAGAGATTTGATATCGTCCGTGTGTCGTTTACGTTGGTTCTCGATGTAGTCTTGTAGACGTTGGATTTCCCTGCGGAGGTGTCGGTTTTCTTCTTCGGCCATATTCTTGAGCCTTGACCTATATTTCGGGAAAGAGAGAGCGGAGAGTGCGTTTCAGAAAAGTTCAGAGAGGCGTTGCATGGGTTAAGCAAGCCCTTGAAGTAATTTCAGACACAGGACACGAGGCAAACAAGCTTAAGCGGCTCGCTCTTCACGTTTTCAACCGAATTTTATTCTCCGACGCCTCCGGTGTGAACAGTGGGCTTATTTCCGAGAGAGTCCCATGATTCACATGGTATGATGTACACCGTGGCCCATTTACAAAGGAGATAGGTCTCTTTTTGTGATTCATGTTGTGAGGCGGAAGGTGTGGCCGGACTGTTGCAGTGGCTAGGGCCTGGTACATGATCGTCTCGTCGGACCCGAAAGGGCAACTCGATCAGACGCGTTGACGTGTTGGCTACACGTGACCATTTTCCATCTCCTTAACTCAACTTCTTTCACAGCAGTACGCGATTGAAACGAGCTTTATGAAGTCATTGTACCTACTACCGACCATATAGCCCGGTAGGAGAGCCGTAATCTATGAGTCTTCCATGGTATCGATTTCCAGGAACAACTGCAAGAACTTGGATCAATCCGTCATTGAATACGTACAGAGAACACGTCTGTGACGCGTGTTGAGGACACGCTGAGTAGGTATGCCTCGCACTGTGCTTTACAGTGCACAGGAGATCTGCACCCTCTGGTTTCCTTCATCAACGTCTCTATTTGTAAATTAGTCCTCTGCTTTTGTACTCTGCCAATGAGTTGTTTTGCAAACCTCACTGCAAGGTAGTTCTTCATCTTCAGAGTTTCCAACATTTCACGCTAAGGTGAATACATCAGAATAGTGATGCACTCACTGCACCAGAACATTGCGTCATAGCACACACATTGAGGGGAGGGGATGCATTTCCCTTTGTACGTGTCATGTGCTGTTGGGTTGCATCACGTTTCTTATTTAAACCGGGATGTTTCCATTACTGACGGATGCTTCCTCAGCCTACATGTATGAAGAGAAGCTGTACATCAATGGTTGGTCAATGTAATAACTCAAATATTGACTCTGTTCTGCTAAGAGACTGAGAATTCACGTACCTTTCCTCCAATGCTGTCATAGGCAAACAAAGGTAAATGTCGATCCTCCATAACAAGCAATGCTTGGCATATTGTCCCCAGTTTCTTAGCTAAGCAGTCGAATAAAAGGCCCTCACTGGACAAATATGCTTGGGGAATGAATTAAGGCTATCAAATTATGATATGAGTTGTTGATAGGAAGCTGTTGAAATACACAGAGTGAGCGGAAGAGATGCACGTTCGCGACGCGACGCGTCAGCAACTCTGTTACTCACCTCCGTTCAGGTCTCGATCGAGATCTCATCGCGCAATCAACTTTGCGCTGCGCTGCATCTTCCGCCACGGAACAGTCGGCGACGACGGGCTTTGCTTTGAGATTCAACCTTGTTTCATGACTCCGACAATCATCTGACAGCAGTCTTGCGAAGTCTGTAGTCTACTGCCTAGACTCGGGACCCGCGAAAGAGAGGGTTCGATTGCAGTTGATTCAAGAGCCTCCCGTGAAGCTTCGTCCTAGGCTTTAGTGGGAGTTCTGTAAGTCTTTTATTTGTCGCTTTCAATAAGACGATTATTTATGCTGCTCTCGTAGGCGCCTCCGTTGAACATTGGATTAGTCGGCCAAGTACTGCAACCTGAGGATTCATCTCAAGTAAGCAATCATATGCTGTTGCTCTTTTCCTGCCCGAAGACTATCAGAGTTCTTGGGCGGCTCTTCTCGTGATGAACACTTTCGATATATTTGCACGTCAGTCGGAAATTTCGCAAGAAAGCAGACGACAACTATCGCTTTTTTTCTGATTCATCCACGTTCATGCCTTTTTCATCATTCAATATAAACGAGTAGCGCGCTAACTTTGTCACGTCTCGTATCATAGCTAAAGGACAGCAATGAGCACCCTCGCGAATCCAGGAGCCGCGAGTTCCTCTCGTCTTCTGCCCGGTTCAAATGGCGTACCACCCAGCTCAGGAGGGACCGCGTCAAGCGCCCGTTCGGGAACCCTCGTGCCCACGAACACAGTCACCACGAAGGACGGCACGGTCGTGCGCGCAAGGATCGACCCAACTCTTGCTGTCGACGACGTTATCCGTCAACTATGCCTCAACTTGAAGATCCAGGATCCACCAGTGTTGTACGCTTTGAGAGATGATGCGGATGAGTTGGTGACGGATGATAATTTGAGGAAGAAGATTAAGGGGAAGGTGAACCTCAAGTACGTTTTTCTTGTTCTCGTTTTCATTTTGGAAGAGAGTTGTTGACGGGCTGTGTTTAAAGGCTTGTGAGCGCGCCGATTATCGAGGCGGCGGAGATTGTGGAGAAGTTGAGTATTAAAGACGAGAAGACGCTGCGGATGACACTTTTTTCGCTTCAGAAGTTCATTCGGGTGAGCCTGAAACGTTACTAAGAGGAAGTTTGGAATTCTCATTTCTCACTTAGGAAGAGCAATTTGCGAACGAGTTCTTACAGAGAGATGGGTTAAAAGAACTCATCGACGTTATTGGTTTGAGCCACGGAAATACGCTGGCGGTAAGGAGCAATTCATTTGTCAACATAGAATTAGAACTGAATAAATTCCAGTATGCCCTGAACGCCATGCAGAACCTGATGGAACTCGACTACGGCTGGTCAACGTTGGACCAAACCTTCATCCACACTGTCGTCCAAATCCTCTCATCATCCAGTTCGCTCATCAACGTCTGTCGTCCAGCAACAGCCATCCTCAAGAAACTAGTCGAGGCTGATCCGCGATCACAGCCGGGTCCAATTACCGCGTCGTCAAGCCGTGCACCTCCTGCTGCTCCGCCTGGTAGCGTCTACCGCTATGGCTTCGACGTCGTTTGGGAGCAAATGCGGAAGGAGAGAGGTTTGTTGGAGACGGTTGTGAGCCGTTTAGGAAGCGCGGATAGTTTAATGGTGTTGAATAGGTACGTCGTTTTTATGTGTATCCGCTGATCGGCGCATTGCTGAACTGATACTGTCGTGCAGTATGATGTTGATCAATTCCTTACTCTCTCATGCGACGGATAACCACTGGGAGGAGTTCACTTCTGAGCTTGAACGATTGAACGTTCGAAAGGCTGTTGTTGTAAGTGACTCGAGTAATCTCAGCGTGTCGTAAAACATGTATCCTGATATGTACGATTACTAGCGACTAATGTCTTCTCATGTAATCGAAGACCTAACATCCTCCATCCTCGATTTCCAAGCCAACGAAGTCCGCATAATCCTACGCCGCAAACACGAACCCGTCGACCCACTAGAGAACGTCGAGCACTTCAACTCATTGCGGTATATCTGGCAAATGGGGAAACTTGAAGAGGAAGTAGACCCGGTCGAGGTTGGTGCACTACGTAAGTGGCGGAAATTGGGGTTCGAAACGGAGGATGTGTCACAGGAGTTTGCTGCCGTCGGAGCACTGGGTTTGGATTGTTTGGTGAGCTTTGCGGCGACTGGTCCGATTCGGCGTTGGGAATACCGGATTGACATCGGTGTTTAGAAACATTTCGTACAAAGTAATCAGGATGAATTCGCCAAGGTGTGATGGCTCTCTCAGACGGGAGCTGATTGACGATACTGATACTGCATCCAAAGATCATCCTTGAACAACTAAACAGACCCGAGGAGCGTCGTTGTCCAATAGCAAAGGTTTCAAATGAAGTTGTTGAACTTCTCTGCGAGCACTGGGAGATTTTCGCACCTGGTTGTAAGTGCAGCTCGGTGCATTTGGTTGTGAAGCTAAATGCATTCTGCGTCGTTAGATTCCACGTCGACGAGTTTCCAGCCGTTTTTCTTGAACTTCTTCAAAGTCCATGTTCTTGCAACCCAGTTCTTCCTTCGGTTCGTGAATTTTGTATATCGTCTGTCTATAGTGACGGTTTACCTCGTTCGATCAGTATGTGGAATGAAAGCGGCGCAGGCGTCGATGATTTCGCTCGGGTTGTTGCACTTGCTCGAAGCCAGTATGTACTTTCTAACTTGCGTCGCACGTACTGTAATTAATTCATCGAATCTTGCAGGATCAAGGTTGCTCTCCGAGATGAGAACCTGCGCGCATGGCATGAGGTTGAGCATGACTTCCTCGAGTGCGAGTACAGGGCTGTTAGGGACAGACAGATGAAGGAGCTGGAGAACGAAGATGACCTGCTTAGCAAGGTTCCCGTTAGGTATGCCGGATTTTTTACTCACCGGCTAGCCTGTCCTGATCCGCCACATGAGCAGGAACTTGCGCGCCAAGCTGTATAAGGAGTCCTATGAATTTGTTCGCCAACAGCGGATCCAATGCCTACTGCAAGGAGCATGGTTTGTTAATGGCATCCCGCTCAACTCGGCGAATTCAAAGGATGCGAATCGGCGTCCGACTCGGCCTTGGCGATTCATGCGGTTGGACAATGGCTTGAAATACCTTAACTATGTTGACAGTGCCGTGAAGTTCCCAGTGCGGAATGGGCTAGAGGACGTCCCAGAACGGATTGATATTTCATTAATTACGGAGATTGCGACGGGGACATGCGCGCCGCCACCGAATGTCCTGCGCGAGCATTTGGACGTTCCGCCTCCTAGCACCCCATTGCAAGCTTCTCCGCTTTCGTTCTCGTTGCTAACACCAGATGGGTCGCTTGCCGACCAGATTGCGCCTGACCAGTCTTGCTGGGCAGACTGGACGGATGGGTTGAACATGCTCCGACACAATGGAGGACACGTGGCGACGCAGGAGACAGCGGGGTTCGTCCAGGCACTGACGGAGATAGGATTGAAGATTAAGCTGCTTGGTGAGTGTCCCGATGATAATGGCAACGTTTGCCATGGCGTTCGAGATGGCTTGTCTGACGTGACTGACGCTCTTGATGCAGATCTCTCGGGCGAAAAGGTGGAAATACCAAGTGGGTTGATCGCTGGACCGCCACCGCCCGCGAACGATTTCTTCTTTTCTGATCTGTCGTTTGATACCCAAGTATGATTGATTCATATATGTTTTGATATATATGTGTGTTGTTGTTTTCGATATTCGAGATGTACAATTTTTTATTGGCTGTGTTATGGTATTTAATCAATGTGCTTTTGTGTGCGTGTGTGCTTTTATTATTATAGTCATATCGGCGACGAGATCCGACGACGACGTGGGTGGTTGAGTACGTAATACCAGCAGTGAGGAGATTTGCCTTCTGGCATCAGCAATCAGCCTGCGAGGCTCTTTACATAGAAAAAAAAATCGGACGACTGCCGACAACGAGGCGCTCCTCTCTCAAATCCGGTCGCTTAGTCGCCGCCCCACCCTCCTTTGCCTCCGTCCACCATCATGAAGATCACTCAAAAGATAGAACGGGCCACTAGAGAGGATAGAGTATGGTGGTCCTTTGAGTACTTTCCCCCTCGCACTGCGCAGGTGAGTCTGTCATCTATTGAAGTAAATTCGAGGTATTGATTGAACATTAATGTACAGGGTTTACAAAATTTGCTGGACCGTATTGAGCGCATGCGTGCGCTTGGGCCGGAATTCATTGACATTACATGGTGTGTGCTACTCTTGTGCTTGGGAATTTGAGCAGTGGAGTGCTGAAGAGCTGCATGTATGCAGGAACGCTGGTGGTCGTACGTCGGACTTGACCTCTGAGATGGTCAAGACATGTCAGGGTCTCATCGGTATCGAGACATGCATGCACTTGACTTGTACGAACATGCCGAAGGAGAAGGTCGATATTGCACTCAGGGTGTGTCACCATTCCTCTGTCGAGCGTCTGACCTAGCTAATGCTGATTGCGTTGTACAGGACGCTAAGCAACACGGATGTCGGAACATACTCGCTTTGCGTGGCGACCCTCCAATGGGTAAGGACGAATGGGAGGCAACGGAGGGTGGCTTCGTCCACGGTATCGACCTGGTAAAACATATTCGGAAGGAATACGGTGACTACTTCGACATTGCTGTCGCAGGTTTTCCACAACACATGCTCCTCCCACCCGAAGAAATCGAGTTCGAGATGAAGTGCTTGAGGGAGAAGATCGAGGCTGGCGTGAATTTCATTTTCACACAGATGTTCTATGATGTGGAGATTTTCGTTGATTGGGTTCGGGCTGTCCGTGCAGCGGGGATTACGATTCCTATCGTTCCTGGTATCGCACCTATTCAGACGTGGAATGGGTTCATGCGTGCGACTAGTCTCGCGAAGACTATTATACCTCAACATTTCATGGATCTGCTCGAGCCCCATAAGAATGATGACGAGAAGGTTCGTGCGATTGGGACGAAGCTTGTTGCGGAGATGTGCAAGCGGATACTTAGGGAGGAGGACCTTGCTATTCGAGGGTTGCATTTCTATACTATGAATTTGGAGAAGGCGACTAAGATGCTGCTGGAAGAGCTCAACCTCGTTCCTCGCGTGGAGACTATCAAGCCCCTGCCGTGGCGCCAGGTGCGCATCTTCGTCCACACAGATACTCTTCACGTTCTAAATTTTTATAACTTCACTACAGAGTCTTACACCGAACAGGCGACAAGAGACGATCCGGCCTATTTTCTGGGCAAACAGGACCAAATCATACCTTGCACGTACAGAAAACTGGGACGAGTACCCTAACGGTCGGTTCGGTGACTCACGTAGTCCTGCGTTCGGCGAACTCGACGGTTATGGTGTTTGGATAAAGCAGACGGTATGATCCTTTTACAATTTGACTTCTCTTTTCGATTGACTAATGGATCACTGCTTAGAGAGAGGAAGGTCTCAAGATCTGGGGCACTCCAACGACATTTTCGGACGTCGCAGACCTCTTCTCACGTTTCTGTAATTCGGACCTACCCGCACTTCCATGGTCAGATGAGAAACCCTCCCCAGAAACGAGCGTCATCAGGTCCCAACTAGCAAAAATGAACGCCCTCGGTTTCCTCACGATCAACTCCCAACCAGCAGTCAACGGTGCACCCTCAACAGATAAAGTCCACGGTTGGGGTCCGTCAAATGGATACGTCTATCAAAAAGCGTACCTTGAGTTCTTCGTGCAACCTGAGTTACTCGCTGCGCTGCTGGTGCATATTGAACGAGACCCGTTGATTACGTATTATGCGATTAATAAGAGGGGAGACTTGAGGACGAATACGCATTCTGATGGGCCGAATGCTGTGACGTGGGGTGTGTTCCCTGGGAAGGAGATTGTACAGCCGACGATTGTTGAGGCTGTTAGCTTCATGGCGTGGAAGGACGAAGCTTTCGAACTTGGACGTCAATGGGCGAATATGTACGAACCTGGGTCTACCTCGAGACAGTTAATTGCGGACCTTATGGATACGGCTTTCCTCGTTAACGTGGTGCATAATGACTTTAAAGACGTAGACGGGATCTTTAAGCCTTTCTTACTCGCTGGCGAAACTTACCAGAAACAGCAGAGCTCAACCTCTGATGTTGCCGCTATTACTATTAATGGCGTTCATTGATAACGATTAATTCATTCTTCTCTGACTTTGATTTTGACGCGACGATTTGACACGCTCGCTCGCTCCCCCGTCCCTGGAATTTACTCGATTGGATTGCGAAACCACTTCGACTCTTGGTTACATGACACGAAAGGACCGATTGACGATTAACACAGATAAATGAATTGTATACTTAGAAATTTTCTTCTTGTTTCTTACTTTAGCTCACCTCGGGTTCAACCCCCGTTAGCATTCGTCACAATCGGTCTTTGCATTTCCCTTTTCCTTCTCTAAACCTACACCCTCATCTGAATCTACCCTATCCTTGCATACATTCCCCCCTCTTTTTTGAGTTTTTTCGCTTCCTGTGTTTTTTTGGTTTGGTCATTTTTGCATCCAACTGCATCATCTATATCATTTGCATCAACTGCATTTGCATGTGTTTCAAGTAGGTAGTATAGTAGTTCGTTTGGTGGTGGTTGGTGGAGAGGTAGTCGTTGGACGTGGTGGTGGTGGTGGAGAATATAAAAGATTTTGAAAGTGTATTCATGTAAATGTGTTGAGTGAAGGCGGCATCGAGTTTTATGACCTCAAACGAACTTCCTTAACGAAGTAAGAATAAAGCATTCGAAATACAGATGCAAAATTACTTAGAATAATGGCAAGCTTAGCATGATTACATAGGCTCGGATAAGAATACTGGCTAGACTACAATTGGCCAACACGTGTGTGACAATCATCGAGGGTCTTCCTTTTTTGGACCAGTAAAGCAGCATGGTGATTATAACGCGATGTCCTGCCTTTTCGAGTATCCATACTTTGAGTATACTTCCACTGTCTCCGTAGCTTCAAAAGCGCGACAATGCAAGTCCAGTATGCATCCCCAAGTCCCGCTCGACTTTGCGAATTTGAACTTGAACGCTCTGAACCGCTATGTCTCCGATTCGTGCGTCTGCTTATGGCGAAGTGATGTTCGTGAATGACATGGGTACGTGTTGCGCGTTGTGTACACTTTGCAGCACTGTCTAAGTACTTTATAGGTACAATGAACCCTCGTACCTCTGCGGTTCAACTCGGATCTTCGAGTTCTATTAATCCTGTTAATACCCGCGCATCCGAACGACTCCATGCTCCTCCAGTATCTAGGAAACGTCGGTCGCCCAACGCATTCATCCTGTTTCGATCATATTACATTGCAAACAAGCGGGTTCCTCCAGAGATAGTTCACCAGAATGATGTGTCGCGCTATGTCGCAGAAGTATGGAAGACGAAGTTGACCCCGTCGGATCGTGCTGTATTCTTCAAGATGGCGGAGGAGGAGAAGATCCGATTTGAGATTGAGGGACCTAGAGAACCTGTGAAGAAGAGGAGGAGCAGGTCGAAGAAGGCGTGCCAAACGAGCACGCTGAAGTCGACGACAGACTCTTATCTTCCGCCGAGTCATACTTCACCTGTGAGCTTGCATTTTACTGCAATAATTCTTTCCTATGTAAAAGGCTTACTCATGTCATCTGCAGGATTACAAGGGATCGGTCTCGCTTTCGGCGCCGCAGCCGACGCACGCTATCCCTCCTAGCTTGCTCAATTGGGGAAGTCCAGCGGAACATTATGCCCTAATCCCCGAAGAACAAGCATACGCTTCGTCCCAATACCTTGTCCCTAGCACCGACTTTTCCGCTGCCGGTGTTGGACTCGAGAGCCATGCCCCTCTTATGGACCTGGGTTTCAATGCGCTTTATCTCGACGCCCTTTTGTCAGGCATGGATATAGCATTTGATGATTTCTCGTGCCCTGAATTTTTGTCTCATTCGTCGTTTGAAATACCCTTTTGAGAATCCAGTCGATTCCTTTGATGCATATGCTGTACCACTTTTCTTCACCAGTATTCCAATACGTTTTATCTTCTAGCCTTACCAGCTTCTTTGCTAGCTTTCGTTAAAAAAATTATTTTCCACCTGCAGTTCCGACTCCAAAGACTGCATAAAAATCTACATGGGCATTATATTGACAAAGTGCAAGTAAAGTTTTCAATGTCAAAATGCTAATTGTAAATTGTTCTCATGATGGCAAGTGCCGTACGTCCGAATCAAGCGTCTCTGCGTGAGAGATACAATCTTGTGAACACGGAAAACTAGTACAAGTTAAATGAATGCTGCAAAGGTAGAGTGTACTTTACAGCAACTTACAGGGAGAAGACCCTAACGCTTGAAGGGCAACGGTAAATTGCGAGTTGACAATGCAGTACAAGAAACGAATGGGTGTGGTCCAAATTTGTTTCCGAGTCTTTGGTTTTATTTGGACGAGCCAAATATGTACAAAGGAATTGACTCAGGGTCATTTCGGTACCGAATGTTGTTTTCCCAAAGCTTTAACAAGATGCGATGAAGGCGGATTTTGCACGTCCCCGCCTTACCCTGTTACCTCCATGATGTCCGACCCGACGAGTGTACAGACCAACATGCGAAATGCTACGATTCCACCGTTGAAAGGTGACGGGTCTGGAGTGTATAGAGTGCATATCGTCGGGAACAGTGGTGTGGTTGATTTAACAATTTATTTATCGTAATGTGTCGTTGACTGAGAGCTTGTGGAATGATCAAATAAGGTGCCGGGAAGGTAAGTTATGCTCCATCTTGTGAAGTATAGCAAACACCTAAAGGTGCAGTGATGCATTGCCCCCTGGCGTTCCTGGTCAAATGTAGTCCACGCTGGCAGACGAGCTTGGGGCAATGTTAAACCTCCCTGTCATCCATTTCGACCGACTCTTCTGGCTACCAGGCTGGAGAGAATCACAAAATGACGAGTTCAACGCTAAAGTCACTGCAGCACTTTCGTCTGAGGCATGTCCGCGTGGATGGGTCGTTGATGGGAATTATAACAAGCGCCTAAGGGGACAAATGGACTGTGCAACAGATATTATATGTATGTGTCCTCCATTGTATCTTGCATGCTCACTCGATTGCATATGTTTCTGGTATTCGCTTCTGTTCGATACGATGCGTTACCTGTCGATAAAATACCGTACAACTAGGGCTCGACACTCCTTTCCTTCTCTACTTCCCCCGCCTCCTCAAACGCACTTTCCTACGCCTCTTCAGAATCACCGACAGCTGTGCACCAGGCTGTGACGAACGCTTCTCCGAGGTGTTCTTCTCTCGAGACAGCATAATTTGGTGGTCCATCACCAACCATATTCCGGTTAAGCGCAGGTGTGCAGAACGTTTGCGTGTGGAGGGCGTGCACATGGGTGGGCGGATGAGGAGGATTGGTGGGTGGGGAGCAGAGTTGGAAGAGTGGAAAAGGGATGTGAGAGAGCTGATTAAAGGGAAGTAGACTTGGGCAGAGTGCAGTCGGGCTCAGATACGTCCCAAAAGCCAAAATTTAGATTTTCTGTTATTTTGATTGCTGAGCTGAATATAATTGTTATTTATATGAGACAAGGTATAGCATGATGCAAAGCATCATTAGTTACATGGAGTTTTGTTCATGCAGTTGGCCAGAAGAGACGTGTTTAAACAAGAAGACTGTAAGGCTTAGGCTGGTTACTGTATATGTGTGCTTAAACAGAGCCAACTGTACAGTATAATCGTATGCAGGCTTAATGCAAGTACTTGCTTCCGAAGTCGGGTGTGAACTATGCAGATGAAAGTGCCTGATGCCTTCAGTAATCCTTTTCTCGCTCCTAAGTATACGTCTATATTTATACAGCGCGGTCATGTACTCCCACGACATCTTGAGGCATTTAGTCGGACTTCCGAAATTGTCGCCTGGAGACCGAGGCGTTGGCGGCCTAGTCCAGAACTCATTTCCTATGTTTATCAGATTGAACAACGGGTTCCGCATTCTCCATTTGTAACAGATGTCGGTCGTGAGAGGCTTCTGCACTCGCAGGCAGCTCCAAATGTTATGAAGGACAGTATTCTCTATCAGTGAAAAGCGGTTTAGGTTGTCGACGTGATCACAAGTAGGACAAGTTTTGTATTACGGGGTCAATAAGCAATCCGGAAATTCAAACAAACCGCGTAGAGTTTTCTGTGAGATTTCAATGTTTCGACGGCCCGTGTGCCTTATTCGGCCTCCGTCGGCTGCTCAGTCGGAACGTTGTGTGGGTCCAGTGAAACAAAACCTGTAATCACCTCATCAAGACGCATTGCGGACTGTTCCCAGCGAAGAGTGTAGGCTTGAAGATTTACCAAGTGCACAATAAATTCGAATTAAAAGCAACAAGAAATGTCTGTCAGTAGAGGAGCATAAAAGGCTCATAAATCGGTGAGACGGAAGTGCTTAGTCAGCGCATGTCGGCGATGATTTCCCATGTGCAACCGAGCGACGGACCGCCAAACTCGACAGGGCCCGTTTCTGATTGCTCGTCTGCGAATAGCGAGCGTGGCCGTCGTCGCTGTCAGCAACCGTCGGCGGATACAAAAGGTCGTGCGACAGGCAGCCAGAAACCCCACTGCGCAGGCGCCTTCAGACCTATCTTCTGTTTTTTTGTTTTTGCCTTCATTCTTTGTTGCGGTGCCACCTTTTACCGCCCGGTGTCTGAATTCTGAATAAGCCGCGGTTCAATCAGTCATTCGTTCCCCGTTCTCACCGTGCGGTACCTTAACCTCCTCCTACGTGTCTCTTTCTCGCACGAGCGTCGGCCGGTCCATACGCATATCATTCCGCTGTTAGCATCCTCTCTCTCCCTTCTGGTGGACGGGCAATCCCACTTTAGCTCATAAGTCAACCCTTACGGCCGCCCGCCATGTCTGTGATTACTACTGCTTTCAGCAACCTGCTGGCAAAGACACCGCTGTCTGCGGCCTTTGCATCGAACGTACATCTCCCAGAGGCTGAGGACAAGTCTTTACTCGCTGAGCAGAAGGGCGGAATGGAGGTAGAGAAATGTGATCTCCGGATTGAGGGAATGACGTGCGGTGCTTGTGTTGAGGTGCGTTGCTTCCGCCGATTGTGATCGATCAAATCGTACTTAGAAATCTATGCATCTCTTAGTCCATCGAAGGCATGCTGCGAGGCCGGGATGGGATACACTCCGTGAAAGTGGCTCTGCTAGCTGAGCGTGGTGTCGTTGAGTTCGACCCATCAATATGGACAGTCGAGAAGGTCGTCGAGGTAGGCCAAATATTTATCTAATTTAATCAGGAGTATTTACAACAATTGTCACATCTAGGAAATAAACGACATGGGTTTTGATGCAACTCTTATCCCTCCAAGTCGGACTGATACTATTACACTACGAATATTCGGGATGACATGCTCCGCTTGCACCAACACAATAGAAACTGGTCTATCGTCTGTGCCGGGTGTCTCGAAAGTAGCAGTATCGCTAACAACAGAAACTGCACAAATCGAATTCGACCGGGTACTCATCAGTCCGCGAGAGATGGTCGAACGAATAGAAGACATGGGCTTTGACGCTGTTGTATCGGATCATGAGGACGCAACCCAGCTCCGCTCTTTGACCCGTTCGAAAGAAATTCAGGAATGGCGAGCACGGTTTTGGACGTCGTTCGCATTCGCGGTCCCCGTCTTCTTTATCGGCATGATATTCAAACACATCTCATTCCTTCGATGGATAGCAGACTACAAGATTGCTACTGGCATTTATCTGGGCGACGTGTTATCGCTTATTCTGACGACACCTGTTCAGTTCTGGCTTGGGAAGAAATTCTACAAGAACTCGTTCAAGGCGTTAAAGCACGGATCCGCTACTATGGATGTCTTGGTGACTATTGGCACGACGGCGGCTTATTCTTATTCTGTATTTGCCATGGTTTGCGCAGCGTTCAGCAGTGATCCCGATGACAGGCCTTCCGTCTTCTTTGACACAAGCACTATGCTTATCATGTTTGTTTCTCTCGGACGGTACCTCGAGAACAAGGCCAAAGGAAAGACGAGTGCAGCTCTCACAGACCTCATGGCCCTCAGTCCAAGCATGGCCACAATTTACACTGATCCAGAGTGTACGCAAGAGAAACGAATTGCGACAGAGCTATTACAACCCGGCGATATTGTCAAACTCGTGCCTGGTGACAAAGTTCCTGCGGACGGAACTGTTATCCGTGGTTCTTCGAGCATTGATGAGAGTGCCGTTACCGGAGAGCCAGTTCCGGTTGTGAAACAAGTTGGTGATAACGTCATCGGCGGGACCGTTAACGGACTTGGAACATTCGATATGCAAGTCACTCGCGCGGGCAAGGATACTGCTCTAGCGCAGATAGTCAAGCTTGTCGAGGATGCGCAGACGAGCAAGGCACCTATTCAAGCGTTTGCAGACAGAGTTGCAGGATTCTTCGTCCCCACTGTCGTTTCACTTGCGCTAATCACGTTTGTCGGATGGATGATCATCTCACACGTCGTACCGGACATGAACCTCCCTGTGATATTCCATATGCACGGAACGAGTAAACTTGCTGTCTGTCTGAAGTTGTGCATTTCTGTTGTAGTTGTTGCCTGCCCCTGTGCGTTGGGTCTGAGCACGCCGACTGCCATCATGGTCGGCACTGGTGTCGGTGCCCAGAACGGAATTCTGATCAAGGGTGGTCGAGCTTTGGAGGCGAGCAGGAGTATTCGTCGGATTGTTCTCGACAAGACCGGTACGGTGACGGAAGGCAAGCTCCAAGTTGTCGCGTTGGCATGGGTTCCCTCAGGGTTTGAGTCTGATGCACATGCGGATGCAACCAAACCTGGCAAATTTGATGAGCAACCGCTTTCGACGCTTTGCGCGGATGGAGTAACTTCTCGTGCTGCAGTGCTCTCGATGGTCGCCGCAGCCGAAGCGCGATCCGAACATCCACTTGCGAAGGCAGCAGCTACGTACGGAAAGGACCTCGTTGCAAAATCATTATCAAATGTCCCAGAGGTGAACATTGTCACGTTCGAAAGTGTCACTGGTGCAGGTGTAAGATCGACTATAACGCTTGCAGGATCCAGCATGTACTACACTGTGCTTGTTGGAACAGCCAAGTTCGTCTCGCAGTCCGAGTACGACGAGACACATCTTCCGGCGGAGCTCGCATCTTTCGCTGAACGAGAAGAGGAGCAAGGACGCACGGTTATTTTCGTTAGCCTTGCAAGCTCAGCTTCCGCAGCTCAGAAATCATCCGCGCATGCTCGACCTATCCTTGCCATGTCGTTATCTGATGTACCTAAGGCGTCTTCTGCACGTGCAATTAAGGCGCTTCATGATATGGGTATTGAAGTAAACATGATGACTGGTGATGGGCGTACGACCGCTATTGCGATTGCCAAGGAAGTAGGTATTAACCCAGAGGGTGTTTGGGCGAGAATGAGTCCGAAGGGTAAAGCGAAGGTTGTTGGTGAGCTGATGGAGAGGGACAAGGGAGGGGTAGCAATGGTAAATTCCTTCCCTCTGTCTCTGGCTATGTCTTATATTAAATGCTTGAACAATTGCAGGTTGGCGATGGCATAAACGACTCCCCAGCTCTTGTCGCTGCCGACGTTGGCATTGCACTCTCTTCAGGAACTTCTGTCGCTGTCGAAGCAGCCGACATCGTCCTCATGCGCTCCGACCTTCTCGACGTTGTCGCAGCTCTCCATCTCTCCCGCTCAATTTACAGCGTTATCCGACGAAATCTCGTCTGGGCATGCATCTACAACGTCTTCGGTATCCCACTCGCCATGGGTATCTTCCTCCCATTCGGATTGCATCTTCACCCTATGATGGCAGGTGCGATGATGGCGTTCTCGAGTGTGAGTGTCGTCAGCAGTAGTCTAACGTTGAGGTGGTGGAGGAGACCTGAGAGTAGCGTCATGCCCGGAGAGGAGAGACCTGGCGAGACGATGATACAGAGCGCGAATCGGTTTATTGCAGACGTTTGGAGTGAAATACGTGCACGTGTGCGAGGGGGGAAGGATACGAAGGGATATAGTCAGTTGCCTATGGAGATGACCCAGGCAGTATGAGTATTTAGGTTTGGGTTTGGTGTCGCTTTTGCTCTCCAAGCTTTTTTGTATTATTGTTTTTGAAGTTGCTGCTGTTGTGGCTTTCGTCGCTCTCTCTTATTTTTTTTCGATTTTTTTTTGTTTACTTTGTTTACTTACTTGGGAAGTTGGTAAAGATCTGTATTAGATGCATAATAATTTAATTTCAACTTGCGAAGAACTTTATTGGCATTACTGTGTGGCAGATATTAAGACAAGCGTTCTCTTAAAGTGAGATATTAATGAATCAAGGACTGGCGCACGTGACCATTCGAGATTAGCAACGCCAAAGGACTGACGTCTTGTAAAGTTTCATACACCTTCAACATTAACCTCCACCGCCTATTCGAAGGAAGGAAAATAAAATGCCTTCAATTCTGTACAAAGATATAAGTACTGAGGAAGCTGCTGATAAAGCGACCTGCGGAATGTAGTCAGGGCATTCCTCATCTTCCTACTCTTTGACTCTTCTCACATTTTCGACTTCTTTTTAATCGCAGATGCCACAGACAGGTATCACGATATACCTGTCCATCGTGCAATATACCATATTGCTCTTTAACTTGTTTCCGGTCGAATGAACATGCGCAATGTTCGGAGGTGTTTTATAAACGTGAGCTGGAGTCGGAGATTCGGACTCAGCCTTCGGCGAGTATGGAGGAGAGGAGAAGGATGTTGGAGATGTTGAGGAAGTTTGAGGAGGAGGGTGGGATGGAGGGAGGTGGTGAGGATGAGGAGGACGAAGATGGGGATGACCTTGCTGAGAGGCTTGGGAGTATTGATATTGGTATTTCTTTCGTAGCTTATGATCTGGTATGACCCTTACTCAGGGCATTCATCCTAGAATCCGCATCGGCTTCAGATATTTGGAATGCTCTGACACCAGAAGAGCGAAAAGATTTCATGAATAAGTTCCGAGATCCTACTTCTACGTCTGCACAAGAGTTCCTTCGTAGCGCAGGACTTGAGGCTGATATTATTCTACCATGGTGGCTGGCCCCTGATGTACCTCTAGACGAGGACGTGCGGACTAGTAGAACCCAGAAGTACGGGGAACGGCCAAAAATGGAGATCATACCCGATGCTCTCCTCAGCCGTACATCGGGCCCACATACGGGACCTCCGTTATTGTACAATATATGCGCTGTTTTGTGCGTATTTGAATTTTATTGGATAATACTACATTGTTAATAAATCTTTCTCTAGTATTGCATACGCATACGTCACCCGACATCTGGGAATCTCTCCGCTTTCTGCATTGAGAGATGAAGATGAAAAGAGTTCGGCTCGTCAACTTATGCGCGAATTGGCACCATTCCTTGTTGATAAACGGTCGACAACGCTTTTCGTTTCAATGGACGACGTCGTCACGGATTCGTGGCAGAGACTAGTTGGGAGCCAAAAGACAGGCAGAACATCTTTCGTCGTGTTGTTACGAGATGCTGCCCGACTCCTCGCTCCTCGACGAGTAACGGTGGTCGAGTCCTCAATCACACGAAGTTCTAGCGGCTTGGAGGAGACACCTCAGCGAGACGCGCTGCTAGCTCTTTCAGACTTGATTACGTTGTTTACAATACGAGGCGGAGTGGCTAAGGAGACGCCAGCGTCACATAAATTGCGCTTTTACGCTGCACTGATTGCATCTCTCCCTGCGCAACTCCTTGCTGCTTTCAGCGCAGAGGTTTCAGCTCGAGCACGATCTGTGGAAGTGGAGGGACAACAGTTTGTTCAGGCTAGCGAGGATCCATCGTCCGAGTTAAGGACTTCTGCCTCTAAGGAACGCGTGAGGACCAAGCCACGGCCTGTCATAGAAGAGCTGTAAAGAACGGATTAGGAAAGCGCATTTAATTTCAAAAGTTCTTCACTTTATTAGTTGTTAACGACCTTGCAGTCCAAAGGCACCATATTTTTCCCCGCCAATGATACTGCTAGTAAGTAATGCGCATTGATGGTTATCCTCGACATTTAATCATCATAAAACTCGTAGTTATACAACACATCAATGCATATAAAAATGTACAAATACACGAAGAATACCAGCTTCTTACAAATGACGCAGAATACAATGGAAAGGCAAAAAAAAAGTAGAGAGAACACGAAAAAGTAAGACACACAAGTTACACTAAATAAGAACTTCAATGCTGGACGTTAAGCATTACGCATACACAAGGACTTCGTATTCCTGCGTGAGGTGAAAGTCAGCAAGTAATACCTGTCAAGCAGTAGGTCTAACACACGTTGACTTGTTTCTCTTTTCTGCCTGCTGTCACATACGCTCCTTCAAGACGTGGGCTCGCCTTGCCTACTTGAAGGTATTTCTCCTTGAAAATTCCTGTGCGCATATGTTCTCGGGCCCAAGCACGGGCTATCACGAGCTCTGTTCCGCGATTTTCACAACAGCCTTTAACGGGAGCACGACGAATATTCCCCTTTGAAAACTTGCCAGAAGTGCGCTCCCAGTCTACGGCTCCTGGCTCTGCAACAAGGACTTCATAGTTGAAGCCTTCAGCGGGAAGTGCTTCCATTTTATACCCAAAGTAAGCTCCTCGTTCAGGACTGAATTTCCCAGGTTCTGGAAGAGTGTGGGTCGATTGATCAGCCTTGAAGACAAAAGGGTCATGCACTTACGAATACCATGCTATTATTGTGAAGATAATCAGAAAAACCATTGTAATATATTCAGAAAAATGAGACATACAATGTGTGGGATACGTGCAATGTACCACAGTACATTGCCTTCAGTTTCTTCCTTACTTCCAAGAGGTACCAGATCCTTGCACTTCTCTGGATTACCAAGAAACTCCTTCCCGTTTACCCACCACACTGGCTCAAATGCTTTAATTTCTGCCTTCCCTAGATCCTCTTCAGAGCCTTCACTATAAGGTGGTGGCAGTTTTGACTCTACTCCAACTCCCTTGCAATGACTAAGCAATGCAAGATCCATCTGGATGTTCCATGAGTATTTTCATGTCAAAGGTAATAAAGGTTTTGCTTACTGCAAGCTGATGCTTTGCTTCGTCAAGCTGCTTCCTTAAGCCATGCACTTTAGAGGGCTCTACAACCGCTTCATACAGATTGGCAGGGAACGTTCCATATTTGCGTATGTGCCTCTCCCGTGCCTGTGACACCTCTGCAACGTGTATCTGGATTTCATTAGCAATTCTAAAATAATATTCATGTAGATTATCACTATTACCCCCATGAGACTAATATAATTTTACACTAACCTTTCAGCTTGATTAAGCAGTCCTGTCAACCGTTTTGACACAAGTGAATTATGTGCAGTCAAGTTCTTTCTGAGCAAAGCAATAAGACCGAGAGTATGCGTTGCATTCTCATAAAGGCCTTTCTGTACTTCAAATTTCGCGTCAAGAGCCTGTTAAAGAGTACATAATTAATAAAGCTGTGGAACTCCTTGTACAGAATGGAATCCAACCTTGTATTCATTGTAGACTTGTGTGCCGATTGCAATCATGACAGCCAAGATTGGTCCAGCATGTGGGACTGAAGAGGCAGCAGCACCAGGAAGGTCACTAAGATCCATACTTTTGTGAGTAAAGGCTACTCAAGGTACTTTGTGTGAGTTATAGGAGATAAGTTCTATAACATGAATTGGGGGTCGATTCTGCCTTTAAGTATTTCTGTGTGGAGCAGTGGCGGGTAAAGGGCATTGATCCCTTCGTATGTATCAGAGCATGAGACGCTGAAACTCATGTTTTGGTGCTTGGAAGCCTGTCATGCAATGGGGGAATGAGCGTCAGATCAGTATCAGATTTTGCTTCGTACACGTTGAGTACTCGTTTAGCAATGTGGCTCAAGAGTTTGGATCCAGCTGACTTCAGGTACTGAGATATTTTTTGAGTGCTCGTATCTTGAAGTTTAAAAAAGACGCTCATGTGACTGTTCAAAGTGATGGAGCATCAAGGTCTGCGTGAAAACAGCAGTTCCTGCAGTAGAGTACTAGTAGAGTTACAGAATCGAGTTATAATTCCGTTCAAAATTGTAGAAACGGAAAGAGGCAGCGCCTTTTCTGTAGGTTTTGCGATCTTTACTCATTGCCCACGAACGTGTCTTCACTTCTTCAATAGTCGACCTCATTCCACGTTGTTCGGTCTGTCTGTGAGCTTTGCATGTGAAGTCGTCGGCCACTTGATTGGCTCTGATGCCTCAAGCACTAGTAGACAGAACCGTATTACTGTTGTGATAACATATCAGTCTACAAATACATGAAAATTTCAACTTCATACTAGAGAATTGCCGATGCTAGTTTAAATGATTAGAATCGAACAGATAGGCTATAAGATGAGCTTCTTTCTTGGCTTTGCATACACAAGGACCTCGTATTCCTGCGATAGACATACATCAGCATACAATTTATATTTAAGGGCTTTTGCCGGGAAAACCACGCACCTTGACTTTAACTTCCTTTTCGCCTGCGATAACATATGCTCCGTCAAGCTTCGGGCTTGCCTTCCCTGGTTGAAGAAACATTTTCCCGAAGATATCGATGTGCATGTGTTCCCTTGCTAATGCACGAGCGATCACGAGCTCAGTACCGTCATTTTCACGGCAGCTCGTGACGGGACGAGAACAGAGCTGTTCCTCTGAGAACCGTCCAGACGTGCGTTCCCATTGTACGGTCCCAGGATCCGCAATCAGTATGTCGTAATTGAGGTCTTTTGTAGGTAGAGATTCTCTTTTGAAGCCAAAGAAAGTTCCACGTCCTGGGCTGAATTTTCCGGGTTCTGGAAGGGTAGGCATTAGTCAAAGCGGGTGCTAGAGAATGAATTACCCTTACGAATGCCACCCTGTTATTGTAAAGTCAGTTACGACAACGTCGTAATGGTTTAAAAACAGATACATACAACATGCGGTACGCGTGCGATATACCACACCACGCCATCTTCGGTCTCCGATGATTGGCAAACGGGCACCATCAAATTGTTTAGTCCCGGACTGGCCACGAACTCCTTCATGCTGACCCATCTGACCGGCCCAAATGCTTTGGGTTCTGGCTCTTTCTCTTCCTCCTCAAAGGTTTCAGCATAGACTGGTGGTGGTTCAGATCCCGACCCATCTCCTTCCATCATTTTAAGGAATGTGAAGTCGGTCTGCCTTTTCTGTGAGTGAATTTAGTGTAGAGATATTATTACATGTTCTTTACCAGGAGCTGTGTTTTGGCCTCCTCAAGTTGCTGTTTTAGGACATGAACTTTTGCAGGCTCTGTTAATGCATCATATACATTTGCAGGAAGCTTTCCATATTTGCGTATGTGCCTCTCCCGTGCACCGGATGCCTCCCATATATGCCTCTGAATGTCCTTGGCGACTCTAAAGCAAGTTTATTTAGTGTGGAAGTTCCCTTGACAGTTTATAGTGTTGCTACATACTTTTCGACTTGCTGAAGTTGCCTCGCCAATAGTCGTAAGTAGTTCTGATCTTTAGCCTTTAGGGTTTTGCTATGCATGGCTATAGTGCTGATGATGAAGTTGGCATCCTCGCCGAGCCTTTTCTGTGCCTCAAGCTTTGAATCAAGAGTCTATCAAATATGATCAGTATTGTGCGAACGCTTCCGAAGATGGAAGCTCACCTTCAACTCTTCGTAGATGCCAACAGCAACTGTTAGCATGACTGCCAGGACCTGGCCAACGTGTGGTATTGATGCGACAGCCTTAGCTAAGTTTTGGAACTCCATGATCTTGCGAGGAAAAGTGCGATGGCGTTCGTAGTTGCAATTATATATAGCAGGGTCGGCCGTATTTTCGCTCGAGCGACTGACTTTAAATCTCCCTTTTCCGTGAGGAGGCGCCGGGCCGGCGGCAGAAGTCGTTTCACCCCTTTAGCACTTCCTGACGCAAGTTCCTGGAGCTCATGAATTAAATACATGGAAGCTCTTCATAACTGTTAAGTGAGCGTCAGATAGGCTTTGCCTCAGACACGATGAATGCGCATTGTTGGGCACGGTGTATCGATAGTGACTGGCTGACCTATCCAAGCGCTGAGATATTTTTAGTTAGGATGTCCCGCCTTCAACTTGAAATACGGGGAACGAGATTGACGGCGTATCAATCTGGTCCTTCATTGCTGTGTCTGAGTAAAGCGAGAATGAATCTGTTACACAACACGAAGCTGGTCAGACGGAGATGATTAGCCGGTTCCAGAAAAGGGTCGCGTCGATCGTATCGCCGACGATTAACTTTAATTTATTCACTAGTGGCTTCCTGCTCAAATACTTCGATGTGAAGAGTCCGCGCGTCTTCGCCTCCGACCGTCATGGTGTTGGTCTCTTCAGAGCTCAGAGACGCGCGGACGGTTGCACTCTCGGCCGTGTCTGCCGTGCTGCTCGTATCTTTAGTGAGCTGGAGAGTCTGGAGACGCAGAGGACACTCCCGAGCACCAGATGAACAGTCTAGCGCTGAGCCGAATACCCGTACCGTCGGGCGACACGAGGCTACTGTGCAGTCTGAAGAGGTGCATTCGACTACGGGGAAGTGTTCTTCCGCTGAACAGCACGAGGATCGTGACCATCATCGTCACCACCATCATCACCATCATCATCACAAGCACGCAAAGTCCTTAAGCCCAGGGAGCCAGGACAGCCATTCGTCGCATGAGCGCAACCAACACGGAGAAACGGACAGACTGTTGCACTCAAGAGCTCAGACACAACCAAATTATTCTGGGACATCTCACAGCTCCCATGCCTATCATGACGATTCAGAACATTCTTCTCGTATATTGCTCTTCCATGGTGCGTATAAAACGGATTCCAGGAGAAACTTTAGCGTTTAGGTTCAGTTGGTGTCCAGTTTTACTGATGGGTAACAACTATACCAGATACTCATGATGAACCGGATTCGATATCTCATGTTCACCATGGGGAAGGTATTGAGTCAACAGGTCGGACGAGTTCCGGATCTGGTCATCGTAGTTCAAACGGCAATGTCCCGCATCATTATCATGGTAAGTGCTATTGGATGTAATAATCAGAAACTTCTCTTGACGTAATTTGTTCAGACTCAAATTCCCAACGAATCGTTCAGAGTCCCGGAAGGGTCTCATCTGAGGACGATGAGTTACATGAAAGACTACGGAGACATACGATAAACTACCTCGAAGAAAATCCTGACGAATGGGAACTTGGATACGAGAAATATGGACTCTCTCCCCGCCCTCCGGAAGGGCCCGGAATGCACTATCGGGAACTGGCTTTACAAGAAGCTAGACTACGTAAGAACGCTTTTGAGAATTCGAAGAAAGCTTTCAAAATGGGAAGAAAAGCGGAAGCCAAACAAGTAAGCCTTATCCGAAATCTATACGACTGCCTGTTGAACTCTCCCTTTCTCAGCTGAGCGAGCAAGGAAAGCACCATGATGAGAATGCCAGGAGATATAACGCTCTTGCTGCTCAGGAGATATTCTCAGCCAATAATCCTCAGTATTTTACTGCAAGGCGACTATCGAAATGTGACTTGCATGGTTTACATGTTGAGGAAGCTATGGCTTATGCTCGAGACCATCTTGTTGCTTGCCGGGCCGCCAGAGCGGACAAGACGATGCTCATTGTCGGGAGAGGATCACATAGCCAGCAAGGGGGTTCGAGGATCAGACCTGCGATCCTATCAATGTTATCGGGGACAGGTGGCATCGTAGCCGGAGTGCATGAGAAGAATGAAGGATGCATTGTCGTAGATTTCGCAGTTGGCCGTTGACGTGAAGCGATTTGCTTAGAATGGACAACCTTCCTGTTTCACCCCAATACTTCCTTGAGACTTCGTTTCATATCTGGATCTCGAATCCGTATTTACGTCTTGCTTATTACTCTCCGCGTCTGACGGGACTTTTGGACTCCTTTCCTTTCGTGTTTATCCACATTGCTTCTTTAATACGTTGGCCGTTATGCGACCTTCACGGCATACGCTTTCTTGATTTCTGTAAATAGCAAGCTTTTGTTCATCCATCCAATCGTTCCCGCTTCTGTGAATACTGGATGAAACATTCTCTGCACGCGCCTTTGATCTCTTTCACAAGATATTGTGGTCAAATGGTCCGCCACAGTACTTGGGATATTGGTGGTTGAGGGTAGAAGCCAACTCTCACTTGTTTCAATCCTGACCGACATGTCTTTTATTAGCTAATTTCTCAACGAAATACGCTTATTGCCTTCAGCCACCATATACACCCTTCGCAAAATCAGCGTTCAAGCGATGGAAACCTTGGGGTGTCAACTTGCTCTTGTCGTTTTTACTGATGCATTATCTATGCCACCTCTGGTCACCGAGTACGTTCAAACAATATGCCAGTCAGACTCCGGTTTACTCGTATCAAAGTTTGCTGCTGCCACTCTTGCTCTTGGTTTGAGTTTACATGCTCGCGAAACGTATGAAGCCATCAAGCAGCTCGTACACGATGTCAACGCATTTACCGACCAATTTGCTGCCATGATGGAAGGTGACGAAGGAATTAGAGATTCTACTTCTTTTTCTGGCGGGGTTCCTCAATCCACAAATGGGCGCTTTGCATTTGAATTCACGGCGGAATACCGAGACGTCAGCGCACATGAGGTTTCCGGCAGGCAGTCAAGTGACGGAGCAGAAGATTCGCTTCTTCAGACGAGTAAGCCACCCACCGCCACTTGAAGATCTTTGACTGATCGCTGATTTCTACTGGTAATCGTTATTTCACCTTTGATCCTGTCACCCGTAAATGTGAGGTAGCTAGCTCCTTGAAAGCTTCAGACAAGCGGGATCCGAGTATCTTATGGCCGGTTAATGATCCCACCGACAAAATCAGTGCTTCTGGAAACACGGACTCTTGCCATTTGAACGGAGACGCGAATACACCACGGGAGACCTTCAACGCTCAATCAACAGGTGCTATGGAACATCCGGAGAAAGTCGTTTCTACGCTTGATTACTCGGTTCCTCGATCGGAGCGCGACAATATTATTGCACCGCCTTGTCTATCTTCTCTAGGTTTATTAACATCTGAGATGCTCCACATTCAAGCCAGTAAAATTGATAGCGACGTTGGTTCGATGTATGCGCAAGTCGAGCTCCATAGCCGCGATGACGAGCTGTGCAATAAAGTGCCGACGGGCTTTCGGACAGTTGTGAAGGCGACCGGATCGCTGGTCGAAGACCAAGACAAAACACTTGTTGCTGCGGAACCTACTCCCTATTCTCTTGACCAACGACGTGCTCCTGCAAACGGCGTGAATCCGAACAGCCTTGTTGATCATGTCTCTGATCGCAGCACCAGGCCGGACAGCCACGCAGATCCAAGTATAAGTGAAGATGCGGAACAAATGCAAGTCCATGTGCTTTCGAAGTCTTCGGGCATGCTGGCCATGTGTGTTGAGAAAGATGGGTGGGATAATGAGTTGCAAACTAATCATTTAGGAGCAGTGCAGCCAAAGAAGAGAGCTCTATCACATGCAGTTAGAGCGCCTTTCGTTGGTTCGCGAGTGAGCTCATCGCAGTGTGTCGACAACGCTGATCTACTCCGACCTGCAATTGAGTCAGGCAGTACTTCTCTGGAATCTGCAAAGCGAGGTCGCCGTCACTCGGATGGGGGATCTTCGATTTCACCATTCTCGCCTGCATACGTTCCAGCGCCTCTCAAAATAGCCCATGAAATGCGCCGCCGCGCCACTGAACTGTTGGAAGAATACCACAAGCTCAAAGATGCATTACTTTGCATGTTATTTGAATATGCAAATCCGAGCTATGATGCACACAATACTGCCGGTCTCTCAAGATTGGACCTCCACGGACAAATGGCAGACGAAGCTGTTATGCTCACACGGATCCATCTGGACTTTTGTAGAGACCTGGAAGCGGATCGGACAGAAATCATCACCGGTCGAGGTCTGCACAGCAAAGGTGGAGTGCCAGTTCTGAAGCCTCTGATCGAAAAGGAGCTTTTGTCTCATTCCGATGTGCTGCTATCGGATGCCAATCCCAACCCTGGGTCGTTTATTGTTCTGTTCGACCAGCCGAAAGTTCACCGGACAGAGAAACAACTGTGAAAACGTACAGCCGGACACATCTCCCCAGTTTCTTGCATGTTCTCGTTCGCTTTGGTTCTGTATTTTGATATTGTACCTCTAGGATTTGGTCACTCACTAGTCACAACTAGCATACACTCACTAACTCGCTCTTCATAACCATCCAAATTCGATTTGTCAGCCTGCTTCAGACTCGCTTTTTTGCCTCTTAAGATCCCGATCATTGACGGGAGTGCCACTCTGCTCTCGCTTGTTTGATATTACCGCCTGGTGGGCTAGAACAGCTTTCTTTGACTTCAGACGTCCCAGCTCCTTCCCAGTGAGTTGACCTGAGTTCGCCTCTGACAGTAATGCCTCGTCGTCCATTGCGTTATGATCGGCGTCTATATTTTTCGGGAGGACGACTAGGGCAGAGTAGAGGTCGACGACCTTAAGCGAATCTTGTGATACTATGGCGATGTTAGTTGCGGATCTCTCGGGCGGGGAAATGCCACATGAAACACACCTTCCAAACGATTAGTCGTGTTCAATGAATTCGCTAATGCTTGGTGTGAACTGGCATCGCTTAGGACGAGCTTTACAGATGGTTAGTGACGTTACCTCGTGAATTTGATATGTGGGTGGGCTCACCTCACTATCTACAATCTTCACAATTTTGATAAATTCCCCACTAGTCGGAATTGAGGAAGCCGTTTCCGATCGGTTGCCGTCAACTGCTACCCATATCTCATTCTCGTTTGACCATGGAGTGAAGTCCAGAACTGGGTGATTAAGGGCAACGGATTGAACTTTTGGTGATTCATCCGAAGAGGTCGGGAAGTTGCAATAGAATAGTGCTGTGGCACTGTAATGAAAGGTTATTTTAATCAAGTATACAGATAGCGCTGACGTCTTACCCATGTGCTGAGAAGATTATGAATCTGCTTGAGCTAGACTCGAAGGTGGATATTTTCTGGATGGCTAGGAGGGGTGCAGTCTCTTCGCTTGGCGGTTCCGGTTTGCTACCATTCGCAGACTCGTCGGGTTCCTGCTCGTCTACTTGCATGTCGTCCTTTTTATCCCTCGTATCTTTTTCTTCTTCGGCATCCGACTGAGTTTCAGGTTCTACAATCACCTTTCCCTTAACTTGTCTCTTCTTATTTCTTCGCCTAGCCCTTGAGCTTAGTTTAGTAGAACTTCCTTCACCTTCTGCGTCACTTCCGCCTTCGCCACGCGCAGGTCTTCTACGGATGACTTTAACGAATGGCTTGACTAAATCGGTGATTGGGATGTTGTGAATTAGTGATCCTTCCATCCAATTCCATATTTTGAGTTCTGGGTCTCCACCACCTGAGATAAGTAAGGAGTGGTCCCATGTAGGTATATGGAGAGCCGAAACGAATCTAATATCAATGATCGTTAATGAAAAACACACACGCTTGCATTACGTGTAAAACTAACTTTTTGTGCCCGAGACAAAATCGTTCGATGGTGTAAGCTTCGGGATACCAACTTACTCGGATGTGCTCGTCTCTGTCTGCCGTGATGATGTATTTCTCGTCTTTTGTGAGAAGGAGGGTGGTTAAGAGCGAGACGTGTCCTAGTAGTAGGCTTTCATCGACACGACGCTTTGAAGGTACCATACTATCTGATTTTTGGAGTAATGAAGCCTCTGCCTCGACGTCTTTCTTGCCTGAAGCAAGTAATGGATACCTCCGGATACCAACTGTCAATATAGCCCGCGCTGGTGTTGTATGCAGATGCAGAGATACTAACCTATGGACGTCTCCGAACTTATCAGAAACCAGAATCGTTTCTGCATCACGCGTAAGACAAATGTCTGTTGGCTTTTTTAGTGCTTCTCTAAGATCATAGATATTTTGTTAATTGATTTGCGTCCCGGAAATAGCTAGGATAAATTGAAAAGACAGACACACCTTTCACTCACGACTCTCAATCCTTCCACTTCCCATGTCCTTATGGATTTATCACCGGTCGCTGTGACAAGGTACTTGAAGCCTTCGTCTACGGCTGCTGCGACAATTTGACCGGACTTCTGAACTTTCTCTGACAATTCTGCATTTGTCGTTGTTGAATGACGGATAGAACCCGTTCTGGGAGGCTTATGAGAGATAAAAGGCCGCATAGGAGCTTTTAAACCTTACGAAGAGTCTAGGACTTGAATATGTCCATTTGCTAGAAGAGCAAGCGAGTGTACGTCGTGTAGGAAGAGTTTTGTGTATGGCACGTAGTTTGTATGCATCACGTCCTTGGAAATCGCTTCTTCTTTTTTCAATATACGAGATGAAAGAGATAAGGATCTGGTATTTTATCGCGAAACAGCCGGGACGCTGCAACAGACGAGAAAGCTATCCTTCAAGCTTGTAGGCCAGTAGAATAAAGTAAGTTTGAAGCAAGAAAATCCGTTCCGCGAAGTGATCGACGTGTGCGTCTTGCCACCTGCTATGACATGCGACCTCTTCTGGCTGCAAGAACTCCGCGCCTTAAAGCTATTCAACGCGTACAAACGTGCTTTACTTGCAGAAGGAGAAAATATGCAACAATAGAAGCCTCGAAGAATGATGTTCAAGATTGTGACATTGTTATTGTTGGAGGCGGACCAGCAGGTCTTGCATTTGCTAATGCTCTGGGTAGGTCGACTTCGTACTTAGAGCTCTGAATGACGCTGACATTTGCAATCCAGTATCTCACAAGCCTGTTAGAGAATCATTACGAATAGCTCTAATAGAAGCGAGTGATCTCAGCCGTGTCCGACAATGGAGTATGCCAGAGGGAACATTCTCAAACCGTGTCAGTTCTCGAACAAACGCGTCGAGGCAATTCCTTGTCGGTATGCATCTATCCAAACTACCTGTAAGTTTGCTAACATAAGATTAGGAACTGGTGCTTGGAATAGAGTTGATGAGACTCGGGTGACACGTATTGAAGAGATGCAGGTTCTTCAGTTTCCTCAGTAACTCAGGCAGTCGTTGAATACCTCCCTCGAATTGTAGGTATGGGATGGTATCTCTGATGCTCGCATTAATTTCACTGCGAATGAAATTGGTTTTTCAACTGGGAATGGGCTGCCTCCTTACATGGCCACCATGACAGAAAATCTGAATCTTCAGCGGGCGCTCATCCAAAGCCTGGATGATGTTGGCGGAGTAGAGATCATCGACAATACCAAAGTCAGCAATATAGAGAAAGATACAGAGAACGCCGGGTGGCCTATTGTTCGTACCTCGAACGGTGAAGCTCTGCGTGCCAGATTACTCGTTAGTAATGCCAAATTCACTGGCTTGTATTTTGTGTTCTAAATTTATTTTCAGGTCGGGGCTGATGGCCCTAATTCGCCTGTCCGATCCTACGCCGGTATTGATTCATATGGCTGGGCATATGATACGCGAGCCATAGTCGCGACACTTTTCCATGCTCCGCGCTTGAATGGACTTCAGAGCCCAAACACAACAGCCTATCAACGTTTTCTTCCAACGGGGCCCATTGCCTTTCTACCTTTATCGCCAACCGCATCCTCCTTTGTCTGGTCGACAAAGCCTGCCTTGGCTGCAGCACTGACGTCTGTTGACCCAAAGATACTTACGTATATGATCAATGCCGCTTTCAGGCTCCCAGGGATTTCTATTCGGCATCTTCATCGATTACTCCTTGAAGAGCAGCAAAATCTCACTGCTGAATCAATATTAGAGGAGATTCGATGGAGGGAGCGCTCACATGACATTGACCAGCATTCGGCTTATTCCTCTCATGTATCTGAAATTGCTGGGATCCCGCCAGACGATACTGAACTGGTTCCACCGGTCATTACTTCTATTCAACCCGGTACAGTAGCGTCTTTCCCTTTACGTATGTCCCATGCGGATAGCTACATTGGAGAGGACGAACGTGGGAGTCGGATCGCATTACTTGGTGATGCCGGACACACTATACACCCCCTTGCTGGCCAGGGCCTTAATATGGGCCTGGGAGATGCGCAAGCTCTTGCTGACTGCATTTGTTCTGCTGTCCTTGTTGGCGGTGACGTTGGTAAGTACCTATGCAAAATTCGTTTACAACTGACCCCGTAATTTGATATTTTCAGGTTCACGGACCGCCTTATTGCCTTATGCACGCGGACGATACTTCGAAAATCATAAGCTGTTATCAGCGGTGGACAAATTGCACAAGTTATATGGGACGTCACTCCCACCAGTAGTTTGGGCACGTTCGGTTGGTTTGGAAGTCGTGAACGAGATTGACGCGCTGAAGGCCGCCATTATGTTGTCCGCTGGGTCTGGTCCTGGGTTGCTTAAGCAGCAGGCCGAAGGACAGGGTGTTTCGCCTTGGTCCTTCGCGGCGAATGGTGTGGAAGTAGCTGGCGACGTCGTAGAAGCTGCAAAAATTATTAGTCGAACATTGCAGGGTCTAGTGTCCACTGGACTGAAGCACACATCAGAGACGATGGAACGTAGATGACACCTCATTACGTTGTCAATTCAATGCTTTTTTGTCTTTGAACCTTGCGCGTGTTGTTTTTTTTTCTTTTCTATTTGTCACTGTACTTCTCCGCGTCTTGATCAATGACATGGACGGCCAGTATCAATGATGACCTGTCAACGGGGCAAAGCCTCAAACAGGAGTTCTCCTTTGTGTCCTCGATTCGCTGGATGCTGTCCTGGTGGCGATAAATGTCCTTTTGACGTGCCTTTCCGTCGTGTTGCAAGTCGTTCCATGCCTTTCTGGTCAAGAGTGCCTTTGTGCAGACATTCGCCATACTGATGGTCCGGATCCCCGAGAACGCTAGGAACTTGAGATCTCGGTCATTCGTACTTCAAGATTTTTCACCTTTTTAATCTTGCTCTAGTCACGTTAGTACGATTCGAGAGTATCTTCTGTGAATCTGTCGTCATGCTACAGTTGAAAATACCTTATTGTATCACATTATAATGCATAAATTGAATATTGCATAGCTTTCTGCCTAATCCCAGCTCAGGATAAGGGAATTATGCACAAAAATAGTCTATTGCATATTGCATCAAGATTTGTGAGAAAATTATACAAAATTCTGGGCATTTTGGGAAATTAGACTGCTTACTGTTGTGATTTTTGTACCCAGAAGCCTCACATATTGTTCTCTGACATACTTCAATACAAAAAGAATGTTTCTGATTGACATTTCATTGCTTACAATGTCTTCAATGCTGCCACAAGACCAAGATAGGGCAGTAAAGATCTCTTCATGATATGTGGGGGAAAGTTATTTGCATTGACTAGCTTTTTCTATTTTTTTGTTTCTACAGATTCTGACTGTATTTCCTTGTATTACAAACTATTTCTTAAGTTTTACAGTAATATACACATTTACTGTACTTGTCATTGTCTTGGTTGTCTTTCTTGATGCTCTAAATATGTGCTTATTTTCTTGTCATAGTGTATATGTCTTCAAATAAATTGAAAAGCAATATCGAATTTTGGTTTCCTAATTAAGTAATGTTTTCGCACGGTTACCATAATGCATATTGCTCATATTGTATAGGTCTGAGGCCTCTCCCAACATTATGCAATAAGATATTTTCAACTGTATTACGCTTTGCGGCGAATCGGCTTTGCCCGAAAACAACATAAGCTTATTCAGGAGCGGATGTGGGTCCACGTAACGATGGAAAACGCGTCGCGTAACGTCCTTTCTGACAGGAATACGTACACAGTTGCCAACCTCCAATGAGCCAACGGGCTGAAATCGGGTGCCCTTCTATCTCTGGATACATTGAAGTGGAATTTGAAAGTCGCTTGGGTCTAGTGAAAGGCATGGCTGCTTGGAGACGTTCTGCTCCTGGGAAAGGTGGGAAAACCGATATCACGGCGAACATGTACGAAAGTCGCGGTCAACACATACATCCTCGAGAGTTATTCCTCTCGGTTTCTGTTGTGTCCCTTTGTCTGCCTCGTGCGTCCAAGTGGGTCCATGGTTTACGCCAGATACTAAAATTGAGCTTCTAGATGGATCAACACGTCGAATCTAATCGCCGCGAATTTTCAGCTGCCATTTTCAGCCTGTGCTTGCCAAATACGGATGGTGTTGTCTTCTTAACCCTGCGTCTAAGTCCCCGACTCGGTAAGCCCGCCTTGTCCTCTAACTTCGACTGAGTTTGCCGTTTGGTCTACACGAGGATCGACTGCATCTTTCAACGTATATAATCTGCGGGGGACATTTCAACCATGCTTCTTTCCATTCGATTCCCTTCGTTTCTCCTTAACACGTTCGCCACCATTTCGGCAGTCTCGTAACTCACTTCAGCGGCGCGGCGCAGCAGCTGTACTCACTATCCTTAGCTCCACGTCTCGAATACACGGCCGAGGCGATGGTGGCCTCGACTATCTCGGCCCGGGGGGCCTTTTTCACGTTAACTATGATGAATGTTTTCCTCGTTTATGGCCAAAGTGGAGAAGCAGCAAAAACTATCATACCGAACTCAGACCCTGCGATTTCTTATTTACCTGAGTATTGCCCGTCTGGAGGACTTTTGGGTTGCTATGGAGCGTGGTAAGCATGTTTTAGAGAATTATTGTCGAACGTACTGATTTGTGAGCCCTGTAGGTGGGATACTACCATGAATGACGGCAGTATTATCAAGACCACGGCTGGTCCAACCTCGCATTATAACAATGCTCAGTAAGCAGGACATGCTTTCATAACTTTTGCAAAGCGATTGACCCGCTCTGTAGGACGGCATTTTCCTACTCTTTTTATGGTTCCAATATTGAACTACACGGACTTGGCGATACATTTGGTGCAAACATAATAATGCAACTTGACAGTTTCTTGGTCATTGTCAATACTTCGACAGGTTCAGGCGGACCATCGCAACTACCACAACTTCTTTATAACTCCTCCGATCTCGACCCTCAAACCATTCATACTTTATCAGTTGGATGGTCGAGGAATAACATTCCAAACAAAGACTTGGGCGTAGACAATCCGTTGTCGTTCGCTTATTTCGATCGTTTGGAGATTAGCAATTATCGTCCCGCGTAAGTCTCTGCGTATGTATTTTGAGGATACCGAAGTTAATCTGTTGTTTCCCGTCGAGAAGCGATGGCATCGCTTCTGCAGCGTCTAGTACTACTTATGGTTCTACCGTGCCAGCCTCTCCAACTGCGGCTTCCCTGTCTTCGCAATCAGCCTCTCCAAAGCTCAAGTCTGGTGCTCTCGCGGGAGTCATCATCGCTTCGCTCCTCTGTTTCATCCTCTTTTGTGCTTTCTCCGCGTATTTCCTGCGTTACCGCCGTCGCCGTCGCACACTTCGGCACAGACCAACGTCCTCCCATGTTAAAGTCACCATCGAGTCTGACGAGATCCGCTTTGCGGATATTATACCTTCACCCTCACCAAGCGAAAGCTGGAAAGCACACCCACATTTGTCCCTCCCACCAGCGTACGTCCATTCCGGATCCTGTGGAGTCGATGCAGCAGGATATGGCTGCGAGAAAGGTGTCAGTTATTTGGACCTCGAGCCGGGCAGCACTAGCCTAGATAGCGTGCCATTGCCGTTTCTTAAGTTTGATCCGGTGGATGGGGAGAAGAAAAAGAAGAGCAGGCTTTCGGTACTCTCTTCTCTCTCTTCATCGACACCGTCAAACGTTTCACATCCACCTCGGGCTAAGCTCCGAGTGAACACTCGCAAGTCCGAACGTGCTCCTCGGACTAGCGCACTCGCTTCGGTCGAGATCGCTCAGGCCCAGACAGAACAAGGTCCTTCACCAGTCACGCCTTTCACGCCATACTGTGTTGCCACTGCAACTGTCGTGCGTCCGCAAAACGCACAACGTATTTCCAACGCTGGTCTGAACGACAAGAGAATGCCAAAGAGGAATATTCCTCTGGATGCACCGTTGCCTCCTTTGCCCGCAGTGCCGAGCCCAAGGAAGGAGAAGCGTCGCGATACGAAGGTTCGGTCAACTTTGAAAAGCTCTCGTGCAGGATCTAGTGGACTCGATAAAGACGTCTCTGATATGCTGGCCTCAACTGGAAATGCCGCAACGCGCTCCGAACGCTCCAACGCACTTGACTTGGACCTTGATGTGGGCATGGTGACTCCAAGGCCTTCATTCGACGCGATGAGTGTTATGACGCGCAGCGTTCCGCCACCCTACGCTCTGCATGCCTGAGGATTGCAACGTCTTAAGTATGAACACATTCAATGACACCACCATGTTCTGTGCTTCACATTCTTTCATAAATTGCTGGTGTACATCTATATCTTGTAAGTTGCTTGTATGCGGCCCTTTGCCTCTTGCTTTGATATTCCGCTTTGTCTTGTTTGTGTCCTTTTCTTTTCGGTATCACTTGTAGGTATAACTTTAATGCTCGACGACTCTCTTTTTTGTTGAATTCACGCTCCTTCCATGTCATCTTGTAGACTTGAACACTCGTTTTCAATTTTGATTGTTAGAACTTTGAATACCTATGCTTTGCGTCGCTTTTGTAGCTATAAATAGTATATTAATATTGTCGCATACTTTGATTTGTGTATTGGTAGCACGTTGTTCATAATGCTGTTGAATTGATATCAGTGCAGCTGCGTCATCGCAATTTACGGACCATTTTCCTTGGCCTTGGAGACCCCGTGACTTGTCTCGATCCGATGACATCGCTCGTGGCCGTGGGAACAATTGCGACTCGGTGCGAGCTCTGGCAACGACGACAGCGCGTTTCCCGACGTCTCCGTCATCGACCTCGACGATGGACCGCGCGCTTGGGACCCATACAGACAAACGCAGCGCTGCATACGAGTCTATCTTCGGCAGGCCCAGCGCAGCCCATCACCAATACCCTCGACCGCCACCATCAACGTCGTCCAACTATACTCAGGGTTACCACCAGTCCGCAGAGTATACCACTCATGGTTACTACTACCAGCAACAACAATCTCCCGATCCCCGATACGATGCTCAGCAGGCAGCCTATGCGCAGGCGATGTCCCAGCAGTACGCTCAGCATGCATATGCACCTGCATCTTATCGACAACAGTCGTATTATGCTCAACATCAACCGTCGCAAACGCAAACGCAGATGCAACTGCCGCCGCAGTATCCTGTATACAACCATTCACAATATAGTCATCTCAAACCTCCAGACCAGTATGCACAGTCTCTTGCGAGCTCGTCTCGTTCGACTGGTATCATCGCACCCCAACCTCCACCTCAGGACTCGTCTGATCCGAACATTGAGGCAATGGTCCGCTCTGGAATGACACCAGCTCAAGCATATCAGGCTCAAGTATATTCAAATACACCTGTGACTCGCAGCTCACCTGGACTGGCTCCTGGGAGGCCAATCTCTGCAGCACCGTCGGAGAGCAGGTCTCATCTGAGTGCTCAAGAACCACAGCAGACGGGTAGTCCACAAGTGCCCCGTCTAGGCTTTGATCCTCCAGATTCCCGGCTAGAACTGGACTTTTTCGATGATGGAAACAACGAAGAGAGAACGGGAGCGACTGATGATGCTCGCGGAGGACTCAGTAGTAAATCCACAGGCATGCTTTTTCATGACACTTTTGTGAGGCTCTTCTAACAGGTTGTTCGAATACTCAGATTCCCCTAGAAGCTTTCAAGAAAATCGATATTCGGATGGTCCTCTTGAGTATGGGGGCATCGCTGGTCCATCTTCCCGACCCTATCCGCTGCAGCTAAATACCGCTATGCCAACAGGCAGCCCTATAGCAGATAGCCATTCACCGGCTTCATCAACCTATGTTGACCATAGCTCTCCTGTTCCATCTTCTCCAAGGCGGTCGTCTGAATCTGTTCGCACTCTACCCCGTCAAATGAGTACCCGACGTGATCGTACAGTTCAAGATCGATCACGGTCAATGTCCGCAACATCCTCACAGGCTCGCAGCATCATGGGGGAACTCAAACAAGACTCAAGACCAAGACCATCTTTGCCACAGTTTGGTACTGGTGCAAACGGCGATCGACACTCCCTGTCACCTCATACTAGTCAGTCGCGTCGTACTCCGATTGTATATCCAGCTTTACTTTCACGCGTGGCGGAAGCGTTCCGAGAACGCATAACTCTGATAGAGCGCGCCAAAGATGGATTGTCATACAAGGATGCCTTTGATGGACGCGAAGCTGTTGACAAGATTGCATACATCATTAAAACGACCGATCGAAATCTTGCTCTATTATTAGGACGGGCGTTGGATGCACAGAAATTTTTCCATGATGTCACATATGACCACCGGCTCAGAGACAGTCCATACGAATTATACCAATTTCGCACCGCGGTATCGGCGCCTTACGCTAGCGGCGATGTCTCAACAATACACGGCGCAAGCAATGGCCAACTTCGTGCAGTAGCTAAGGGAGGGGCCACGTCAAACGATGGTAGCATTCCATCTGGCGATGATACACAGACAGATGATACTTCGGGATCGCAAATCCCCGGGCCGATTGAAAGCGCACTGTCGTCTGACGAAGTACCCCTGCCGTCAGGTGTCTTTACTCTACTTACGGATTGCTATTCTCCGACATGTTCTCGGGACTCCCTGTGTTACAGTATTGCTTGCCCAAGACGTTTAGAACAGCAGGCTCGATTGAATCTAAAGCCGCAACCTGGGCTGAAGCGAAGCATCAGCAAGGAATCGCTCGGCGATTTAGTGGTGAGTTGAGAGCAGTCTATCTGCAGTTCGGGTGCTAAGGTGGTGTATTAGGAACCTGGTACATTGTGGATACACTCAGTACCGAAGGAGATTGCTGACAGCGTGTCCGAAACGGAAAAGAAGCGTCAAGAAGCAATTAACGAGGTGATTTACACGGAACGAGATTTTGTTCGGGATTTGGAATACCTTCGAGATGTATGTGCCTCACAATATATTTCTCGCTTTTGTTTCTGACTTTCGCGTCCCAATAGGTTTGGATTACGCCATTGAAGAAATCGGACGTCATTCCAGAGGATCGGCGATTAGACTTCCTTGAACAAGTGTTTTGGAATGTGCATGACATCATCGCTGTGAACAGCAAGCTGCGCGATGCCTTCAATAAGCGCCAGAAGTCGTTTGCTATTGTGGAACGCGTTGGAGATATTCTTTTGGATATTGTCCCACAGTTTCATCCGTTCGTATCCTACGGAAGTCATCAGCTCTATGGGAAATTCGAGTTCGAGAAGGAAAAGAGCAATAATCCGGCCTTCCAGAAATTCGTTGACGTGAGTAACTTGACTTGATCGTTGATATCTGTGCATTTATAATTCTTGCAGGAAACGGAACGTCTTCCAGAATCACGGAAACTTGAGCTGAATGGTTATTTGACGAAACCGACTACTCGGCTTGCTAGGTATCCACTTCTACTTGGCGTCGTTCTTAAGTATACGCCGGATGGCAATCCAGACAAGGAGGAATTACCTAAAGTAATTGCACTCGTCAAGGAATTCCTAGACAAGGTCAACGTGGAGAGCGGGAAGACTGAAAATCGTTTCAGCCTTCTGCAACTCGACCAACAGCTCGTCTTTCGGCCAGGAGAGGAAGTTGTGAGTGAATTGGGTGGATGAAAACTACTTATCGCTAAGTTCATTGGTTTCATACAGGACCTTCGCTTGAGGGAGGAAGGGCGTGAGTTGGTATACAAGGGCACCCTGAAAAGACGTGGTGGCCAGGGAGATAGCGGGGATCTACAACTTTTCCTCTTTGATCACGCATTGCTTATGGTCAAGCAGAAAGACAAGAATAAGCACGAGCAGCATAAAGTCTATCGTCGGGTAAGTTCTACACTTTCTCCGCTCGTGTCGACACGACTAAAATAATTTTCAGCCAATACCGCTTGAGCTTTTGCTCATTGCATGTCCCGATGAGATACCAGCGAATGCTGCGCGCCACCAGCAAGGAAAAGCGCTCAATAAGACTCTAACAAAGCGCAATTCCTTCAACAAGAACTTGCCACCTCCACCTCCTACTATCGCCCCCATCAAACCGAGCAAAGACGGGTTTTCCATCACTTTCGTACACCTCGGCCGGAAGTACTATCAGCTTACTTTGTGGGCCTCTACACAAGTTAACCGACGGAAATGGCTTGATGTCATCCACAAACAGCAGGAGGTGATGCGGGAGAGAAGTATGGTGTTTGACACAGTCACGCTTTCCGAGGGATTCTTCACGGGTCCGAACAGAGTCAACTGCGCCGCACCCTTCGGTGAGTCCGCAATATACTATTATACAAGGTCATTACATCTGATGACCATAATTAGACTTCGGGAGGAGAGTCGCTTACGGAACAAATGATGGTGTATACTTCTCAAACCTTCGGGAACCTAACCGACATCCTGTGCGAGTCCTCGGATTACCGGATACCACGCAAATTGACGTGTTAGAAGAGTTTCAGTTGCTGATCGTACTCTCCGGTCAGTAATAATTCTCTAAGATGGTCATGAGAACTAATCGAGAAATATATTCGCAGAACACTCCGTAATTACATTCCCGCTGGAGGCTCTTAGTGAGCACGACCCTATGGGTGGCCTACGTCGAGCGAAGCGCATCTCATCGCATACTTCATTCTTCAAGGCTGGCATGTGCCTTGGGAAGACGTTGGTTTGTGTCGTGAAAGCCAGTCAATTGTCAAGTACCATCAAGGCTCTGGAGCCCATTGAGTATGCTGTACGGGGAAAGAACAAGCCGACGTTCAAGAAGCTCATCCAAGGCGGGAACGATACGCTTCGGCTCTTCCGAGTTCGTATATTCCTTTGATTGCTTGAAATCCCGTAAGCTGAACATAATACAGGAGTTTTACATTCCAGTTGAATCCAGTTCAATACACTACTTGAAGACGAAACTCTGCGTAGGATGCACGAAGGGATTCGAAATTGTCGATCTGGAAACGCTTGATACACAGGCACTCCTTGATCCCTCGGACGGTTCACTGGATTTCGTTCAGAAGCGAGACGATGTACGCCCGATGGCGATCTACCGCATTGAAAATGATTTCCTATTGTGTTACGATGGTAGGTCAATGGTATGAACCTATTTTGTCTGTACTTACGAATTTCGTTTGGGAAGAATTCGCATTCTACGTTAACAAGAGTGGCTGGCGGGCGCGAAAATGGTTTATGGTCTATTGGGAGGGTCATCCTCGGTCATTCGGTGAGTGACATTGTTGATGATGCTTATGTCTTGCTTATTTATTGGGATCAAGCACTTTATTATCCTTATGTCCTCGCTTTCGAACCCACATTTGTTGAAGTCCGACACGTCGAGACTGGTGCCTTGACTCAGATCGTTCAAGGAAACAATCTGCGTTGCTTATTCGCCGAAGCACCGCCGTCTACTACACATTCGAAGCAGAGTCTATATCCAGGTTCAAATGGGTATTCAGCGGGTATGTATGGTTATGATCCACGGCAGAGTGCGTACAGTGATCGATCATCAATGTACTCAGCATCTACTGGCTCGTCAATGTACCACGGTCAACAAGGGTACGGTGGGCAGATGGCTCCAGGTGCATATCCACCGCGTTCGTCCTCAGCTATGGGCATGGGACGACGCGAGATTATCATGGTGTCTGATGACCGTGTCATGGCGTTGCAGATTGCGCGTCCATTATAACGATACTGTCGAGTATTCCTTTTCGGTTTCGGCTTTTCTTGCACTCTTGCACACACATTTACATTCCGATTGCGAGGGTAGTGTATCGATCCTTACCATGACCTGGTAGCTGTCTATAGTACTTTAATTTTCGCCATTTGTCGTATTCCCCTTCAACTTAGCCGTTTCCTTGTCTCTCCTATAGTGCTGGCCTTCCTTTACATATCAAGTCGTTATCTTGTATTCGTCACAACGATTGTAATGTATTGATAGTATCATTCGGTATGCTTTTATTGTTAGTGAACTGACATTTTGCTGGTCGACAACCTTCGCGGTTGTTCCCGACGTTAGTCATCAGACCGTTATTACACGCGTACAAAGGGAGTCAATCAGTACACCTTCGTGCAGGGTCTAATAATGCAATATATTTACATGAAGAGTTTATAATCAGATAATATAAGGGCCTTATATCCAACGCAATATGCAAAAATAGGAGTGTCATAGGAGTAAATTCCAATACCCTTTCGTGTATGTTTCTGTGATGGCCATCTTCATATAGACATCGAGCAGCGATATTTCTCCGTAAACTGTCACGAACACACTATGAAAAACCGTTTATGAAGTACGTGTGTTGTAACATACACTTAAAGGAAATGAAATGAAATGAAAAAGAGAAGAACGTCTTTAACAGAAGGATTGAGCTCGATACATTATTAAGGACGGCTTGCAAATAAAGGTATAGAGAACCGTTCGTGGAAAGATATCTAAAGCTGCATTATCGCGAATAGGCGGGCGGCTCGTTTACTTCTGTCCCGTTTGAGAGATTCAACCGCTGCTCCTGAAGCGAAAGCACGGTTGCTTGTAACGCTGCCACTCGACTGAGTATATCCTCTGTGTCAGGACGACTTGATGATGAACTCGCTGATAGAGTCGTCGGCTCGACTGCGGACGGCTGTGTGCTCTATAAATATGATAGTGAGAAATCGAAGTGGATATATTTTCACCGGGGATTATATACATACCGGCTGCAAGTATTGTGCCCGTTTCTCAATACTTGGGGGGAAGGAAGGGTTACTCAGGACTGGGCTGGTGTCTTCAGATTTAGGTTCACTAGCGGGAAGTTATTAGGGAACCGAAAACTGTTTAAAAATACCGAAACGTACTTGAATACTGCTGGCCGTGCCTCAAGTGCAGAAGTGACCCTTTTAGGGCGAAGAAGGGTCCTCCATGAGCTTGTTGGCTCACTAGATATTGATGACAACGATCTTGAGCTGACACGTCTGGGCCGCCTACAGTACCAGAAAAGAAATACCAAACAAAGAGCGACAAAAGCGATGCCTCCTATCGTCCCTCCCACCACCGCTCCAACATTGACACGAGACTGGTGATTAGACGGGATTGAGGAAGATGCACTCGTACTTGAGCTAGCGGGCGCGTTTGTACTGGAGACGATGGAAGAGCTTGTAGTCGGGTTCGAAGATGCGCCCGTGCTGGAGTTTGATGAAGCACTATTATCAATGATCCAAAATAACTTCGATCAAATTCCGTCCTTGCACAAATGTATTAGAGATTCGAAGTATTGGACATACGTGTATTGTAAATAATCGAATAGGACGGCAGTAGAACCACCATCGGGTGATGCGGCGGAAATAACGAGCTGATGCGAGCTATTGCTGAGGCCGCTCTTGACGAAGCAAGGCACGTTGTACAGGAAGTCGGCGCTGCCTGTGGGCGAGTGGGTGAATGTCCCTGCCTGTTGACCGTCGAGGGTGAAGATGAGGTCTGTGCCGACCGTAGCGTCCCCTTGAACGCTGTCTGGGACAATAAAGAATGCGTAGACAGCGATTCCTTGGTTTCGGAGAAATTAAAAAAATGTTAATAACAAGATTAAACAGCTAAGAAAATAAATGTAACGAACCTGTAAAGCTAATAGTGATATTCATAGGAGGGCCTGTTGGTTGAAATGTTGTATCATGCCATGAATTGTCGATAGCAAGAGATGCATTTGGATGAAGAGCACAAGTTTGACAGCCGTTCCCTTCAGTCCAAGTATTGTCTGGAGAATATTTTGGTAACACGCCAGAGTTCGCATCTCCAGCTTGGTCGTCGACAGTTATATTGACACCTTGAGCGAATGAGGTCTCGGAGAAGCATAGTAATAATACGACAAGCAAGACTAAGAGCCTGACTAAAGGCCCTGCCAACTTCTTACTGGCGTACATGGGAGGAGGGCGTCGAGGAATCAGATGGAGTTAAAGGATCAGCCGTACTTACCGCCATCTTTCGGTCTGCTGCTTTTATACTTTTGGGTCTGATGGAATTGTATTGCTGAGGCTCAGCACACGACGAACCACCATCACGAAAATTATTCAAAAAATACCAATAAATTGCTACTACATCTATGTCATTAATAGAAGACTAAAAATTACTCAATATACTTCTATAATGCTACTAGTGTAGCATACTATCAAATATATAAAAGAAAAACAAAATGAGTTACTCAAAATAAAGATGTTGCAATTGCTTACAACCCCTATTCTTGCTCGTCAATCTTCTTTTACTTTTCTGCCTCCTTTCTTTGCTAAGGTCACAGCTAACTCTATTGGTGATTTCCATTTATAATCTCTCTGTACTGTTCATGATGGATTTCTACTGTGAAAATAGCATCTTCTCCCGTGTACCCGTGTTCCCTTATCTCTCAAAGCTTATATACTTTTTGTCTCATTTCTGGTACACAGTTGGAGAAGCATTGAGTGTCTATTGCATTAGTAGTTCCCTGAACATTGCTGGACAGGGTGGTTTCTTTATTATAGATAAATTACCCTGTATTTGTACAATAGACCAGCAGCCCTAGTGTTTCTTTTTAGGGACCTATACTAGGAAATATACCATACCATACCATACCGAGTATGGTCTAGTTGCCATTAGAGTTCGATTAGAACGTGGCCATACAATGATTGACGGGATTCGGTCATTTGTTGATTAAGCGTCCTGTTCAATAATGATTACTTAAGCCTGATATGGTCGCAGAGCAAAAGGCCTGAAACCTTGACAGTATATAGCCTGCATTTGAGGTCGGCACTCATGTTAGATCTACAGCTCCCAATTGCTTCGTAGTTGTGCAAAACAAAGCAAGGGCCACTGGGCCAGGCGGGAAGAATTATTCAATTGATAACTATATATCTGTCTAAAACCATCCAGTGTCCGCATAGACACTGAAACTATTCACTTAACATATTTAAATTTCACTTGCTCAAGCTCTTATACGCTCCGCCACCACGTTTGACCACTTCATCATCAACCACTGAAGACAGACCAATGCTACTTGAAACACATGTAAATGATACGGATGATGCAATTGGACGCTCAAAAAGGAGATGAAACAGAGACAAATATCACAGGCAAAGGTTGCATTCAGAAGAGAGAGCATGTTGACAGATTTTAGAAAGAAAGAGAAAAGCAGATCAATACACAGATAGATGTGACGAATACTAACGAGCGTTGAACCCGAGATGTACATTAGCCAAAGGAAGAAATAAGAAGTCTTATCGATTTATCTTTTAATCGTTAATCAATCCTTTCGCATCGTATAGACGGGATGTTGATGTGGCTTCGGATGCAAGTCGAGTAAATTATAGGGAGAAGGGAGAGAACGAGCAAGAGCGTCTCAAAATCATCGCGTTAAAGCAATACACAAACGACTGAATTGTCAAGGAACGCCGTAATGGTGATGGCGGAAGCATGCGATCAGGTCTGACTTGCAGAAATGTGAGAAGAGATCCGCGATGTCCGAGAATGTTAGACTGCTAATAGTGAGCGGGAATACATTGGCCAGTGGAAAAGAAAAAAGAAAGAAAAGAGGAGAAGAAAGTATCGTACCGCTTTATTAGGCAGTCGTCATGCCTTTATCGGTCGGGCACGTGACTGAGCACACACACTACGCAAGCAGACCAACTACGACTCATCTCCCATTCCATTGAGTCCAACGCCGTGTCGAATCGACGACCCATTGACTGGGTAGGTGGTCATGTCGTCGCCGGAGGTTCCTGCGCAGCTTGATCCTCTGGACAAGATTTTTGCTGGGTTGAAGAACAAGAATCCTGAGGTCAGACTGCAGAGTGCGCAGGAGCTCCGCAAACATGTATGCATTTCTTGTCACATACTACATGAGCCTCTGACGAATTGGATACAGGTACGAAATGTCGTTGTTGAGATGTCTTCGGACGCAGCGGCTAAGCTATGGGAGGAGCTGACCAACAAGCGACTTATACCTTTGGCGCATGGCCAAACGTCCAGCGAGAGATTAGGAGCAATCGTTGCAATTGGTGAGCCAATTGTTACGCTTCAAGCCATAAAGTATCTAACAGTGTAACCTAGAACACCTACTGGACTTGGAGAAGGAGGAAACAATCGAAACGAAGCGAAATTGTTTTCGATTCTACAATTACGTCGCGTTTGCACTGCCGTCACCGGATTACAACGTGATGCAGACGGCGGCAGAGGCACTTGGCAAGATCGTACAATTTGGCGGTTCCTTGTTTGATGAAGCGTTCATGGAACTTGAAGTAGCGAAAGCTATCGAACTTATGCAATCCGATCGTCAAGAGCCTGGCCGCTACGCTGGTGTTCTGATCCTCAAGGAACTGGCACTTCATAATCCGATCCTTTTCAACAAGCATATCCTGCTCGTCTTTGAAAAACTTCTGATCCCTTTGCGAGATTCACGACTCATCGTACGCGAAGCGGCCGCAGATCTTCTTGCGGCGTGCTTGGATATCATTACCCAGCGCGAGCGTCAAGCAAAGGCGCCGTTCTTGACAAAGATATTACAGGATGCGCAGGCCGGATTACGAACGGCTTCAGCGGAGGCTATTCACGGTTCTTTATTGACTTATCGTGTATTATTGATGCATGCGGGTATGTTCATGAAGGAGGCGTATGTGGACACCGCAGAAACCATCCTGAAATTACGGTCTCATCGGGATGCACTCGTGCGGAAGACCATCATTGCTCTCATTCCGACACTTGCACTGTACGATACCCAGACCTTCTCCGAGTATTTCATGCACAAGGCCATGGGTCATCTATTGGAACAGCTTAACAGGCCTGCAGAGCGTTCCGTCGCATTCACCGCTATCGGCCAAGTTGCCACTTCTGTTGGGAGCGATATGAAGCAGTTCCTGGAGCCAATTATGGACCAGATCAAACAGGGTCTGCAATTGAGAGGGTGAGCCATTATTGCATTAGGATAAGCCTTTCTTATTGACATCATGCAGGAAAAAGAATGCACCTTCAGAGGAACCCATGTTCCAATGCATAGGCATGCTCGCCAGTGCCGTGGGCCCAAACCTCACAAAGCTTCTTCATGATCAACTTGATCTCATGTTTGCCTGCGGACTAAGCGAGCCACTGCGCCAGGTACTGGTTGCAATCGCGCGACACATTCCACCACTTCTACGCACAATACAGGATCGTCTACTTGACTTAATATCACTGACACTGAGCGGCCAAAATTATAAACCACTCGGGGCACCACCAACTTACCAACGCCCTGAAATGGCGGCGATCAAAGACATTGCTGTTCAGCAGACTGGAGCCACCAAGGCTCCAGCAGAGATACGCCTTGCCTTGGACACACTTGGATCGTTTGATTTCAGTGGGCATATCCTCAATGAATTTGTTCGTAGTTGTGCAGTCCCTTACCTAGAAGACGACCATCCGGATATTCGTCAGGCAGCTGCACTGACATGCTGTCGTCTTTTCGTCCGAGACCCCATCTGTCATCAAGTCAGCAACCACTCCATCGAGATCATCAGCGACGTCCTTGATAAGCTGTTGACGGTTGGCATAGCCGACCCCGATCCTGCCATCCGTCTAACGGTACTTTCGTCTTTGGACGAGCGCTTCGACAAACACCTTTCACAAGCGGAGAATGTTCGCTCCTTGTTCATTGCTCTTAACGATGAGGTGTTCGAAAATCGCGTCACCGCTATTGGTCTTGTCGGTCGCCTTGCTATACACAACCCCGCATATGTGATGGCTTCCTTAAGGAAAGCGCTTATCCAACTTTTGACAGAGCTGGAGTATTCTACAGTTGTGCGGGCTCGGGAGGAATGCACAAAACTTTTGAGTCTGCTGATCAATGCAACTCAGCGGCTTATCAAGCCGTATGCAGTATCCATGCTTGTAACACTCCTTCCGAAAGCAAACGACCCGAACCCGACGGTCTCTGCGAACATCCTAACGTGCCTAGGCGAACTTTCATGCGTTGGTGGGGACGACGTACTCCCACTAGTTCCCCAGTTGATGAATACGATTCTCGAACGGCTTACCGACCCCGTGCCTGTTAAGCGAGACGCTGCCCTTCGTACGCAGGGACAAATATGCTCGAGCACTGGTTATGTCATCCAGCCTTTGATAGATCATCCAGAGCTCCTTCAGATCTTGGGCCGTATCCTAAAGACGGATGCAGCTCCTGCAGTTCGACGCGAAGTTATAAAGGTTTTAGGAATTCTTGGGGCCATTGATCCCTACCGACGCAAGGTAAGACTTCGGTTAGCTCGAATATATTGGGGGTTATACGACATAGTCTTTATTTCAGACAAGGCCTGATGATGATCAAACAAGCGAGACTTCCGTGCAGTCAGCTAACACGGTCCTTCCGTCGACCACTTCATCGACCTCAGATGACTACTTCCAAACTGTTGTGATCGGCCATCTGCTTACCATTCTGAGGGATCAGGCCCTTAGTCAACACCATCACACGGTGATAGAAGCTATCATGTCCATATTCAAGACACAGGGCTTGAAATGCGTATCCTTCTTACCTCAAGTATGATCTTTCATTCACTTTCATTGTAAATGCAGCGCAGCTGACTGTATTTCGCAGATCATTCCTGCCTTTGCCCATGTCACTCGCAATGCGAAAGCCGCTCGGAATCAAGAATTTCATCTGCAGCAACTTGCTATCCTTATTGGTATTATCAAGGAACATGTCCGGAATTATACTTTTGCTGTCTTCAACCTGGCGCAGAACCTTTGGGACAATGCAGCCTTGCAGCTGCCAATCGTTGGTCTCATAGAAGCACTCGGTAAAGCTCTTGGAGGAGAATTTAAACCCTTCTTGCCTACGATTCTACCACTCATGTTACGTGTCTTTGATGGAGATCTACTAGAGAAGAAGCAGGCTACACAAATGAAGGTGCTTGATGCATTCTTAACATTCGGCGCCAATATCGAAGAATACCTGCACCTTGTCATCCCCATCATCGTACAATCCTATGAGAGGCAGGATGCATCGATTGCGCTTCGTAAGAAAGCAGTTCAAACAATTGATGGACTTACGAGATGTGTAAACTTCTCCGACCACGCTTCACGCATTATACATCCGCTTGTTCGCGCTCTCACTACTCAGAACAATGAACTTCGTACAGCAGTCATGGAAGCATTGAGCTCACTGGTTCTGCAACTTGGATCGGATTTCGCAATTTTCGTTCCTACCATCAATAAGGTACCCTTCTTTTGATCTTCCTTATATTCAATTTATAAATGAAATGCAGGCTTTGTTGAAGAATAGAGTGCACAACGCCAAGTACGAAGCACTCATCACGAAGCTCCTGAACGGCGAGAGACTTCCCACAGAGGGTACCGGTTGGGATGTTTTGTATGTATGCGTACTTAGCCCTGAGGCATGTACTAATCTAATTTTCCAGACGCCTTGATGCTTCGATGGCACCGGAATTTGCACCTGCTGCGGAATCGACAAAGATGACCGTCAATCAGCAACATTTGAAGCAGGCTTGGGATGTGTCTCAAGCTCAAACGAGGGAAGACTGGAATGAGTGGATGCACGGGCTTTCTGTGGAGCTGATGAAAGAATCTCCGTCACACGCATTGCGGGCTTGCATGCGCCTCGTTGGTGATCACCCGCCACTGGCGCGCGCTTTGTTCAATGCCGCCTTTTTGTCATGCTGGACGGAGCTATATGACCAGTACCAGGTTTGTTTGTTCTACTATTTATCTGACGGGAATGTTACTGAATTTCTTATAGGAAGATCTAGTCCGAGCGATCGAACAAGCTATCACATCACCAACTATCCCGACCGACTTAGCTCACAGGCTTCTGAATCTCGCAGAATTCATGGAGCACGAGGACAAACCGCTTCCCATAGAGAATCGCACGCTCGGAGAATACGCACTCAAGTTCCATGCTTATGCGAAGGCGTTACATTACAAGGAGCTAGAATTCTTCACGGAGACGTCGCCTGCCATCATCGAAGACCTCATTATGATCAACACGAGCCTGCAGCAGCACGATGCTGCGTGGGGTACTTTGACCCTTGCGAGAGAGCAGTACGACGTGTCGAAGCATGAAGAGTGGTACGAACGATTGGGACGCTGGTCAGAAGCCCTGTTGGCGTACGATAGGAAAGCTCGAGAGGAACCCAACTCACAAGAACCTGTCTGGGGTAAGATGCGATGTCTGCATGCACTTGGTGAATGGGAGCAGCTCGCAGCTCAAGTGGACGAAAACTGGGCGAATGCAACTAATGAACAGCGTCGCGATATGGCTGGAATGGGAGCGGCCGCCGCGTGGTCGCTGAATGAGTGGGATAACATGGACGATTTCATCGCGGCCATGAAGGGTGACTCACCCGATAGATCATTCTACAAGGCCATTCTTGCTGTTCACAGGAACCAATTTTCTAAGGCTTTGACACACATAATGAAGGCACGAGACCTCCTTGATCCGGAGCTAACGGCACTCGTCGGGGAAAGCTATGGAAGGACATACAAGTAAGCGCATCCAGCTGTTATTTTTGGACAGAGTCTTATGAGTCCCAAGTATTATGGTTCGGGCGCAAATGCTGTCGGAGTTGGAGGAGATTATACAGTACAAGCAATATGCAGACCAGCCTGAGAGGCAGGCGTATATGAAGAGGACTTGGATGAAGCGGTTCGTTTCCAATCTCTGCAACTTAACATGTTGTATCGTTCTTACTCGCCATTTAAGATTGCAAGGATGCCAACCGGAGGTCGAGGTGTGGCAACGGGTGTTGCAAGTCCGAACGCTAGTGTCACAACCTGAGGATGATAGCGCTATGTGGATTAAGTTTGCAAATCTCTGCCGCAAGTCGGACCGAATGGTTCTTGCGGATAAGACCATCAATTCCCTCCTCTGTGCAGTGAGTACTCGTATCCACATTGAAACTCTTCAGACCAGCTGATGTGTTTTGGGAACAGTCTACCGCTCAGTACAAGGAGACTGCACATGTCAAGGCAGCCCCCGACGTTGTTTACGCACAGCTTAAGTTTATGTGGGCAAACGATGCGAAGGAAGAGTCGTACAGATATCTTCAAACGTTTACCAGCAGTTTGGCCCATGACTTGTCGGAAGCTGCTACTGCAGTAGCGGGACGACCAACAGTACCAAAGCGGAAGCTAGAAGATATGTCTAAGCTACTTGCTCGTTGCTACTACAAACAGGGACAATGGCAGCACGCTCTTCGAAAGAATGTTTGGTCAGAGGTGCGTTTTAAACGATACGGTTGATGTTCGAGGTTCACCCGAGTTAATATGTATTCACCGTAGGACAACATCAAAGACATATTACAAGCGTATTACTTTGCAACGCATTACGATACAACTTGGTACAAGGCTTGGCATACATGGGCCTTGGCGAACTTTGAGGTTGTTGGCTATCTGGAGAACAGAACTGATCGGGCAGATGCACTTCCAGGGACCAATCTGGCCATTCATGTGGTCCAGGCAGTTCAAGGTTTGTTCTCAAATGATAGGGTCAGACATAGACTCATGTTAGTTGTAGGATTCTTCCGCTCGATACAACTACGGAATGAGAACGCATTGCAAGACACTTTACGACTTTTGACACTCTGGTTCAAATTTGGTAGTCATGACGAAGTTAGCGCCGCAATGGCAACTGGATTCAGTATCGTCGATGTCGATACCTGGCTTGATGTGGTCCCTCAGATCATCGCTCGTATTCAAACGCCAAGCACAAATATCAGGCGTAATATCGACATGCTGCTCACGGAAGTCGGGAAACATCACCCACAAGCTCTCATTTATCCGTTAACGGTGGCTTCACAGTCTTCTAGCCTTTCTCGAAAGAACGCAGCCTTGGCAATTATGGATCGCATGCGTGACCACAGTGCGACCATCGTTGAGCAGGTAAGATTCTTTACTGATTTATTTTACTTGGTCTTGCTCATGTCGCGTAGGCTTTACTGGTCAGCCAGGAACTGATTCGTGTGGCCATACTTTGGCATGAGCTGTGGCACGAGGGCTTGGAGGAGGCATCCCGTCTGTACTATACAGAGAAGAATCCGGAAGGCATGATCGCCGTACTGGAACCATTACATGAGAAGCTTGAGAAGGTGCGACGACTATTATTTAGATATGCAACTGGTCACATAATTTTGTGCACAGGGTCCGACGACTACGCGTGAAACCTCCTTTACCCAAGTCTTCGGTCGAGATCTTCGAGAAGCTCGTGAAGCAAGCCGACGATACTTGCGATATGGTGATCCTACCGAACTTGATAAAGCTTGGGAAATATACTATACAGTATTCAGGAAGATTGAGAAGCAGATGCCTCAGCTTGTCACATTGGATCTCCAATATGTGTCTCCCGAGCTTTTGAAAGCCCGCAATTTGGACCTGGCCGTACCAGGTAAGGCGATGATATCGATTGTACGATGCGGAGGCTAACAATGTCGTTAGGTACATACCAAAGCGGGAGTGACGTCATCACCATTGTAGGGTTCACGAGCAAGCTTACCGTAATATCTTCCAAACAACGGCCTCGACGACTATCGGTGAAGGGTAGCGACGGACGTGATTACAATTATCTCTTGAAGGGACATGAAGACTTGCGCCAGGATGAACGTGTGATGCAACTATTTAGTCTAGTGAATACGCTCCTTTCGATAGACACAGCATCCTTCAAGCGCCGATTGCACATACAACGCTACTCTGTCATTCCTTTGGCACCAAATGCTGGACTTATTGGGTGGGTCCAAGATTCAGATACATTGCATGTTCTTGTCCGCGATTATCGGGATTCCCGCAAAATCCTGTTAAATATCGAATATCGGCTCATGCTTCAGGTGAGTGCCGAAGTCTCCTTAGTCAGCCAGGTTTCACATCTAACGATGATCATTAGATGGCACCAGACTACGAGAGCCTTATTTTGCTACAGAAGGTCGAGGTCTTCGAATATGCTCTTGACAACACTACAGGGCAAGACCTATATCGAGTACTCTGGCTTAAGAGTCAAAACTCCGAGCATTGGTTAGAACGACGCGCTACGTATACACGATCACTAGCTGTCAACAGCATGGTTGGCCATATTCTTGGTCTAGGAGATCGACATCCGTCCAACGTGCTCCTAGAGCGGCAAACCGGGAAGGTAGTCCACATTGACTTTGGAGACTGCTTCGAAGTTGCTATGCTTCGGGAGAAGTTCCCAGAGAAGGTTCCTTTCCGGCTGACGCGGATGCTCACTCACGCCATGGAAGTCAGCGGTATTCAAGGCTCCTTCAAGAATACATGCGAAATCTCCATGCAAGTATTGCGCGACAACAAGGAATCATTGATGGCTGTGCTCGAGGCGTTCGTGTACGATCCATTGATCAACTGGAGACTTCTGCAGGCGGATGTGAATAACCGAGGTGACGGTACGTGTTCTGTCTCTACTACCTGTTCGGTGCCTTATGCTAATGATTATAATAGATGCCAATGATGCCACACGAGCCGAACAACTCGCTCGTGTCTCTGGCTATCCTCAGGGACCAACGCGGAAACTGAAGGCTGATGAGAATGAGATCTTTAACGGTACTGTTTACGTCATCATTTCCAAGTTCAGTTACTTACAAGGTACTCGCAGAAGCCCTCGGCGAGCCTGGTGCAAGACAAGAAGTGCGCAACGAACGAGCGTTGTTCGTGTATAATCGTGTGCAGCACAAGCTGACCGGTCGCGACTTCAACCCGGACGTCGAGTTGACTGTACCACAACAGGTCGAGAAGCTCATCAGTCAGGCCACGTCACTCGAAAATCTATGTCAATGCTTTTCAGGATGGTGAGCAGTACCTTCCAGATCCAGTGAATTACTCTAACTTTGATGTCCAGGTGTGCATTCTGGTAGACATAGACGGATTTTACGACGGCAATCTTCACGACCTATCTTATGTAATGTTGCTATTTCTGCATACTACGTTGTGTACTATGTATTATTTCGATTGTGTTATGGTTTTCTTCATATGGGACAAACACGATTTTGTATCAATACTTATTTACTTATATACAACATTAGCTATCATGAGGAACTTATAGGTCCAAGTGAGACCAGACCAATATGAGTGACGAAGCATGATCATCGTCCGATACTAGACTACCGATACCAAAGAGTACGTTCAAGAATAATTTAAACTCGTAAATGGGAAAGGGTCTACTAGATCAATTAAAGACTACGAATCGTCCGTTCCAAGAGTCAATCGTCTGAGTACCAAGTTCGCGACGACTGCACCGTTCAGAGGAATATCATTTCCTTGGAAACCTTCTGGATAATTTTGTTGGTGCGGGACGTTTGGCTGCGTGAAGGTTCTAGATGGAGGAAATAATCAAGATTGCGGCATACATAATGCAAAGAAAAACGTACACGTTATCCCAAACACCATAATGCGTCATCCCAAGCGCCCGAGTAGTGTATTCATAATCATAAGCGAATCCCTTAGGGTAGAAGAACTCGATGACGGTCGATCGTGGAGTCGGTCGCATCCAAATAAGAGAAGTCAATCCATTACCATGTAAACCCATCATAATCGTAGTCCGTGCAGCAAGCTGCAGCTGCTCCGCACGAGAAAGCTTATCCATGCTAACAACATTCACTTCATAGCCGTATCTATCGCGAAGTTTGTATAATTCGGCTACTAGATTCTCGTGGTCCTCCTGGCGAAGCATACGACGTCCCCAACCTTGACGCGATACGTAGGTAATGACGTACTTCTCGTTCTCCGTACGTACTCCAGGATCAGGACCCGTAATCCATTCGGCGGGGGCACCGCTAAATTCGAGTACGCTTTTACGGAGTGGCGCCCACCAGTGCGGGCTGCCGCGAAGGTCAAATGCGCTACTCGAAGTGCGGAAAGTCGCCTTGTACGCGTCGCTCTCATGTGCTGCTGCACGGTCACCGATCACTACGCGGTCATAAACGAAGGGAACGTTCATAGCAGCGCGGTCGTCCCAATCCTGGGAGAACTCCATTCCGAGAGAAGGAAACGCGCCACGAAGGACCCATTGGTTCATTTTAGCGTAGTCCCGCCAGTCTGTACTTGCGACGTGCCGAAAGATAAAACGACTGGGAGGCGGAAGCGTCGTGCGCCCATCAGGAGTAATAAAGGGGTCAAGTGAAGTATACGTTCTCCAGAGCCCGAATAGTAGTTCAGCGGAGAAGTGGTAGTAATGAGTAATAAATTGCTTCGCATCGGTACAGAGGAACGAGGCGCCGGTAATTCTTGTAGCGGAGTGTGTGTTGAATATGGTCTGAGCTTCGACAGGGGTGATGATGCGGATGTCCTTATCCGAAGGCAGGCGTTTACGAACATCCTCTGGACCGTTGAATATGTCGTACCCAGACGATGTTATCAACTTGCGTTCTGGAATATCATCTGGTTTCGATGTTACAACGAAGATAGTTCCATTATATACGTAGAGTTTGTCGAATACCGTCCAACCTATAGAATGTCTCAAGAGTAAGCGCCGTCGGAGAACCGCTACACGAACCAGAAGCTCACCGGGAGAGTGCTGTAACATCTTCGTCTCTGGTACAGTATTCTTCCAAGTCAATCGTGGCTCGGGATATCCACTGCTAGTCTGAATGACTTTCGCAACGCCACCCGACGTGCCAACGGGAGCTCTGACTTTCGAAATGGTAGGTGCATCAGGAATATACTTGGCAGGAACGAAAAAGAGAAGAGCGAGGCAAAGACAGAATAACAAAATAAGCTCTCGCCGCGTCGGTGCGAATTGCGAAGGGGTCTTCAAGACGCCCATAGCTGTAGACCTCTTGCCGTCGTCGTCGTTGTCTGTGCCAGCGATGCTTATCCGGATATGACGGACGGCTAGAAGTAAATTGGAGTAGCCTACTTGGAAAGGCATGTGCGTCTCACGCTTGTCTCTAGGTCACGTGGGGTCGACTTTGCCCCGCTTGCAGGCACAAGGACCAGGGACAAGGTACAGCCATGCTGATGTGTATATAAAAATGAGGAGGTGCTCAGAATAAATGCATTCCGACAGGAAAAACTAGATGGAGTGATTTCCCCTTTATTGCACAATCAAAGTAGTCGCCACCAATGATTCCTCGAGAATCGATTTCTGAATGACGCATAAGCGACTCTGGATTTAAATTCTTGAAGCATTCGTCGCTGTGCAAGATTTACAAGCAAAAATGTATTGATCGGGGAGAGTTCCGGATGCAGGAGTACTATTTAAATGGTAGGGTATGATGTGTCGACAAGAAGTGGCGACGGGTCCCCGCATAGGTTCAGTTTTCTTTAACCTCGATCATTATTTAACTCGTACACTTTTCACACGTTTACTAGTCCGATTTCTTACTCCGACTCGGAAGCGGTTGATTTATTCGTACCATAATTACCATGTGAGAGTAGCATCAGTGTTATAAATACTAGTTTCGTATTTCGTTATTAGAATGCTTTTGTACGCCTTGATGCAGCCCTCAGAGTTGCAACTGCAAGTAGAAAATACAATTTTACAAATCCAGCAGAGAGGCTGGCAAGCTAGAGGATAAAACACATTGGAATACTGGCAAAGGAAAATTGGACAGCATATGCATTGAAGAAATTAAGTAGTCTCAAAGAGGTGTTTCAAACAACGCAGGAAACAAAAATTCTGGGCCCGTGAAATCCGTGAATATCATATCCATGCCCGACAGAAGGACGTCAAGATGTAGAACGTTGAAATCCAGATCCATAAGAGGCACATAGCTCTCGACTCCATCGTCCGCAGCAGGAAATGCAGTTGTCTGGGTGAGATACTGAAACGAGCCGGACGTTTGTCCTTCATGGTTTAAGAAATGGTTCTCCGATGAACTTCCCCAGTTGAGCAAGCTGGGAGGGATAGCGTGCTTCGGTTGCGGCGCGGAAAGCGAGACCGATCCATTGCTGTCCTGTGGATGACAGGAGTAAACCTTTACAGCAAAAGAAAGCGCTTATAAATCGTGGACTCACAGGTGTAGTAGGATAGATCTCGGGCGAAGAATATATCTGTGGGGACGTAACTAAGGACGACGAGGATGTCCCCGTCACAGGGAATGATATGTCCGAAGCCGAAGTAGGACTCAGAGGGAGGCAAGCATCTATGGTCGATTTCGGTGAGCTCGACTGGCGTGTCTTCTTCGACCTGCTCCTCCTCTTCTTCGTAGGTTCTCTAGGTCCTTCAATCTCAAACCGGATCTTCTCCTCCTCCGCCATCTTGAAGAATACAGCACGATCCGACGGGGTCAACTTCGTCTTCCACACTTCTGCGACATAGCGCGACACATCATTCTGGTGAACTATCTCTGGAGGAACCCGCTTGTTTGCAATGTAATATGATCGGAACAGGATGAATGCGTTGGGCGACCGACGTTTCCTAGATACTGGTGTAGAATGGAGTCGTCTGGAGGCGCGGGGAGTGCTAGTGACAGGGTTAAAAGCACTCGAAGACTCGAGTTGAACCGCAGAGGTACAAGGGTTCATTGTACCTATAAAGTACTTAGACAGTGCTGCAAAGTATACACAACGCGCAACACTTACTCATGTCATTCACGAACATCATTTCGCCATAAGCAGACGCACGAATCGGAGACATAGCGGTTCAGAGCGTTCAAGTTCAAATTCGCAAAGTCGAGCGGGACTTGGGGATGCATACTGGGCTTGCATTGTCGCGCTTTTGAACCAACGGAGACAGTGGAAGTATACTCAAAGTATGGATACTCGAAAAGGCAGGACATCGCGTTATAATCACCATGCTGCTTTACTGATCCAGAAAAGGAAGACCCTTGATGATTGTCACACACGTGTCGACCAATTGCAGTATAGTCATAAATCCTGACCTGAGGTAATTGATTTGGTCGTACCAGACTTGCCACTTCTGAGGCAATTCTGTGTCACTACTTTAAATACTATATTCGTATTTCCTCGATATTGTGATTTGAAGCCCTTGATGCAGTCTTCAGTGTCGAAAGCAGTTTGACTAAGGACAGTAAAGAAGTGCACCTTAGTACGCGTTTCTTCCGAAGCAAATGAAGCAAATGGACGAAGGCAACACTACACAAGCTGAGCTATTGAAGAGCGGGTTTATATTTCTCACCAAGCTCAGAAGATAAACCAGTTGGACAGCAGGGATGTCATAAGACGTGGAGCAGTACACAGAAGTAGGTGTAATGAAGGAACGTTGCCAGGCGGTACGGGCATCTTCACTGACATTTGCCATGCATCCAATTAAGCTTCAAGCTAAAATGGCTCCAAAGACAGATGCAAAAAATAGTATCTGAGTCCAGGCCTGATACCCACTCCTCACTGGTGCACCTGGAGCATTGAAGTCGCTAGTAAAAATTGCACGACTGAAGCGTCTTGCATGAGCTTGTCGGAGGTAAGATTTCTCTCCCATTAGCCAAGTGTCAGTCAGGCCACTGCATTGTCAACGATGGGAGCGAATTCCGCGACCTGCAAGTAAAAATACAATTTGAGTCATTAAATACAGACAACCGCTCGCAGATAGCAATCTATCACGCAGAGCTATGGCCAGCAGTATTAATAACTGCCCTCAGCTCTGGAACTTCCGCATCGTCTGAATCTCATCCAATAACGCTTGCAGTCGGTCATCATCAATTTTTGCAAGACTACATAAACAAGAAAGAAAATTGGCGTCGAATCCCACAGCAAGTCGTTTGTAAGTTAAGACAAGACGCACCTCGGAATGATGCTCTTCGCCTCCTCAGCATCTGCGGGACATAGGTTAGCGATCTGCGCAGTCTCGAACTGCGTCAGAAGTGGCTCTCGTCGGAGGGTCCTGCAAAGAATCATCATATGCACATGTTAATAAACGCATTCTCTCAAGATGGTGTGACGTAAGAGGGTAGGGGCACAAGATACTCACTCTCGAACAGCACTAGCCGAGTCTGTAGTCGTAAACTTTGCAAACTGCTTCACATACTCCAGCGTCTTGTTATACACACTACACACAAAACAAACAGGAAACCAAACAATCTCGTCAGCAAGGTCTCGCTCAGCCATTCCAGGGCTTTACAAGAAGACATACACAGTATCAGGTGCATCCTTGTCCCGATTCTCCAGCAGGTATTTCACCTCCGAGATGAGCAAGCAACCAGCATTATTGAATTCTGTTGTAACGATACACGATCTTCATTAGCCTTCCCTTGTTCTGAAATTCCCAACTAGATAAAGAGGAAGCGGACCTGGGCCAAGTTTAAGGACAGACGCGTCTTCTTCTTGCTCAGCTGTTCTACGATGAAGCCGCGGAGTAGTCATGATCGTGCCAGTGCGCAGAAACGTATAGAACGAGTCGCGTTCGGTGTCAAGACTTCACGCGCGCTTGCGGCCACGTGAATTTACGTGAGAGTTCTCGAGATTACTGGATTTGGAAATACGATCTTATTTGGTCGAGATATTGAAGCTTTGCATGAGCGGAATAGTTCTTTGCAAGGCTTGTGGCGTATAAAGAAGCTGAAAATAAATTAAAATAGGTGAAATCAAAACAAGATGAACTTTGCAGCATAGCTCATGTGAAGGAGCAAAAACCACAGCACCCAGGATTCCCGCGTGGTCCCCCACCGTGGTACTAACTGGGCGGCACCTCGGTTAACTGCGCAGATCAGACGGGATGCGGTGTTTTCGAGGTCCTATGGCCGTGGATACAAGATAGGTTAAGGCACGGACTATGTCCAACGTTCTTGCGGTCAGATTGCAAGCCACTCCACTAAACCCTCTTGCTACAGCTTGTCTGTGTACATTCTTTTACACTTAACTGGTACATATGAATGTTTAGACTTATCCACAAACTGAACAAGGAACTCTGCCCAACTATACTAGCAAATAACAAATAAACCTATTCTTAATTTCAATGACAGTATCATTAAGCCTCAGAACAATAACAGCTGATTATGACAGAACGCGAGGATGTCGATATAACGTGTAATTGATATTGCAAGATAAATACATTTGTGAATTATATGGTGTAAAAATGTACGATGATGCGCAATTGCCTAGATCCTTGCTCTACATAGAGAGTAATAGTATACGATCAGTCATGAAAGTAGACGTACGTCAGTCACGTTATGACTTGATACCGAACTTCTCCTTTTCCGCTTCCGTCCATTCAAAGACTGGGAAAGGATGTGCCTCGGTATTGAGCACGTACTTGTCTAAAGGCAAAATCGAATCGTCCGAGAAGAGAAGATAGAGATATTTGAGCGTCTCTGCCAGGAAGAAACTATTTATACCCGGGAAATTTTTTATTATTATTATCCGTAATCAGTAAAACTTGCCAGCGTGGAGTTATAAATTCATACCTTGGCATGCTATCTTGCAACTGAATCTTCGGGTTGAAGACGTTCCTGACTGTTGCATACCCAGATGGCGTACGCAAGTTCTTCTCAATAGCCTTGAACGCTGCCCATCCACGCTGGCGCCACACCTCTTCACCAGTCGTGCGCCATAAAACGAAGAAGCTTTCAATAGTCTGCAGTTCAAGGACAAATTTCTTCTTAAGAAATGTACTTCTTGAGAAATGCAATTTGAATAACATACCTCAGGTCTTAGCTGATAAGTCGGGTTACGACTTCGGTAATCTAGCGAGTACACGGAGTCGTTGCGTGCCGGGTATGGTGGATCTCGCAGTCCAGGTACGAGTCCTATCCTCTCTTGCGTCCACTCCCTCTCTCGCCACACACCACCACTTATACCTCCTTCCTCTTGCACATCAAGATAAACATTATTCTTCCCATCATAAAGACCTCGCCGCCACGCCGCAAGCACGTTCGTCCATCGCGACTTGTAATCCTCCTCTGTCTGATTAACAGTAAGCTTATCCGCCACTGGACGGCGTGCCGACCAGTTGAATTTCTCATCTGGATGAACAGGCGGTGCGCGTCTTCCCTTAACCGCCTTCTCGTGTTCCCTCTCTTTCTCTACTGCGAGCTTCTTCGCCTCTTCTCGCAACCGTTCTGCCTCTTGAACACGTTCTAGACGTATTTGCTCACGTTCCAGTTCCGACGCACTTGTCACAGCAACTTCATCCGCGCCGAGGCCAACTGGCATATCAGAATACATCGTTCCACAAGAGATTCCTAAGCCCTTTGCAGCCCAGATATGCCTCTCCAGTTCAGACGGCGTCCTCCCTTCTTCTGCAAATTCTGAAAACGGGGCGAATACATGTGCAGGAAGCTGGTTAGCGCCCAGCGCAAGGAGGCCCGGAAGGAAACACGAAAGGTGCTCGAATTTTCGCGACGGGTATCCCGATGTTGCAGTTATGTCCGTGACATACAAAAACGATCGTGTGGGTGAAAGGTACAGCATGTGGTCCATGACACCGCGCATAGTCCGTAAATAAAGTTCTAGCGATTCAGAATCCGTCTGATTCGTGAGTAGATATTGTTTCAGGAAATATTCGAAAGCACTATCCGCGTATGCCCCGATAGTGACCTGGACTGCGAGGCAGAATGAGCATATAGTCGGATCAAGGAGAAAAAAGAGCGCACGATTGACAGGCTGGCCAGTACCCAGAGTCCACATGGAAGGCAACAGGCCTTTCGGGTATTTCGACAAGTCAGCATCATACAGCCGTCGCATGACGTTTTGGGCGACTTCGTAATATTCTTTCTTTCCAGTAACCTTTGCCAGGTACTTGTATTCCATGGTACAGCTCGCGAGTTCCGCTAGCCAGCCATTGGCTCTTCCTCCCCATCCACCCACACGGTCTCCAGTCGCCGGAACAATGCCATATGTAGGGAAGCCTGAGGAAGTATTGAACGCTGGTAGAAGTGCTGCACCAAGCTCATCTGCCTTTTGTAGTAAGGCAGGGTCTTTCGAGAGACCATATGCAGAGAGTAACCCTCCTAAATACCGAATGACCGTCTCAAAGAAAGGTACTGATGACTTTAATATCTCTTGTCGTTAGTTTCGATCAAAGGTAGATATACAAAACATACATTATGATTTGCGATTGCCATCTTCTTGACGAGTTCAATGCCCCGGTCAAACTCGTCGTGTAGGCCCATTAAATATATTGTATCGAGGGAATCGACCATGGTTACTCCCCATCCGTTGAAACTGAAAGAGTGAATATTAATTCAGAAACGAGACTTCCGGTTTATGCTTGAAGCTTGTACAGTAAAGGTTTACTGGTTCAAGACTTGCGCACGGATGACAACACTTGACGGTGTAAACGATAGAATAATGACACCCACTTGTTAACAGCGCCATCAGTCAATGGCAAGAGCTCATCCATCGGGCTAGCATACTGCTCGTATCCATGGTAAGCATGCACGAATGCTTGCTTCACCATCTCCGCACGTTTTGCCCATTCCTCAGGAGTCACCTGCTTCTGCGGCACTGTCACATCATCATCATCATCAAAAATGAATGGCGACTTGTAACCTGGTCGCGGCACTCGTGGAGGCGGAAATGGACTGCTCAGAAACGGAGGGCCGCCAAATTGCATGAACATGAACCAAAGGAGGAAGAATGCACCGCCGATAATGAAAAGACTGGAACGCACGATGCCACGGAAGGGCTTTGGACGGAGGACAGCGAAAAGACGGGCTGTGTAGGAGGGTTCGTTGTCAACGGCCATTGCTCGCCACCCGCGTTCTGCGCCTGAAGCGCGATGCATGGGCAGCATTGTCGACATTGTCGGCGCCGCCGCTGCTGCTGAGGAAAATAAAGGAAGAGATGGAGAAGAGTAAAAGTGAAAGGAGAGGCAGTCGGTCGTCTAGATGAGTGTTGTGGATGCTACCATGGGCGGGATCTGGTCTCCCTCAATGGCACACGCCAAGAAATCAGGACAAGAATAAAGCATCCGGCTTTCTCGGCACGCCTTGCCGAAATTATACACCGACGATCAACTCACACCTCCCACTTGAGTTCCGTCCATTTGCTCCGAAATGTGCGGGCGACGGTGACGAGGAGTAAATCTCGGTCTGGACGTGTCAGATAACCACGTTCAGCTGCAACGCATATAGCTAGCCAGCCAGCGAGTCGATGGCCGCCAAGAATTGTCTTATGTGTTCTCATCCAGTGCCTGCCACGCTGTCCCCTCAGTTGTACCCAACTTACCCCGGTGGTAGTTTGTTCCTACCTCGTTTGAACACAAAACCTGATCCAGTCAAACCCTTGCAAATTGTGTACAAGCTCAGTTGACCAAGTGCCACACATATGCAACTAACAAGGTGACATGCTCGTCAGTGTTCCTATCTACAAAGAATCTCTTGTGTCATCCTTACTCGACGCTCCTGCCTTTCTCCGACTCCGACACGAAGAAAAGGGCGCTACATTTGTTCCCTTGGATCTCTGTTGTGAATGTGTATTGAACGTCTTTAGGCCACCTTTCCTCGGCAGAGAAAGTAGCATCATCATTTCTAGGGAATGTCTGCACTTTTCAGCTTCACTGGCATCGACGTACGATAAGACCATCAAATTTGAGATTACTCTCGGATCAGCAATATGTTCTGTCACTAGCACTACATATCTTTGTCTGCCCACATTTCGACCACTACATAACAGTCTATCCACCTCAGCAGGCTTGATCCGCCTATCAACTGTACCAAAAAGGAGCTATGACCTATTGATAGATATATATATACAGTAGCTCAGAAGAATTGATGAGTCAGTATTCCTAGCAATGTTTTTCCTACTGTCCCTATCCTTTCACATGCCCTTCAAGACAGCTTTTCACTGCAAAGTTGTTTTCATTAGAACATACATAGTATAATGTGTTTTGCACTATAATGAACATTATGTCTGGAAATAACACCAAAGCAATATACTCAACCCCAGTCCCTTTATTCATAAAGGTGTTAAGGATTACAGGCTCTAGAAGAATGTATACAGATGTCTTAAGTACTGTTGTGTTTGCTTTCACATTCTGTCTTTTTTCTATTCTGATGTCAAGCTTTATACATATTTGCTACTCAGGCAAGAATAGTACTTTGTGAGCTTTCTTGCATACTTTGCAAACATTTGCATGTAGGCACACATACAGCATTGATTCGGAGCATTATATCTACTCTTTGTATTGAGTATAGTTGTGTTGTTATACACATATTGACTACTTGTCCTTCTTTTGTTACAGTCTCTGAAAGCCTGCTCAGTTTTGTACACAGTGAATAGAAGCAAACACAATGGCATGGGATAGGTGTGCTCTATCTATAGTTGCTGATGTCCGGTCCCGGACCGCTCGGACTCGGTCCGGACGCAGGACTGGACTGATGGACTGGTCCTCTACAGTCCGGTCCTCATGGGTCCAGGAGAGGTCCGGTCCTGGGTCCATCATTTTGAGAAATTTCCCGGACCGATGGACTCGTCCGGACCCGGACTGGACTCCAGACCTGAATAACCTGAACTAATGTCTCAAATCTCGTTTCCCATATCTCTAGCTCACTATACTAAAACAGATCATACTCCTTTAAGGATCTTTGAATATTAGCTAGCACTTGCATAGTACATTTTACAAGTTTCTGGCAGTCCAAGCAAAGCAAAACTTTACTCCTGTTCTTTACTGTTCAATGTATGGCTTACTAAACTTGACTCTTCCTATCTGGTTAGTGTCTCCCGAAATATTTATTCCCTTTATGTATATTCACTCCTCTCCCGTCCTATGCCAAAGACGCTGCAGTCCCAGCCACCCTCCCCAGTCAAGCAGCCAGCCAATGCCCCTGCCCCTGACAAATTAGACAAGATGTCCGAAATCACTCTCAGAAAGAAGAAGAACGCTGACGCTCAGGCTGCTTTCCGTGCACGCCGTGCCAACTATATTGCCACCCTCGAAGAGACAGGTCCGTCTGCTGCTAAGTACCTAAATATTCATGTTCCGACAACTAAGTGTCCGTAAATCGCAGTAACCAGCTTAGAGGCAGTTGTAGTCCAGCTTCAGGACTCGTGTCGCAAGGCTTGCACTGAAGCCTCAGAATTGTGTCAGGAAAACCACTACAGTGTCTAGTCTGTAGATTATGTAGTATATACAAAAATATATTACTTTTGTACTTAGATACAAAGAATAATACTCTAACTCATCTCTTAAATTTTTTTTCTCTCAGGTCCAGTTATGGACCAGTCCAGAACCGGACTGGAACTTGGGTCCGGTCCACTACCCGTCCACATAGGTCCGGTCCCCAGTCCGGGACACTCCCGGACCGCAGATTTGGTCCGGTCCTGAGTCCAGGTGAAGTATGCCCGGACCAGACCAGGACCAGACTTCAGCAACTATAGCTCTATCAGTATCTACTCCACCCCCACTTCTATTAATGTCATCATCCTCATATTCTAGCATTGGTGAGTGGGTATGTGGTGTAGGAACTGCGTAAATTTATGGGACAAAAAGTACCAATCTCAGTGTGTCCCTCAATAGGGAATCTGGACCACGAGTTGTACAAAAGTCAAGGTCGAGTCAAAAAGCAGACCCATGTAATCCTCCCGAAAGAAGTTCAACATGGGCACACGAGACAAGGCAGGAATCTATGGCGCTGATAAAAAAGCCACAACGGCGCTGCTCTGTAGATGACCAGCCGGCTGATAAAAAGAAGCGCTCAGAGTCAAATAAAGAGTCCAGGTCATCACATTCACATCCACAGAGGCAGAGGCATTATTTTGAAGATGAAGGCACAGTCAACTTCCGGACCAGTGCTGGGGTCACACAAATTACAGTGCCAGCAAGGACTACAGTAGAGGACACGAGAGATGGGTTGAAGGTTACTGATAGTAATGGTCGTAGCTACATTATTAACCCAATAGAAGTGACATCCAAGTCCAAGTCCTGAACGTGGAGTAATAATCTGTGCTAAATACATTCACCAAAGCTAATATCTGACGCATATAATACTAATGCGCAGTGCTGATGACCTTTTTGTGATTCATCTAGTCATAAAATGCATTTAGTAAGACTTATCGAGCGTGCCAGTGGATCCGTCACTTGTGAACAGGTTTCAGAGTATAAGGTATTGAACAATCAACCAGCAAATGGACCATTCTTCATTGAACGAATCGCCGTACCTGCTTGTAGACAAATTCTCCGGATTCTAGACTAAGTGCCATACTTATAAAAGCTATTCCTATTTACCCAATTTATTCTATTCGATTCATCAGTTTCGTGATGGATTTAGGTGTGTTTTGGCACAAAAAGGAGGAGCATTTGGTTCATCCAGAGCGTCGGAGGTTGAAAGAAGAGTCAAAACGGTAGCCTATATTCGGCTTGTCTGAAGCAAGCCACAATAACAGTTGGTTAGTAGAATGAGAAAGAGAGTGTGGGTTGGTGCAGTCAGCCGCCGAGATTAGGAAGGCTTGACAGAAGAACGCTGTTTAGTGTGGGAAAAACCTCACTCTAAGACACGGAGCGTCCAACTCATTGTAATTGGACAATTAGGAAGAAGATGCAAGGTGAGTCTCTGATATCATGTGAACGTGGACTCAACCTCGATCGGAGGTTTAGAGGAAGTTACGGAACGGAAGCCAGAAGATGATTCACGGTTGTAATTTCCGGGCCGGCGTTCCCGGTGAAATACAGTGTATTGCATCACGTTCTACCCACCAATCACTACTGTCCCACCTATTAGTATTAGTTCATACACTTCACTTGCTATGGACTCGTGCACATCTCTATCTCTCCGACCCCCGTCATCTCTTTGGTGACGGTGCTGAAGTTGTCTCAAAAATATTTCCAGCTTAGCGATGTCAAACCTCAAGCAGGCAGAATTCGTTGCATCTCTTGATTGTGGCACTACCTCCGTTCGTTTCATCATTTTCGACGCTCGTGCCGTTATAGTCGCACAGTGCCAGCTGGAGTTCCCTCAGTATTATCCACATCCTGGGTGGCATGAACATGACGCGGATGAGATTCAGCAGGTTTCGGAACAGTGTATTGAACAAGCTTGCAAGGAGCTTGAGAAGAGTGGATGGACGCGGAGTAGTATCAAGGTCATTGGTGTGTACACTATCACCTTCATTGCGCGAATAAGAGATGTTCATCATTTGGGATGCTTTGGTGTCGCCCAGGGATAACAAACCAGCGTGAAACCGCCGTTGCTTGGGATCGCATGACTGGCCGTCCGTTATGCCGTGCCATTGTCTGGGATGACGCTCGGACTAAGGGCACTGTCGCCCACTTCCAACACAAATTGCGGGTCGACGGACTCGAGGTTGCACCAGGTGACTTTCGCAAGGGCGATGCTGGAGTAGCCGCCCTCCGGGAACTTACCGGCCTTCCGTTATCAACCTACTTCTCTGCAATCAAACTTTGTTGGATGATCGAGAATCATGATAATGTTCGTACTGCACATGACACGGATAATCTGTGTTTTGGTACCGTTGAGTCGTGGCTCGTATATGTCAGCACTTCTTCCATCTGCCACTATTTATTATTATTGAATAGTTGGATTTCAGAATTTTACGGGAGGGCATCCTGATGGTTTACATATCACCGAGCCGACGAATGCTTCCCGTACTTTACTTCTTGATATACACTCATTGCAATGGTCACCCGCACTATTACGCTTCTTCTCCCTCCGCCCTTCTATCCTTCCGCGGCTAGTTTCCTCCTCTGAAGTCTATGGCAACTTAAAGTCTGGGTCACTTACCGGAGTTCCCATTGCCGGGCTTGTGGGTGACCAGCAAGGCGCGCTTGTCGGTAATAAGTGTCTTCATCAGGGCCAAGCAAAGTGCACGTACGGAACCGGCGCATTCCTGTTGTTTAATACGGGGAGGAAAGCAGTCACAAGCGAACATGGTCTGCTAACTACCGTTGCATACCAGCCAGGTCCGGGCAAGAAAGCGGCATATGCGCTTGAAGGATCTAGTAAGTCCACATAGTAGCAATGTAAAGATTGAATACTTCATCTCAACTATCGTCTGTCCTCTATAGTTGCTGTCGCGGGAAGTGCGATCAACTGGCTTCGCGATAGTATGGGGTTGATTCAGACCTCGGCAGAGGTCAATACGCTTGCGGCTAAAGAACCCACAACCGGAGGTGTCTACTTCGTCACAGCCTTTTCTGGATTGCTCGCTCCGTACTGGGACCCTGGTGCTGCCGGGACGCTTATAGGTTTAACCAAATACACGAATCCATCGCATATAGGTCGTGCGGCACTGGAAGCGATCGCATTCCAGACTCGCGCGGTCATTGAAAGTATGTTGCTTGATGCGAGCTCAAACGAAGCGAAAGCAAAGTCAAGGGTAAAGTCGGAGTCAAATCCTGGATCGCTCCCCTCGGGTTCGCTGTCTGAGTCGGATTTTGAATCTCCCCTCAGTTCGCCTGTCGTTAAAGAACAGAAACCGATGGACCCATTAGATGGAGATCCTTCGTTGACCAATAAACATTTACCACCGTCTCCTCAACTGGAACCCCTTCCCACTTCACTTGTGGCTGTCGTGCCGGGAGATAGCAATAGCGCTGCTTCAAATCAACCCAAGAGTACTGAAGAAAAGGACTCGAACACTGCAGCAGTGGAATTCACACACCTCAAAGTCGACGGCGGTGTGACGAACGGTGATCTTTGTATGCAGATTCTTGCCGACATTGGTGGGTTCTCTGTTGTCCGACCCACGATGCGAGAGTCGACGGCGTTGGGATCCGCACTGCTCGCCGGCGCCGCTGTGGGGTTGTTCGGTTGGGACTTGGAGAAGCCAGATGAGACTATGAGGGAGGTTAATACAGAGGGTGCGAGGACGTTTGAGCCTGGAAAGCCTGTAGAGGAACGAGAGCAGCATTGGGGAAATTGGAAGAGAGCCGTAGAGAGGAGCCTAGGTTGGGATGAGGCTCCAGATGAGTAAAAATTACCCTCGTTCTGGCTCTTGGGGTACCATATTCTCTACACCTCTTCTATACTTCATTTATACCTCCTCTCTTCCTTCATTATGTATCTAATGACGTTGTCTGATTAAGTGCTAGAGTTTCAACAAATCTGTACCAATAGTAATCATACAAGAACAAGTAATGGGATATGCTGCTGTTCCTGAAAGTCACTCATGCCATTTCTCTGTTGAAGACTGCACGAACTTTTGCTAGTCTGCTCAATATCCCGTGCTCTACTGTTCGTAAGTAACCGGTTCACAAGCATGCTCTCTAAATCTTATTATATTCATGTTATACTAAGTACAACATGAAGGATACTCCGTAACATGCATCATGCTCTATGCATGAGATGCAAACGGTGATGAAGCCGGTCAGCACAAATTATCAGGCCATATCTTAGGCTGGGATTGGACTTAACGGGTAACTTCTACCCGAGCGTGAAAGTAACACCATTCTTTAAGGTAACTTTCAATCCACTCGACGTATTCTCTATTGTAGTACCTGGCTGGGCGTCGAATGTACTTTCCCCCCCGGATTTGCCAAAGTACTTAATTGTGGTGGTCTCGTCGAAAGTAATTGTCTGTGGAGCTGACACTCTAGCCTGAGATTCTCTCCTTCTGTCACCTCTGGATTCTCTCCTCTCCTCTCTGGATTCTCTCCTTCTCTCTGCGTGTTCGGGAGTCGAGCGCTTCTTCTTGGTGTTTGCTTGATTCGGTCCAGATTCTGGTTGCTGGCTCTGGCTGTACAAAGACACCGAGTTGGCAATTCCAGTATCATAAGTTGAAGAAGAAGATAACGACTTACGGATACACTTCATTTAACCATTGCTCAATGCTAGGAAATGAGGTTAGTAACATTAGCAGAGTCGGAGGATGAGCCAGGGGGCTAAATATCAATAGTACACACTTATATGGCATTTTGAATTTGAAACTGGCTATTTCCTCACTACTGTTCTCCTTGTATGAAATAATTCAGTCTTGCAGAAGTGAAAATAAAGACAGAAGAGATAATCAATATGCACTGTTATATATCATCACTATCATGTTCAAAGTAGATAATGTAAAGGAGTCCTGAGACAACATCATATTGTAAAACATTCAGTTCTGCTAAATTTATTACAATAAAGCAAAGATGCAACATAAGTTATTACTAATATCATATGACAGCAATGAAACATTCAGAAAGGCCTAGCAATGTTCCCTACTATTGGACATGGTTGGTAAAGGTTATACAAAGATGAGCCAAATTGCCTTCTTGACACAGGTAGCATAGTAGGTTACTTGGACTGGCTGGATGAATAATGTCTGTTTCAACCTTTTGAAAGATGGGTAGATGGGTAATGTTTTGTTGGCTGGTACAAACTCAACATGATTAAGTAAAGTGAGTTTGTTAACGTCCCAGATACCTGCCTTCTTCAAGTACGTGCTTGTATAGACATTGAGGCAGATTACTGTTATTGCAACCTACAATACACTGGTCAAGTATAATTATTAATTTATAACAGGTACTGCTTTGACAGCTTCTTTTAACTGCTAGAACACAGGTCCTCACAAATTCTCTCCTGAAATTGTCAGTGCATACCTACTTCGACTGCAAAGTGTGAGAATTGATTGAAATTGACAATGAGTGTGAATTGCAGTTAGACATATCAAGTGTAGTATTTAGTCAAAGGATCCAGAGACTAGTACAAGTCTATAAGGCGATTTGTGGGACAGACAATCTGCTGGTTAGCATCTTGACAATTTGATTCTTAGACCTTGTTCACTAGTGACTGATTTACCAACACACTCAATATGATGTATCACATGTATTTGGTAGCTACATGTAGTACAGAAGATTTTCTTACTATTTTTTGGTACTCTAAGCACAATATCAGCTGAGACAAAGCCTGTCAGTACAGATTATTGAGCCGTATCTTAGGCTGGACTTGGATTTGCAGGTCACAATCTGAGGATATAACTAGCACCATTACTTTGAGTTATCTTTAGCCCATCTGGTGTGGGAGTTGCTGAGGTACCTGGTGGTAATGTGATTGTACTTGTCCCATAGTTAATAGTGGTGCCACCTTCGTATACAGGTCCTTTAGACGAATACGACAGTCTGGACTCTCTCCTCGACCCTGAGTGCTTGTGATCTGAGTGTTTCTTCCCAATGTCTGCTTGCCTCGGTTCTATCGGATCGTCATGTACAGTGCGACGGCGATACACATACTGTGTTGGTTCTCTTTCTTCACGTGTCCTAGTATCATGTCCCCATGTAGAGCTTTTTCTGGGGGCATCATATTCTCCTGGTTTGGCGTTCTGCCGTGATTGTCGTACCGGTTCCCTTGTAATGATGTAACCAGTCAGTATTTTATCTTGTGAGTTGTATTGGGTGCTGCTAACTCACTCTGTGTCCACACTGTTTATCCAACCCATAATTCTACAACGTGGATAGAGTGTCATTTACAAAAAAGAGGAATAATTATCAGTAGGACGCGCTTTTTATCATCATTGTACATTGTGCTGCTACTGTATCTTTACTGCTAGTTCTTCTTGTGCAAAACCAGAAAGATTGTGAGAGGAACAAGAATAGAGTGAGGGAGAAGTAATCAATCCGTAGTGCCTTATACTAGCATCACTATACTTGAAGCAAAGAGTGTAAGAGGGTCTCAAAATAACGTTGAAGTGCAAAGTCCAGTGTTACTAGATTTGTCTTAATAAAAGTAAGGATGCAATATAAGCCATCTCTTACATCACGTGACAGTACCAAAAATATTCACAGGGAAGGCCTAACAATGTCCCAGACTACTAATCATGGTCAGGGTCTCAGGGAAGTTCATCCTAATATGTGAACTTGTCTACTTGATATAGACAGTATAATGCCTTGGTTGTACTGCTAGGGAATAATAGATCATGTTAGACTAGTCAAAAGAAAGCTATCTAGAGTTGTATTTTGCTAGTCACAGTTTCTCCAGCAGAATCAGGAAAAGTGATTTTGTTAATAATGGGCATAATGCATATCTAGTAGTACTCTCAATATGACAGTATGCTTCTGTTCAGAGAGACAGTACAATGCTGGAGGTGTCAAGGTGTAAACAGTCCTTGAAAACAATGATGTTGCCTTCTTGACTAGTAGGGAAGGAGGACCAGAGAATATTCATTCTATGTTCAAAAATAAGAGAATAGGAAGGCAGTTGAATTGTCCTTCCTAAGTGTCAGAGTTGGAAGAATATTGAGAGGGCTGAGCAAAGATGATGTCATTAGCTTTGATGGGCTTCTTTGCAAACTAGTATACTGATGTCTCTCTATAGCTACACAAGCAATACTAATGCATATACTCTATAGTCATGACAACACAAAACCCTGTAATGATGTGGTTCTGTAAAAAGGATGTACATGTATTGAAACATGTGTTTGGATCAATGGAGACAGATGCTGAGCAAGTTACTGGTCAGGAGAAAACAAACTGTGTAGCATCATAGTCTCATTTGTAAGGAGCATAGTAGGTTGACCATGAGCCTCTGGTATTCCACGTTGAAGTGGTCTTGCTAATTGTTTAGGGACATGTGTTAATTGCCGTTCACCATAATGATAAAGGCACAAGACAGGAAAACCCGTTGCTCGGCCGTAAGGTATTGACTATGAGCAGGATACAGCACACAGAGCTGGACCATGTTGCCTCCTGATTCTACAGCGGACCTGCAGGACCAGGCCGATATGTGCTAGACGAGTAAGAAGCGGTCGAAGGCAACAAGTACAGCATAACGGCGATGTGGAAAAGACGAGGAACAATAGTGTGTAAATAGTCTGGGGATGCGGATCGACGGATCGGCGGAAATTTCTTTCTGCTGAATCCATCGTCCTCCTCGACGCACACACATAGACTCTTATCTGTCCGTAATTATACCTGGAATGACGGATGTATCTTTGCTGGACTCGCAGGCAACATTCGCATCCTTAACACACGTGCTAGATGCTCGCCTTCTTCGAGCACTCGCTGACATGGGCTTTGCACGTCCTACTCTCGTACAAGCGCAGGCTATACCACTCGCACTAGAAGGCCGTGACATACTCGCTCGAGCTCGTACTGGAAGTGGAAAGACTGCCTCATATTGCGTCCCACTCGCTCAGAAGATACTTAGGAAGAAGGATGCGTTCAGTATTGAGGACCCCGCGCGTCAAGCAGTAAGGGCATTGGTGCTTGTGCCAACGAAGGAACTTGCCGACCAGGTGGCAAAGCACCTGAGACAGTTGCTTGCATATTGCGAGAAGGAAATTGTGGTAGTTAACCTCGTTTCTGGAACTTCGACGCATCTTCAACGGTGAGTAAGCAATGTTTTCCCTTCTGTTTACCTCTCCTCAATCTAGTGTCACAGGGTTCTCACATCTGAGAAACCCGATATTGTCATTGGAACCCCTTCCCGAGCACTTAGTGCACTCCAAGTGAAGGTAAGCTTTCGTCCTATCTTAGGATAATTTTTATATTGATGAGTTATTTAGGCTCTATCACTCTCGGACCTCGAATCACTGGTCATTGACGAGGCCGATCTTGTTCTGTCCTATGGTCATGATGAGGACATAAGGACGGTCATAAATGGCGGGTATCTTCCCAAGGTTTACCAGTCTTTCCTTATGAGTGCTACCATGACGAAGGATGTGGAGCTACTCAAAGGTCTCGTCCTCAGGAATCCGGTTAGTGCCCTCGATGAAAAATGTTCCTATTGGGCTATATGACGAGAATGTCTTCAGGCGATCTTACGTTTAGAGGAAGATGAAGGCGACGCCGCACGACTTAGTCAATATGTGGTGAAGTATGAAGCTTAATATTCTCAGCTTCACAGTGTAGATGTTTACTTTTGACACATGTATTCTAGGTGCAACGAAGTTGACAAATTCCTTTTGACATATGTCATCCTCAAGCTCAAGCTTGTAAAAGGGAAGACCATCATCTTTGTAAACGATGTCGACCGGTGCTACCGCGTCAAACTCTTCCTGGAGCAATTTTCTATTAAAAGTTGTGTCCTGAACTCGGAGCTTCCGTTAAACTCCAGAGTACACATTGTTCAGGAATTCAATAAAGGAGTATACGACTACATTATCGCAACCGATGAAGGTAGTGGTTCAATCGAGCCAGATTCTGATGACGAAACGGATGAAGAGGTCCAAGTGGATGGCGAACAATGTAAGTAGCGTTTAATGGACCTAAACGGAGGATGCACTAAGAAAGTACTTGCAGTAACGTCGACGCAGCGCGATGTGGAGCCGATCGAGCCAGGTGATCCTGGCCCTTCATCAACCAAAACGATGAAACGAAAGCGGTCGCCATCTCCTCGACCGACTCCTGAAGGCACCACAACTAAGAAGAATAAGTCACGTACGCAGAACGACAAGGAATACGGAGTCGTGCGAGGTGTGGACTTCATCGACGTCGCCTGTGTGCTCAACTTCGACCTCCCAACCTCCGCACGTGCATACACACATCGCGTTGGTCGTACCGCTCGTGCAGGCCGCACGGGAATGGCACTATCCTTTGTCGTCCCAGCAGCGGAATGGGGTAAGAACAAGGTCGTAGGCTGCTTGCCCAGTGCGCGCCGCGATGAAGTTCGGTTCAGTCGCATCGAGCGCCAACAAGCTACGCGTGGCAGTAAAATCAATGAGTACAAGTTCGACATGAAGCAGGTCGAAGCATTCCGATATCGCATGCAGGATGCGCTTCGCTCAGTGACTCGAACCGCTATCCGAGAAGCCCGAGTGAAGGAATTGAAATCGGAGATCTTGAACTCAGAAAAGCTGAAGGTTTGTGCCACCCTTATTGTACTTCGTCTCTCTGGAAACCGGAAGGCTCATTCCTGTACTGCATAGGCTCATTTTGAAGAAAATCCGCTCGATCTAGAGTATCTCCGGCATGACAAGCCACTCCATCCGACGCGCGTGCAGCCACACATGAAACATGTTCCTAAGTACCTCATGCCGCGCATGGGCACCGCCGCCTCCGCCGGCGAGCTCACAGCTGGTGCTGGCGGCGGTGAAAAGGAAGCAAGCTTCGTTCCTTTCCGTAAGTACACTGTACGAGGACGCGGTCGAGGTAGGGGTAGTCATACTGGACCGGGCAAGGGACGCAAGAAAAAATCGGATCCACTGAAGAAGTTCGGTCGATGAGTTCGTGGCTTTCGTGGAGCCTCGGGATTGGGCCGGGTACGATAATCCAGCCTACGCTTGGAGCTATCTGGATGTGGCCCGTAGTTCACAGTAATTTCCTTGGTCATGCTTAGTGTTCCTTACCGATGAGGCGAAAATCGTGCACGTCTTGGGTGATTGACAATACCGTCAAGGCCAACGAATTCCCGCTTGTAGTATGTAGAATTGGACTAGTGCTGCACACATCATTGATTTAGTACACGAATATTGGGGGGCGGGAAGGGAAAGCATATATGAACGAATATAGAGTATAGCTGGAGTAGCATGGAACAAGCGATTGAAATGAGGAAGAGAAGAGAAGAGAAGACAGCATACATCATTAATTCGGCTACACGGATACTGGGGGGAAGGGGGGGGGACGGGAAAGCATATATGAAGGACTACAAAGGAGCAGCATGGAAGGGAAGAGAAGTCAAGAATGGGAATAACAGTTCGACGACGAAAGATAATTAAACTGAAAAGTAAAGTAATACAGAGAAATTGAACGAAGACACACGGGGAAGGGAAATTTGTATAAGGTTTCAAGCGATGCGGCGCCTTCGCGTAGCCCGATGCTCTTCGTTGTTTTGTTTATAATCATCATCACGGCGGCCATCGTCGGGCTCGGGGCCATCCTGGTCATCGACTTCGCCAGCCTTCAGTGACCTGCGTGATCTATACGGTTTATCCCTGACAGAGGGATGCTCCATTATTATTTGCTGCAGTCTTTCAATCGTGGTCCTCGTTTCGCCCACCGGGCGCGGCAGTACATGTTTTTTGAACTCATCAGTTAAGAAAAGTTCTATCGGCCACCCTATAGGACGAAGAGGTGGTGATTAGCCGGCTGTGCGAGGACTACGAAGGAAACATACATACACCACTCGCGGTCAACCGTTATAATATGTCCCGCCCCTTTACAGCACGTGTTGATATGTCTCTGGCACGAGTCCTGTCTGTTACATCCCTTCATACAGATAGAACACAGATAGCCTTCAAAGGCGTGTCCGCTGTCCTCCGGCAGGTGGGTCACGATATGGCGATCGTGCGCCTGTGCTGTAGTGGAGGTACTCGTACAAGCACCTCCGAACAGCTCTTTCCATTTACACATAAAGCGTTTTGGGCCCGAACGTCCCCGCTTCTGTGGCACTGAAGAGCTAGCTTGGTCTGGGGTTGGATCAAACTCGTCAGCGTCCATATAGTCGCCTTTCGTAGTGGCCTTGCGCTTGCGTGGAGAGGTACGTGTTGAAGGGCGTGCGGCGAGGTAGACCGGGACCGGGACCGGCGAACTGGCTGGTGTGCTCAACTCCGAGCTCGGTGGACTAGAGCACGAACTACTGAGCTCTGGCGTGGAACTGCCTCGAGCAGCATCGAAAGGCGAAGCCTGAGGACGGGGGGCTTTGCGCGAGGTTGACGACGAATTGTTTACGCGAGGAGAACAGATCTTTCGTCCCTTGTCTTTGCGCGGTGTGGTATTCGCGACTGTAAACGAAGGGCCATTCAAAGTCTCCCCTTGCGTATGCGGCACGTCAATACTATAGCCTGCCTCTCTGTTAACACTGGACTGGACAGCTTCGTCTCGCCTTGCCATATCTTCAAAATCCCATTAGTATTACACAGTACCTTATACAAAATAAGAGACATTACAAGTTGGTGTCCCGTCCGGAAGGAGGCTATCCAGGTAGGCAGGATCGGAAGTGTCTCTTCCAAGTCCGTCGACGCTTGGGCCGAACTCGAAATCCTCATCCATGAGGGTCAAAATGCCATCCAGGTCTCCCGCAAGTTTGGCCGCTAGAATAGCTCCAGCCGAACTCTCACAAGGGTATCCTCCGTAATAACCAGCTTTAGAATAGTCAGTCTCTGCAGCAAAGGCGGGTCATTCAGTAAAATGCTCACCGGAAGATTCCTGTATCTTAAAGGTTCGTCGGTCAAAGGGGACGTAGACATAGAGGCATGTACGACTTACATTCTCAGTGTCGGCGGGACGAACGAACCAACCGTAGTCCTCCAACTCGGAACGGTATTTGGCATTAGAGGCAGCTACGGGATCAGCTGCTCCATGGACCTGAGGATACACAGTAGACATAGCGTGCAGAGTGATAGGAGGGAATAAAAAATAGACAAGCTAGTTGAACTGGATGGGTGCACAAAGGAAGGTGGGCAGGGGGATTTATAGGTCCATCGAGAGTGGTCATGCTTAGGCGGCCATCGATTGAAGAGAACGATTAAGCGCTCCAAGTGGCCGTAACACGTTTCCCTTCGCGAGTGGGGTGATACCCAAGCGCCAAAAATTGGGAACGACAACAATGGGCGGGAGCAACACGTGGGGGACTGGCCATAATCCTACGATTGTTCAGCGCGCCCTGAAAGGCTGGACGTGGCTCGTCGTTGCCAAGCTGTGCGGTCTCCCTAGGACTACTCGCTTAAGTTTATAGAACAAGACAGACCATTTATGCATAAAGGTCGGTAATAGTCTAACGAAATTTCTGAAAATTTCTGTTACTCGAGATGAGGCCGTAGGACATAATTCCCTTTGGCTGACTGACCTTGAGCATGTTACGCCAACTGGCGACGGATCCCATTGTATGCTGTCTGTACAAGAAATAACGATGCTAACAATGATAGACGGGGATTAGGATGCTTCGGTACAGAGGTGCGGAGTCTCCGGGAGTTTGAGGCCAGAGTGTGAAAAATAAGGTTCTAGGTGGCCTCCATCGTATGATGGATTCAAAGACCTGGCAAATGCCGGAATAATCTATCAAGATTGTTCTATCGTACTATATGATATAAAAAAAAGGACGGCTCTTTTAGTAGAGCGAGAACGAGACTGCACTGCACTGCACTGCACTCCAAGCATTGATCGCGTTCTTCGCAGAACAGAAAGGGAACTCATGACGCAGGGGGTCGGCACGGTCCAGGAGTTATGCAAGTGGTCCCCACTATGCAAAGTCATGATTGTGATTATCAGCCTACACATAGAAAGCAAGAGTCTCCCTCAGATGCACAGCGACGGACACCCGAGAATCGATAATAGCAAGCAAACCCAACGCGAGTTCTTGTAGATGAAGCGCAGCGAGAGTCAAAGGCCCCAGATAACGAGACGCGAATTCATACCAGGATATACGAATGAATCGAGAAATACAAATGTCAGTTAGCAACAGACGAAATCCCCGCAATCGAGTTCCCGGTCTTTGAGCAGAAGCGACCAACGCGTTCACGTTCAAGTTTGTTTCAACGTGTGTCACTGTCAGGTTGTTGAAATTGGCGTTACAGGTAATGGCACGTGCTTGTGACTTTTCGTGTTCAATAAACAACAGAGCCACGAGACGCGGCGCTTCTATTTTGACGCTAAAGTCTAAAGGCCCAAAACATTCTTTGGCCTCGCATCTACGAAATATTAGCATCGAAAGCTTCAACTACATATACTTAATATAGAATCCTTTGAATACAAGTAAAGCAATAAGAGTCCTCAATCGGCTCGTATAGAGTACATCCCTCTTCACTTATGGCTATGATGTAAAGGTGTAAACAGAACAGTTAAGAATGAGGAAGAATGCAGAAGGAGGTAAAGCAGAAGTAAGTAGAATGTAACAAGACGGAGCTCAAGGGAAGTTGAGAGGAGAAGGAGAAGAGACAACCAGTAAATGAAGCCGAGGACATAATGGGCAGGGGCTTCTTATTCGCTTCTTCGCCGTTTGTTTGGACGAGAGGTTCCTTCCTCCTCAGATGTATCATCAGTAAAAGTTACTTCCATCCCAAGTTCTTCTTTAATCAAGTCCATCCACGTAACGCTGAACGGTTGGTTTGCAACCGTCGGATGACGGTCGATGACATCGTCAATGTATTCTTTCCAACTGCGCCCCTCGTCTTCGGGCCGTGGAAGGGCACCATATTTGTATTGGTTCGTATGGAATAGAGGCTTGGGCCACCCTATGGACAATGGTAAAATAAGTATGTAAATCGCTAGAATGATACGTGCAAGAGGACAGAGGCCACTCACACCACGGCCGTTTAATGTCTATCATGTACTCCGATATATCATGGTCTTTCAGCTTTTCCTTATGTACAGACCTTATATGCCTTAGAAGTGGATCGTCCCTCACAAAGACGCCTTTCTTGCTCCTACGAAGCGGGTTGATCCTATTGCTACTCGTCATTGCCGAGGTCTTTCGTTCGGTCATGCAAAGCTTGCACTTAAATCCGGTGAAGAGTTTGCCATCCTCCGTCGGGAGATGCGTCAAGATGTGACGGTCGTGAGCTTGCTTATCCGCAAACGAGTTGTCACATGTCCCGCCGACGAGTAAGTGCCAGTTGCACGCGAATGCGCCCTTGCGCCCTCTAGGTCGTGATGAAGGCGATTCATGTTCATGAAACGAGTCGTCGCCCGGCGAATGCCGCTTCTTCGAGGACGTCGCGCTAAAATTGGTCGATGGTGATTCGGTCAGGTCCGGGGTCGAGTTTACGGACGGCCTGGACATGTCCGATCCAGGACTGCTCGATGCGTGGACATTCCCTCCGTTTGGACAAAGAATTCCTTTGTCGTTTACCGTATTCGTCGACGGAAGCATCAGACACGCAGGGTTAATGGTACTGTGCATCGAGCTGGATCCGGACGACGCGTTTTCCGACGCGTGAGATGAACGCGCCTCAGTCGAGTCTGACGGGTAAAAGTTATTCGAGTCCCTCGCGTTGGCATTGTTAACCAATGACGCGTTCCAGGTTGACTGGCAGGAAGTCTCCAACGCGTGTTCGTCGCCCGCATTCACGCGAGACGGACCGTCTGAAGAGCGAGAGTTCCAAATGGTAAGGGATGTAGTGTCCTCAGTGACGAGACTTTCACTCTGCCAATTGGTTCGCGGTAGCAGAGCACTAGCGTCCGTTACCGGTGGATAGTGGTCCTGCCAGGGATTTTCGAAATTCGCCCAAGCACTGCCGTCGGTTTCCACAAAGGAAGACTACAAAACACCCGCGTTTAGGTAACTTCATCAAGTAGAATGTATGATCTTAGATACTCACGTAGTCGTAGCTGAGAAAGGACGCATCCATACCGCAAGAAAGACTTGGAGTTGATAAATTTAAAGGGAGAAAGCGGTGGGGGGGGAGGGGGGAGGAGGGGGAGGTTGAGTCTGAGAGGTTGAGTTTGACTCTGGCGAGGGAATCCTTTAAAGACGTCACCCAAATGTCACAGACCAAACAAACTTTCCAAGGCCACAACACGTTTCTTTCTGGGGTCTCTCCATCGTACAGAAAGCAACAATGGGAACTGATGTGCGCATATGTCGTATTATATTGAACACAAAGGGAGAACCCTACGTCCTACCTAGACTTGTACGTCTAAACAGCCTCGCGGGTGCGGATCAAGTTGCGGGACCTTAACTGATTCCGAAATTAAATAAGGCCGGACTTGAAGAATGTTCGTTTCGACGGGGAATACAAGACGAGTCAAATTGCACGTACCGATTGCAGTGCTTGGAGTAAAGGGGTAAAGTTCTTCTGAGATTCTGTCAGGATCTTGAGAAACTTTCCTGGAGCCTCGGAAAGCACGACTTCCACTGAGATTGATAGGAGTCGGGCATAGGGTAGCGCGTTATAAAGTTGTAATAGCCTAAGCGTTCCAGGCACCTGGGGCCCAAGTACAGCTTGAATCAGCTCGGCAATCTGGCAGAAAGACCAAAGCCACGTACTTCTAATAGCCAAACAGAGCAGTTGAAATGCACCAAGATCAGTTCGGGATCTCGGTATCGGATAAGAGAGCACCACCTGCCCGTGGCTCGCTTAGCTTTCGACAACAATGAACGGCCTCCGCTCTCCAGAGTCCTTCTCCCATTATTTCTCTCGTCGCACACTGTCTGAGCTGGACTACGAGCCCAGAAGTACGGCTATCGGGCGGCGAATTCCGTTGGCAACGAGGACCACGTTCCACAAATCCAGAAATGGGGGACATTCCGAGGATTTGGTAACAACGGTGCACATGAGTCGCTCGAGCAGCTGAACATCGAGATACACCGGGCTTCGGTCGCCTCGACAGGAAAATGGAATGTTAGGGATTCTAAGCACATACTTTTTTCATTGGCCGTTATATGCCGCCAGTTACCGTCGAAAATGGAAAGGGGGGGGGGGGGAAGGTGGCCGGGACAACAGTACGTGCTTTGAGGATTTCAGTAAGTCATACGAGTACGCGTAGTGCATACTCCCTATCCACGACCTCGTCATAGTACCCATGAAGGACTAAGATTCCGTACGCTGCAGCCCCGCAGTCATCGACAGATGCGCAGCTTTCCAGTTTCACAGCCCGAGTACCTCTTCCCGTAAGTGTTTCTATTTTTGGAATACTCGACGAAACGGCCTTCAAGACTTTTTTTCTACACCACGAACAGAGACTATACTACTCTCCCCCAAGTGCCTATGAGAACGAGATATCCCTCTCATGATAAGAGGGTGCTCTTGTGATTTCTCGAGATATCGAAGGTGCACAGTACGTACATTCCAAGTTCTCAGCTGACAGCTAGCGTGCATAGAAGCTTTCAAAGTACCGAGCTGATTCCCAAGAGCAGAATGCTAGTCTCAAGCATGTTTTTCGTCATGACTCCGTACGATGGAGTTGACTCAAGATGGTGCTGGCTCTAGTAGAAGATCCGTTGACTGACAGTGTACAAGAATGGATAGGAAAACATTTGACCGGGTTCTGCCGAACGGACGGAAAGGAAAGGGCGTCGATCGCTTTTCGTCACGGCACCGTTCGTCTCCACTGTTTCTTGTTCAGCGACCACGGCATCTCCGCCTTCTCTGCAATGGGTCAAACAACGTCCTCCCAGCCGACTCTCTCTGCTCAACAGGCTGCGCCGCCTGCAGGTTGTCCAATGCACGCCAACTCCAGCACTGGTGCTTCCGAACCTGCCAAATGTCCCGTAGCACCCTCCGCTTCCTCCACCCCAAATTCTCTCGATGCTCAAAACCCAGCAAAATGTCCAATGGGACATAACGGCTCATCCACAGATATCAATCCATTAAACCAAATGCCAGTACTTGCTCAAACCGCCGCTCCAGGCCAAAACCTCTCGCTCCCGACTGACCGGACGTCGTCTTCGATCCCTCGTTCCGGCGAAGAAGGCGGTGGCGTATGGGAGTATCCTTCTCCTCAGCAGTTTCATAATGCGTTGCTGAGGAAAGGAATGGAGACCGCCGAGGAAGACGTGGACATGATGGTGCAGATACATAACTTCCTCAATGAGCGTGCTTGGGACGAGGTGCTCAGATGGGAGCGAAGACAAGACGAGTACGTAGATCAACGTTGACTTTACACTTTATGAGGTTCTTAGAAGTCAACGACTAGGTCTGCCACAGTTGAACTCGCCCGTTTCAAAGGCCGACCAGGCGAGCTCTCGCCCAAAGCCCGCTTCTGGCTCTTTGCAGGCTGGCTTCTTCCAACTCGATTTAAGTACGTCGAAATTGCCTTTCTTTTCATCCCTGATTGTTGGCGTTCTCATTTCACTTTACTTTTATTTCTCTACTTTTATCAGCTCTGAACCGCCCTTCGACCGACATGACTGGATAGTCAAACGCCGCTCAACAGGCGAAGAAGTACGCTACGTCATCGACTACTACAGCGCGCCTCCCGAACCCGACGGCTCTCCTTGTTTCTCGCTCGACGTCCGACCCGCACTTGACAGCGTCAGCAGCGCGCGAGACCGTATAGCAGTTGCCACCGAGGAAGCATGGACAACTTGGAAAGCCAAGCAAAATGAGCGCGAATCTTCATAAATTTCCTCTTCGCTGGACGTAAGTATCTTAATACCTTTGGTAGATATGACTACAGTTGTTTCGTTTCGTTTCGTTTCTTATATTAGACTATGTTAATATGCTCATAATCCCTAACCCCCATTGTATTTATTATATTAACGCATGAGATCAAAAGATGGATATATGCACAGCAATGTAATATCTGTCTATGCCGCTATCTAAGCCTTCGGATCATACTTGTCGAACTAATTTCACGATTGAGTGATAAATAGAGGAAGGCAGATGAGAACTTTTGCACCTTTCATTGGAAAATCTAAAGGCCTTTTGTTTTGCTGACTGCAGAATGACTATTCTGTTTGAGAGGGCCTTCCGTTTCAAAGCATACATGTATAAGGTAGATAAGAAACGTTCTAGAGCATCTGCAGATATGAGCAGTATAGAGGGAAATCCCGAGTAAAAAAGAACTCAATATAGTATCTACTATCTTGATAGCAGGTCTTGCCTGCAGGATTTGAAAATTCGATTATTTCAGTTTGCGTTGGTTGGTTCTTTCACAGTCAATGGTGAGTCTATGCAATGAACGGATACAGCGACGCTATGGACTCCTTTACCAAAAAAAAAACGCACTAACATGTCTCGTAAGCAAGATCAGTTGAATATTAATAAACTCCGCTATTCAGAACACGAGCCAATTATTGTAACGGCATCCGGAAAACTCTCCAACACCGTTCTCAACTCATGTTATCATAAGTGATTACCGTCGTACATTCTCATTGTCAATGTTAAGCTGAAGAAAATCCTCGTCGTCTTCTATATCTCTAGTTAATACAAAGTTCAGCCCCTCCACGTCGTATCTTCATAATGGATCCGGTCCATCTATATTACCGCATTATTATCCGCCCCGTCCTCTAGTTGGCCCTCTTCTCACAAACCTAACTCTGAAGGGTCCGCGCGGTGCGCGTGGTCTCGGTATCCTGCTAACCCATCGCATGAATGGCATCTGACCTGGACCGTGTTCAGCCTCCTATATTCAAAATTGAGTACGTTCAATATAACTATACATTCCGAGAATCTTGAAGAAATCTGGCCTCGGGATCAAGATCAATCACCAGTGCACCAGAGTGTCAACCCGCAGCGAAACGAAACCGGTCCCTGCGCTTCTTCCCCAAGTCATGCTCGAAACGCACCTCTGTCGGTACTGGGACGTCTGGAATATGTACGTAGTATCCCTGCCTTGCTCAACGTATTAGTTGTTTTGTTGCGTACCCGCCTGGAGCACCCGCAGGTAGTTCTTCCGGCTGTCCAAGCCCAAGTGCACCCATTTGGAACGCACCCCATGAGTATGACTTCCCATCTGCAGAGAGCGCCACACCGTAATAATCGCCCAGACCGACTGAAATGATCGCCTTGTATTGCAGTTCAGGTATGACGTGCGCCGCTGTGCCCGTGTCGCGTTGTAGGACAATAGAGCTATCCTCGTTTGTGTACGCAACAAAGTGGTTGAAGTGCGCTGTAATGTACGAACAATGAATAGTCAGCTCGATGGTAAACTTGTGTGAGAAACAAGGCAAGAACATACGTGGGTGATTTGTACATCTACCGGTGGAGCCAGAGCGTCGGGTTTCCCATCTTCCCTTCGCTCCCCGCCAGGAAACGCGGGGTGCGCGCGAATCTTCTCTGTTTCACTAAAGTTTGGAAGCTGTAAACAAAGCGCGATTGAGACCAGCCCGAAGATCATCCACTGTAACAAACGACTTCCTTACATATTCCCATTGTGCTTGGTGGACAAACGTCTCATTGCTCAGGCCACCGAACTTCAGGACGTGTCCTTTGTTTGTCAGAGCTATCAAAAACCCGTCCATCCCCGCAATCTTGACAACCTTCGTATCTTCTTCCTCCGTTTCTATCACTCGGCCCGTGTGCGATAATTCAGGAAGGCGGGGGATAGCTAGAAGTTTCTGTGGGTTATAGTGCAAGTCCCACGTCACGCAGGGAATTGTACCTTCTACTGTTGCTTATGCACGCTTCTCCCCCTCTGAGTCCATTTGACCCATTGTCACACCCAACTGTTGTTGAATAGATTCACCGAGTGGCCACCAAATATAGACATCTCCAAAGGCAGCCAAAGCAGCTCTGTACCCCACCCACATTCTGCTTGTATTGGTGTTGAATCCGGGGAGGTACAATCTAGTGCCGGAGTGAGAAGTCGAAAGGGCCTTCCCCAAGAGGTGAACGCCCATATTTGGTTCTTCGCATCTATAGCCATGGAGTGCCTGCGTCCACAGCTAGACGTCACATTAAACAATGTCCTATGGCGTATGATGGCTGAAAGTATACTGACCTCCATGTTCGAACTGGTTCAAGTAGTTCAGGGCGCGATGGCGTCTCTGCAACTTACCCAGGTCGAGAAAATCCATCACTCTGTCGGCCGAACCCTTCTCCATCCATCGTGCCTTACAGACAAGAAAACTAAATAACTTACTCCATTAACTATTGAACGTGAACATACCCCAGACATAACCTCTCCCCCAAGAATCCAGAGCGTGGAATGACCTAGATATATGCTATCAACTATAGCTGGCTGAAACGGAAGAATACTCGTACCATCCTCCCGCTATTGGGTCGACTATAGCGGAGTTCTTCGGGAATTCCAGTTGCTCAGGACGTGGCACACCACTTCGACTATGCCTTGTGAAGGACCCTACTGGTCCTAATCTGCCATTCCCACTACATCTAATTCCAAAGCCAAAATGAGCAAAAACCAAATCAGAAATAAGCATTCTCGAACCCCAAACGAAAACCTTGGAATTGCTAAGGCCTTTGCAGATAAATTTCCAAGCTTTCGTCCTCCTTGCCCGCGAACCCTGAAAGTTGAAATCTTCTTTGCATTTTCTCTTCTCGTCGTTGCACAGATTGGCGCAACAGGGATTCGTAGCACTTGATGCAAGTACATCGAGTACTGGCAAGTTTGGTAGAACGTGGTCAATCAACAGCTCATGCGGTTAGGTTTACAAGTGAAGCCATCGTTTAAAGCAGGTATATGAACTCGTTGTGTTCCTTATCAAGTAGTAGTAAATGACTACGGCGTAGACTGGTTGGAAGACGTGGTGGTTGCCAAATCAGATTCACGGTCCAAGACACAGTGATTACGTAACTTTTTTTAACTGAAATGTTGTGGAAACCCAGACTCTGTTAAGTGTTATTATATCTTCTACCAGCTGCTCTTTTTGCCTTCGCCAAAACCTAGCAGGCAAGCTGCCCGAGCTGCCATTTAATATTAGCTTTAGATGTAATCATTCAAAAAAATCTCATACTGCTTAAAGTACATAAATAAATGAATATATTGTCCTACTAATAAATATAATAAATGAGTCAATTGACTCTTTAACGATTGTGGTCATTCCGCTTTACTGAAATTTAACATGCTAGAAGTCTACAAGGCCGTGTAATGATTCAGGATGTTCGGGGCAACTACTCGGACGAAGGCTTAGAGCAGGAGGGTCCAGTTCAATGACTTCTTCAAGGATGTCAGTCAGTGATCAACTCAGTCTATATACTTTCTCCAAGTAGAGTAGTGTACTGATTAATCATTAAACTTTGGACATGTGGCACAGTTGCAAGGTGTGTGGGTTATCTTGAATATACAGCTTTTTTACAGTAGAAACGAGAGAAGATATCACCGGGGTCATGTACCGATGGTACCATTTTGACGGTCGAGACGTGACGTGCATGATCCCATCTCTTTTACATCACCCCCCGGCGACATTGCTCGCTTATTCCCGCCTGGTATTAATAGCCACAGAGCGAAAGATACGCCGTAAAGGATGACAAGGCTGGGGAAACCGAATCAGTAATGTAAATCTAACGCAGTCAACAATGGACATACAGGGGCTGCAAGCTCCCGATCCCGAACCTCTGAGCAAGTGCACCTGTGATGAATGGGAAAAGCGCGGAACCTACGTGGCTCCAGTTTATTCCGCGCATCTCGCACGACAATACTTCATCAGGCTTACCTGCATAGCCAAAAGATGCAACCCAGCCGATTGACCCGTTGAGCAGCCACTGTGGTACCAAACGACCCGTCTCATTCATCATGATAGGGTACATTGGACCAAGGAAAAATCCGACAAAAGAAATCGCCACTGCATCAGCGACTAGGTCCCGCACAAGCCATACGACTAACTCAAGGCTGGCAAACATCGCCAATCGTTCAATTCAAGGCTGTGCTTGGAGGAGACTAAAGCTCACCCTAGAGAAAGCAGGATGTACGCGTAAACGACTAAGTGCTCCCCAACCTAATTTAATCGTCATATGAGTAACCAAATGAAAAGGACTACGGAGAACCCAAACCTTTTCATTCACCCATAATAGGCAGACTCGTCCAAGCGTAAGACCTTCAGCAACGGCATGACCCAAGCCCTTCTGACACCAGAATACGACAGACATACCTCCAAAGAAGCCAGTCGAGACATAACCAGACGACGGACCTCCACCACGATCCTTCTGCATATAGGAAACAGTCCACCCTAAAGATTTAGTAAGGATTACAGGACGTCTTGAAGCTCAGGAAGGCGACAGACATCCGATAGTGAATTCAATGCCGACATAAACCAAACTGAAGAAGGCCAGGACATGGACTACCTTAAGTCTCAGGAACTGCTTGTATTTGCTTTCCTTGCTGGTCGCCTGTTTCATCGGAGCTTCTCCACATTCGCACAAACATTCTGGACGTATTATGACTGGTAAACCAACGAGTATTGTTGATCAAAGAAAGGCAGCGTACCGTCTTGGGTCTTCCCTTTGAACACAAAGACAAGAAGAAGTGTATTTACCATCGCAATTCCAAGCGAAATGATATAGTGAAAGGACCAGTGCCTCGGCATTTTCGCGAATTGCGTGGCAGCTAGCGGGGAACAGACAGCCCCCAAACCTTATTGGGTGGGAGAATTTCGTCAGAAATAGTACCGGCAAACTTCGTCGAATTGTTATCGAATATCCGAACATACCGAATCCTGCATGCATGAAGCCCATCTTCTTGGACGAGTTTTCCGACAGGCTCGCAACGTAACTGTTACTTTGGGCAACCTAGAACATTTATTAGTTGCTCAGATTGATAGAATAGTAAAGTAGATAATCACCTGGATAGATATACTCCAGCCGATAAACAGGAACGCAGTACAGAAGACAGGGAACGGCGGTGCTGGGATCATTAGTATGTAAGCAATGATCTGTCCGAGAGAGCCTAATTCGTTATTAGTCTTTGATAAATATAATAATCAGCAATGCGAACCTAGGACAAGAACCTATTGCGCAGAGTCAATAAAAAGTAAGGAAGAGAAATACTGGACGTACTTTTCCGAATCCGATTTTCTCGGATAAATATACATTTGCGGTCGCACCAATGAAGAAGCCCTGACAAGTCAATTTCAGTATGTTGGCCAATACGTCACGAAGAAAATAAAAAAAACGAACGACACAGATCACGATGAAAATGATGGAGACGACGGTATAGTTGACCTAAGGAAAAACGACATTAGTGAATGAAATTAACTGATTGGTTCCCTCGGCGACCGACAAACATTGTAAAATATTTGCAATCTGGGAATCAAAGGTCCAGCAGTCGAGGTTTCCCAGCCTACTTGCATTTGTGCAAAGAAAAGAGCGAAGAACTGCAGCCTTGCAGTGCGCATCATTGCCGGCGTCTTCGGTGAAACGAGTTGACGATCTGTCATCCCATTCTCGTTCAGTGCATGATCTTCGGATTCAGAGGCGTCCACCTCTGCTGGACCGTAGCCAGTCTCCACATTACTGAGCTTACTTTCCTTATAAGTGGGCAAAGAAGGACCGGAAGGCATTGTTATTGCAGCATCAGGCTTTGTGATAGCTTCATCCACAGTAGACGTGCCAGATCCAAGCGGAGACATTTTGGACATGAGCCTGTACAGGAAAACAGAATCACCTGAAGCACAGCGAGCCCTGCTACATCAAGTTTGTCCTGTGGATGAAGAGGAGACCTTCTGAAAAACGAAGCCTTATTCGTGCTGAGCGACACGACAGTATTTTGTTCGTGGCACGAATCTCCTTTCAGATAATTCCGCGATAGGGCAATTGGTAAAGCGCATTTCATTCGCCACGTAGAGGCACTGATCTTTTTACATAGTCCAACAAATTCCATCCAATTCCCAGTTCCGAGCCACGCGTGTTTGCCATGAGAAGAAACCAACTGGTCGTTCTAGGAACGGCCTTCGGCCTTCAGAGTCGAGCACAATCTCTCTTCTCTGTTAAAATACTAATAAACCAAATGTCAACGATAGACTTCATTAACGGTGTGTACAACCAAACATGATCTTACTTATTTAAGGTTTCCGGAAGAGCAATCTAGGACTAATGGACCTGCACACCTTTGAGCGCGTGGCGGTGACAGAGACTCATTAGCTTGGTTTGCACGACGCAATGGGAAATATCTAAGACATATGGAAAGGAGCCGATGGGTGAATGCAATGCCATTTGATAGGGATCAAGTGACTTGAATTCAGTGGTGTCCTGTGTTGTCTGGAAGATAGCAGTGCCATACAGTGGAAGTGAGCAAAAAGCCTTTGAGAAGAAAGGAAATTAAATATCTGTAAGCAAACTAACTGAGACGATAACAAACCGGGATATTACAAATAATATACCTTACAATATTTAATATATTGTTGATTTTTCTCAGTACTTTCCCTTTCCTCCATCTCCTCTGAACAAACTCAACCGCAACGAGGATGAGACGCTGTTTACGAACGGATGGATTACTAATAGCAGGAAATTTAAAAGTCATTCGAGGTGAACAAAATACCCGCGTCTCGATGAAAGGTTGGACTGTGGATATAATAATATATCCGATATCGTAATCCGCATCGCGATCTAATTCATCATTTTATATTAGAACAAAAGTGTAATTTGGTATCAACAGTATCTATCGAGTTATTTATATGATCTCGAGGACGTAGAATAGATTGTTGGAATTTTCTCCGACCATCAAAATCTGATACAGGTTGCTGCAAAGGAGAGATGTGAAGATGAATGTCGTCGTGTTTCTATCCTGAGGTATCAGCACTGGCCATCACGTCATCTGTGTCTTTTACCCATGAGCTCGCCAACTATAAGATCCATGTCTTAGCAACTTACTCATGCTAGCCCGCACATTCACATCAACCATAAGAACATCCACCGTGTTCTCGTCGTTACCATTCTTTCTTATAAACCGAGGTTTAGGTCAAGCCCAAGTCAGGAATATGTCGAACGACGCGAGTGCTAGTCCTACTGCTACACCCTCTAACAGTAATAACAAGTCGGACTCGGAATGGCGTGCCATCTTGTCACCTGAGCAGGTCGGTCGTAACCTTTCAAGAACGGTTAAATTGTACTGATGTTCTATCTACACAGTTCAGAGTACTTCGAGAGAAAGATACTGAAGCACCGGGCAAGGGCAGGTTCGACAAGCACTATGAAAGTGGAGTGTATACATGCGGAGCATGCGATGCACCATTATACGTTAGCAAGACAAAGTTTAACAGCGGTTGTGGTTGGCCTGCATTCTTTGATGGTTGGTCCTATTTTCAAGGATGCTCTAACTCATCCCTGCAGAGCAAAGCTGATAAAGATCAATGACAAATAGCAATCCCTGGAGCGGTAAACAGACATGAAGACAAATCGCTCTTCATGACGCGAACAGAAATTACTTGTGCTGCTTGCGGTAGTCACCTTGGGCATGTATTCAAGGGCGAAGGATTTAATACGCCTAGTATGTACCCTGGCTGTATGCACTATATCGAACTTGCCTGACACGTCAAACTTTCTGTAGCTGATGAACGTCACTGCGTTAATTCAATCTCTTTAACTTTCAAAGGGGAGGATGGAAAGGTTGAACAAGGCTGACTGTAGCTAAACCCATCCAAAAAATTTGAAGTTGCTATGTCTTACTTTTGAACAGCAAACGAAAGGAACATAAATCTTGAAAGACTCTTGTACATTGATATTGTATTATTAAATGGCGTCAATCTCGCAAGCCAGCAGGGTTCTTCAAATCGGAATCCGCGTGAAGAAGCAAAGGAACGGAAATGTAGAGTAGAGTAGAGTAACGAAGAAAGCAAGTGGATTGGTGGGTCTGAGGCCGGGGATAGATGAGGCACGAAAACTTGTTTAGAGATTGTCCAACGAGTGAGCGAGTTCGTCGAGTTCGGCTTGTGCCTTCTTGAACTTCTCTTGCGAGGCCTAAACAGTAATCAGATGAGAAAAGATAACATATACAACATATGTGAAAGCAATCGGAAACGCACCTCGTATTTCTGCTCCCATTCTAATATCTCCCGTTGCAGGTTCTGAGTCTGGCGCTCGAAGTGATCTGCTTTGATATCTACTTGTCGCAGCCTGAAAGTTTGAGGCAGCGAGACATGTTAGGACCCCTAATCACACCCGCAGTCGCCAGCACGGCGACAATAAGGCTACCAAACAACGTACTTTTCCATCGTTTCCTTGGCATTCCGTTCTGCAGCATCAAGCTCATCCTCGAGGAGTTGGATCTTTCTCTGCAATCCTTCATTGGTAGTTTTGCTTAGCTCGCCCTCCTCCTTCGCCGACTTAGCCTCGGCGAGTTTGGCTTCAGTAGCCTCAAGCTGACCATCGAGCACACCTAGCTTGTGTTGCAGCGACGTGATCTCTTGGTCCTTCTCAAGTAGCAGCTGCTCGTACTTCTTGATCTTGGCCTCTGCGGCATCAGCACGTTCGTTCGCAGCATCCGCTTCTTGACGCAGTGTTTGGAGACGCTATGCAACGCGGAGACATCCAGAATCAGACTACATTGTTCGAGGTACTGAAACATTTCAAGCGTGAATACTCACCTCTTTAATTCTGTCAGTCATGGTGCGTCGATGTCGTATACGACAAGTAAGATGAGATGCAGGACTACGTGCAGTGCAGAAACAAGATGGAAACGAGTTGGTAAAGGGCGCGTCGGCCGCTGACGCCTTCCTAATTTGGGAAGTACTCTCGGGACACTCTCGGCAATTGCCGTATAGCCCGAGGTGCCACTGCCGAGCAGATTTGAGTCCTCCATTTCTTTCTTCCACTGACGGCCATTGTGGGCAGCCTCCCGTGCTAGCTGTCCTGCAACTCTCGGCTATTTCACAGACACACTTTGCGCTCCAGAAACGACTAGGATCTCGTTCTATGCACCCCACCCCAAAGAAGTCACAATATTGGCGCAAATTTGTAAGAATACGTCTGGACATCAATGGAGCCTGTCCCTCAAGAAGGTTAGCCCGCTTGCTTTCTCTGTCCAATCCTTGCTAGGTATTCACCGGATCGGCAGAGCTACCAATCCTTGAATCACTCATAAAGTTAGTCTTATCTGCTTATATCCCTGGGGCGTCCCACAGAATGCAACAGAACGGCCAGTATCTGGGCTCGTATTCTAGTTACGCTCGACCTGTATAACACTCACTTTGCATACTCAACAAACTATCTCACAGCATTCGGAATCGCCTAGCTGTCCTGAAGAAGGACAGAGGTGATTTTATCAAGACCTCTGACGTCCTCAATCTGTACCACCAAACTGTCAAACAAGGTGTGTAGCACACAGTCTAAGTGTCTCGCATATACTCAGATGTTAACCACGCACTTAGTCACGAAACTAAATGACGTCCGTGATGAGCAGCCAGCACACAAGAATCGCGTTGACTCGACGCTGTCTGATGTATTCAGTTTGCTATCTTTGTTCTTCCTCACTATAGGAAAGACGAGAGAATGTCCTGCTACTTACTGCCAGATATCTACCATTCGAGTGAGTCTTTATATTCGATCAATTAAAATAAAATAAAATTTACCGCTGGTATTGATAATGAATGTCAGCGGTTGCTTGATCACATGAACGAGTCCGCAGTGTACAACGAGATAGACCTTGTTCCATTCAACAAACGTTTAGAGGAACTACATGATATTGTCCGAAGCGACACGGAGAGTGGAAAGCATCCGGTGGCCATGACGAAGTTACTAGACAGGCAGCTTAAGGAATGCGGTAAGTCGTCTTCCACACATGCATATATTGCTTACTAACCTTGCTTATCAGACAGGATAGTAGCATCGATGAGAGATTCGTTATCAGACATTTCTGTCGAACTCGTTCCTATCCATGAAAAGCTCGTTACAATTCGAAGGCAGCTCGTTGCACTCGCGGCAAAGGACACCTTTTCAAAAGCAGAACTCAAGCCAATACAAGAGGAGCTCCGGAAGATTGATTCGTTGAGACGTTCTCTTCTCTATCCACTTTGTAGAGTACTGATAATTACTCTACCCCTGTCATACAATTTCGATATCTAGTAAACGCGTGGACGGCAAATTCCTCGGGCCTGGTGGTGCATCCGTACCAACTTCACAAGCGCTCTGTTCGTCATTGCTCGAGGAGTGTTTCGAAATCGCTCAGGAAATCAAAGCCCGTGAGGACACGAAGAACGTGCCATTCGGACTTAAACCTGTATACGACCGTCTCAGTGAAATGCGTGCGGAACTCGAGAACCTTGTGCTTACAAGGAGATGGAGTCTGCGCGAGACGGACTTGTATAACTACACTGTCAGTTTACAGGAGATCGACAAGATGCGTGTGGATGGAAAATTCGTAGACGCAGAGGGAAACCGGCCAGCTGGGCAATATGTGAGTTGGAACTGAGTATTTCACACTTACTAGAATCTAGCATGTGATAACGTATTATTTGTTTTGCAGATACTCCTGTATCTGCTTCGACGATGTTATGGCTTGATCTACCGACTTCTGTCTTCAAGTGAGCCAGTGTCAGAAGAACTGATGCCAATTGTGCGCTGACTTTTCTTAATTCGCTTGTGCCTTGCTGACTATGAACTCTTCTCAAGGCCAACAAATTGTCTACTGTAAAGAAGTGTCTGAACGAGGTGTTAAAGTATGGAGGTCCATTCAATCCTCGTGATCTTTATCCAGTAAGTTCTCCTCCGTGACTTCAAACGCAAAAGAACCTGGTTGACGGGTTTGTTATGTACAGTATCAACTTGCACTTTTCCAAATTGACTCATTACGAAAAGAAGGCAAGTTTGTGAGTGAAGACGGTGGTGTGCCTGAGGGACAAGGTGTCGTTATGGCGCATCTCAACGAGTGCCATGAGCTCGTCGAAGAGGTACGATCCCATTGCATCATGCGTCGTAAAGTCTAACGTTTAGTTGCACAGCTCAAGGAAGCAATGAACGATCCTGAAGACACGGACGACATGGATGATTTGGACGATGCAGGGGATGATGACGAGGATGGAGAGGAAGAGGATTAATGCGTGGATTGACCGCCTAGCCGTTTATTTCTTTGCAAATCCAACGTAGGGTGTTGGTGGAGGTCATTGTAAAGCTTCGCTATATCAACTCTGCTGTCCTTGGTTCGTCCCTCCAACATGCTGAATTTCCGCTGTTGTCCTTTACATTGTTGCTTCAGAAAGAGAATATGGCAGGATTCGAACTTCGTAAATGTAAACTATTTATTCCAATATACTGAAGGAATACACAAACGCATCACCCGCTGCTCTTCGAAACGAGTACTTGCGCCTATGTGCTGGAGTATTGTATTTAGCTCGAGTTTCAAGTAGACATTACCTCTGCTTACCTCGCTGGAGTTTCGCCCATGTAGCCTCGTTACTTAAGATGAAATGCCTTCACTGAATTCTAACGCGTTAGAATCATGACCCGTCCATATCCCGCGATTATTCCGGAGCAGTCCAAAGTGGTCTGCACTGAGTATACTGTCATACTTCTCATATGAGAAAGGTTAACCTGGTTGATTCAGCAATGACTGCTCACTTGCAAGGGACATACAGGGCTAACATTGGCGCAATAGGACTTTCTTGGGTTTAGTCTCGTCAATTAAATAAGGAACCTTGGCATCTGTAAAGGATTTGTGCGTTTGACTAGCTCTGCTATGGTCCCCTGAGCCCTCCCTTTCGAGACATTATTGGAACTGAAATGTGCTTATTAGAAAATGAATTTACTTTGCTCGACTCATATGAGGGCTACTGCACAGTGAATATACTCATCAAACCATTACACTAAAGGTCTCACCAAATTCTGAAGCTGTCAATGGAAGACATGGACAGTCCCATCCTTATTTCTTTTTAGTCTGTAGCTCGTAAACGAGTCTTGGATATCGACGATTCTGACTCTAGATAGGCACGTTTCCATAAAGGTGGGATTCGCTGTAACACGTAATCGTATTGCGGAGTTCTAAAAGGAGGTTTATGGCATTAAGTATGCCACACACACGATTTCCTCCTGGACCCAGAACCAGTCGCTGTATAGAGCTTTGTTATTAATAAGGCCTACTTTACTTCCTCAGTCGACTCGTGTTTGATGCAGCAGAGTCTGCAAGGCCGCCGGACCTACGTCTCCTGCTCTGATCTGTTCGACGCACGAGGTCTGCAACGTCATAGCCTGGATATAAAATGACAACCGACGATGAAGTTACCACAAGTCCTGGTACTGTGATAACATCTGGTGGTCTTCCCTCAACTCGTGACACGAGTAAGCTCAAGGATGGAGAAGCTGCTTATAGCCCAGCAGAGCCAGAGTCCTCCAGGTTCCAAGATAACGACGGGCTGAACGAGATGTCAGACTATGGGCTCGCTTTACCGAAGACGTCCGCAATGATCTGGACAGCAAGAATACAATTCCTCGCACTTTGCTTTACACAATTGCAGGCAGGCTGGGAAACTGGTACCGCTGGGCCTTTGATTCCTAGATTGCAAATATTTTACCATGTTTGTCGATCACTGAATCAATCACCCTTTTCAGAATCATCCGCTCATGCTACTTATGTATAGGTCAACTATGCCATTGTCTCCCTCATTTTCATCACGAATTGCGCCGTGTGTTCCGCTATTTTTAATATCACTTGTTACACAAAGGGTTGAAATAGACTTGCCAGGGTTTCCTCATAGGTGCGACAGCAAACGTGTACTTAACCGAGAGATTCGGCTTCGGAAAAGTACGATTAGCGCTCCTTTTACTTGCTCGATGCTGACGCAACACGACAGGTTCTTGTAATAGGTTGCTTGTGTGACTGCCGTATTTTATTGAAGGCTTATACTGGAACAGGCTCTTTTGGACAAATCATCGCTTATCTGCTTATGATCCCAGCGTTGCCATTCCCCGTGTTCTGTGTTGCGTTCCTCTTTATTGGCTGGAGTGTATCCCTTCAGGTGAATACCATGTATGCTATACTGACAATCCGAGCAATGACGAGTCGCCGTTCCAGGGTGCCCAAAGTAACAGTTACATTGCGGGACTGTCAGAAAATTCGTCCGCGAAGATGGGCATAATGCACGCAATATTTGGTATATTCAGTTGCTCATCTATAAGTTAAAGATATGCAGTGGCAGTCTGACTGAAAGTGTTTTTACAATCAGGCCTGGGGGCGGTCTGCTCACCGTTTGCTGCCACGCAATTCGCGAAAATGCCGAGGCACTGGTCGTTTCATTATATCATTTCCCTGGGAATTGCAATATTTGACACTCTCTTGCTTGTTCTCGTGTTCAAAGGGCAAACTCAAGACGGTACGCTCGCTTTTTTTATCAGTCAACAGTACTTTAATAATTGTCTGCCATGATGCGTTCAGACTGTCTGCGCGAAATCGGAGAAGCTCCAACCAAACAGGGGACTAGCACAGACAGCAAATACAAGCAGATTCTAACGCATAAAATCGTTCATCTACTTGCCTTCTTTAGTTTGGTTTACGTTGGTATCGAAATCGCCATTGGAGGTTTGTTGCCTTTTCTCAACGCCAGGGCAGAGTAAAAGTCAAGACTGCTTGCGGGTATTTTGTCTAGGATGGACTGTTTCTTATATGCAGAAGTACCGTGGTGGAGGGCCATCGGCTGGTTATATCTCGACTGGTTTCTATGGAGGTATGTCAATCACGTTCTGGTCTCACAAGGACTTGACTCATGCCGTCGGCGAAGGACTTACGCTTGGACGAGTCGGCCTCTTATGGGTGAATGAAAAGGTCGGTGTTACTGCGTAGTACCATCACATTGTTGGTTTCAAATATGATGACTGCCACAGGTCGGAGAACACTTAATCGTTTTCACATATATACTGCTTTGCCTAGCGTGCGCACATTTATCCAGAATTATCACTGAGATGAACTGTTGATACTTGGATCTCAGGCTGGAGTTAATCGTGTGGCTCGTGCCGAACCTGGTTGCAGGCGCGATAGCGATCTCCTTCGTTGGACTTTTCCTTGGCCCAATGTACCCTATCCTCATGAATGAGACTGGCCGCGTGATTCCGCAGTGGCTCCTTAGCGGGTCCATCGGCTGGATCGCATCTTTTGGCTTTGCAGGTAAGACCAGTGGAGTGTTGTCGTTCGAGATGTGTGTTCTAACTAGTGTAATATAGGTTCGGCACTTTTCCCGTTCGTCGCTGGTGCGCTCGCTGAGAGGTTCGGGATAGTGAGCTTGCAGCCTGTGTATGACCCTTCTGGATTCTTTGATTTTACGACACTGAATCACTTTCCTCAGCCTTATTGTTCTTTACGGCGTGTTGTTTGCGCTGTGGACATTAGTCCCAAACGGGAAGAAGTACACAACGCAAGGGGAGATGATATAAGGGGATGGAATTAAACATTGTCTCATCTCTATTCTGGACGTACAACGATTTACTTATGTAGTCTTGCCAGACTGGGACTGGGACGTACTCAGCGCCGATACATGAACTCGATGATCCCGAGCTTACTGCTGCAATTTTGTCCACTGGCTCAAGAAGGATCGGTGTCGACGCGAACTGAGGTAAATTGTCCTCAAGCGCGGTAAACCAGTACAACTGTCAAGTAAAGAGCCGAAAAAGAAACTGCAAAGTGATATATTTGTAATAATTTCGATCACAATCAATGCTTGTTTGTCACAATTGCTGATTCCTCTTCTTTCCTTGATTGCGTGGGTTCAAATCTGCTGTACGATTTAGGTGTTGAAACTCAGATTGCAATCCTAGATTGCTATCTATATTATTATATCAGATATAACTGATGCGCCGTGTGTCATGCCTTCAATGGTCGACACACCTCGTGCTCCTCAGTCAGCGAAACTCGATCCAACGGCTTCCAAACTGGCTAAAGAGGGCTACCTCTAAGCTTCAGCAATGTTGCATACCCTTGATCACCATGCTTGTGCTCATGCTTAATGTGTCAGGGAGTGGTGTTGCAACTAGGACTATGTGTGACAGAAGTCCACAAAACTGTACCGCCCATACATACCCTGCATATACATTTGCTGATGAGGTTAAAACGTGCTTCATTCCAGTGTCAGTTGTGCCAGAGCTCATCGACCTCGATAAACACCGTCGAAAGAGAATCAAAGGCAATTGCTGTTCAAGTCAAGAAAGGATTTGGATCCCAATGTCATATCGCAGAACACGAGTACACGCACAGCCTGCGTAAGCTAAGCTCTGAGCTCTCAAACTACCTAGATCTATTAGACAGATGCTAACATCTCACAGTAATATCATAGACCAGGGAGTTGATAAGATACACATACACCATATTGGAGGGAAAACTATCAAAGTCTGGTTAGCTGACATTGCTTTTTGAGTGTACAGTTGTCTCATGACAATAATGTGCCTTCCTGTCTTCAGAGAGTGTAGAGGGCCTTCAATAGTTGTTCCAATGTGGGTTCTCTGCTGCTTGTCTTTCTGAGTGTCATGAAGACCTTTGACCTTTTTGGTTGGCCAGTTTGGCAGAAGGCCTAGGAGATGATCTGTTCAAGAATCTCCTGACAAAAGTGTGGTCAGAAGACCAGCATTCATTTTATTAGTAATAACCAATATAGTCAAATGCAACCACAGCCATGATATGTTCACCCATGTGACATGCATCCAGGGTGAATTCTTTGCTGTTATAATTCACTGTGACAAAGCTCTGAATAATTTTAATAAGATATGAGTGTCCATTTCATGGATACAGGTGTCACTATCACAGACAGAGACCTCCCTCAGAAGAGAATTGATCAAGAAAGGACAGTCAGCCTTAGTATCTTTAATATTCCCTGTGCAGTGTTGGGAATCAGGATATAAGGGTCTTCTCAGCTCTCCAATCATAAAGAGTATTAAACCATCTTTGTATTGTAGCTATTAATTTACTGGATACTCAGAGTCTGAATTTGAACCTGATGATAACAAAGATGTCCCACTGTTAGTATTCTACATTCTGTTGTCTACCATTAAAATGTATTGTTTTGAATTGACACTCATTAATTGCCTTTGAACCTAGCTCCCCAAAGCAAATAGATTACTCTGAGTCTAGTCCAAGCAAGCCCAAGGGTGGCTCCAGAAGTTGGTTAGTACCTTCATCCTACTTTCTATCTTGGTGCATTAATGAGACATAATGATATGATTTAGTGCCATGGATGACAATGTGGGAAAGGATTTCTCAAACATGTGTCTTACATTGTACAAAAAGGTTGTCAGGCATGGAAGCAAGGTTGATAACAGAAAGCACAAGGAAGGTACTAGACTGTACAGACACTGGTCATTGTCTGATGACGAATGTCGGTTTGGATATTGGGTGTGTTGCAGAAGTGGAAGTTTGCACTAATCACTGCAGATAACAATAACTAATATTAATACTTATACTCTGAGAACTATAAATGTTAGGCTAACTACTAGTAATATTTCATAGTCCTGTAGAGCTCGATTAAATGTTGATCGAATACTGATGCTTCTGAATAATATACAATACTTACAGCTTTGCTCTTATTTATCTTTAGTTCTCTTACCATACTTTGGGGAGCACCTTGTATGGTGGGTTCCATTAGGTCAGACTTGCAATGAGTGCAAACTTATTAATTGCCCACGCTCTCTTTGCATTCGCTGAATAACGTTTAATTTGTAGTTCAGTCTGCCTCGGTTATGCTAGTGCCCCTCTAACTTGAACTTGCTTGACTATACAGAGTGAAAGGATTCAAATTCGGCTGCACGACACATGCCGGGAAACAGGGAATCGATGCCTTCCAGAACATATGGGAGGTATCTGCCAACGTATGTTACTCCCTGACGCCTTGGCTCGTTTCGCCCTCATAGCATTATGTATAGATGCTGACATCTTCCAGTATTGAAGTAGAGCAGCCAGTCGTTAAGAAACACGTGCACCGTAATTAAGGGGGAAACGGTTGTAGTCCGGTCAGTCACTCTTTCCTGAGTTTGTCTTTCAAGTTAACAATAGCCTGATGGCCACATTGTGTTCTCTTGGAATTTTAGTGAGCGTGCAGGGCCAAGTATAGTTATTCCAAGGCCTGAACCGATGTAGGTTGTCTGTCACTTAAATTTCTCAGTCACAGAGAGCCTCACACATTTGCTTGACTAGTTTCAGCAGTGCACGGGCATCTGAGGGTCCATATTATAATGAGAAGGCGTACAGATATTCTCAGGGACACCGTTCGTTAGACCCTCATTATGGTCATGCAAGGCAAGAATTACCTGATACCTCCTACATGCCGAGACACGACATCGATACTGATGCTCTGCTCATTAGAAATAGCCAATTCAGTCAGGCTCCGCCACCGCCAATATACGAACCACTTAACTATGATGATGACATGTGCGTGAATGCCCTTGCATACCTTACGTCCTAGAAAATATTGAACCGTATGCCCGTACCATCCTAATGGTGAATGTAGGTATCCTCTAGACGACTGCGACGAGCATTGCTCGTCATGTGACGACCTATCTGACGGGGACTACGTAAACGACAGGTGAACTATTGTCGATGTTCTCTGCATGTAGAGACCTGACGGGATAATCAACGTTTGATCAATTAGTGACTACAGCTTTGGTTGAAACTCACCTCTGGGAGGATGGAGAGAGTCAGGACACAAAGCATACAAGGAATCAGAGCGGGTCTCTTCTCTGCTTTGCTGTAAGACGGAGAGCACTAAACTGGCTTTCCGGAGCAGCGCTGCCTCTGTTATACATCCGGATCCTGAGTCCGAGTCCGACGATGGCCTAGTGAGTCCTCCACCGTGAGTAGTTCAGATTTCACCATCCAGTATCACAAAACGCGTCTGATAAACTGACATCCATCCTCCCCGTTTAAACCTAAGGGCCCAAAGCTGCTAGAATACCACCGCAAGTCCAAGCCAGACAAGTTCAAGGCCTCTAGCAGTCGGTGCGTTCCGATTATCTCACGTTCCAGCTTGGTGCACTAATCAGGATTTCTGACTATATCAATCAGTGCCATGGATGATGACGTGACAAGAGACCCCTCAAACATGGGACTTGTGAAATACAAACACGCAAGGAAAAGCAGGGAAAAGACACTGGTTCACACAGGCACCAGGATTCGTCTGATCACGGCCGTTCAGGCAGGCATCGTGGGCGCCGCAGATACAGGGATTAGTCATATAAAGAAGGACCTAGAGACGACGCAGGTTCTGCTCTGAGAATTATAAGTGTAACGCTTAACACTAGCAGTAGTTCTATTCTAATCTTGTAGAGGTAGATTAGTTAATACCGCATAATGGTTGAGCGACACAGCTGCTGGAGCAGAAATCCCATGCCTAGGATGCAAAGTCAGAGATGAGACGAGAGCACAGTAGCTTTGGTGCCGATCATGCGTCACTTTAAGGAGCGTCACGTGCTTCAGAATTTTACGAGACTCTCCAGTCCAGCAAACAGGAAAAAGGAAAATAACTCATGCTGCCCCGCCATCTCCGCAAAGCGTCCAGTAGCGCTCGCACTGTTGCAGCCTCTCGAAGGTACTCGCACAATGCTCTTGTGAGGTCTAGTGCTCGACCTGTACCGTTTCGCGTAAGCAGCGTCGCAGCCGCCAGCACGTCAAGTTCAGGTCCAAGTCAACCTTCGCACGTATATAGGACTGGTGCGGAATGTGCGTACGGAAGGCGGGGCTTTCATGCGAGTGCAAATCGGCGCGATGAACTTCCAAAATCACCGTTTCAGACGTTTGTGGATACGCTCCGTGAGGAACTCCAAAAGAACCGGGAGTTGCAGGCGAACGTGAAGCAACTCCAGGGTGATGTTGATAAGCTTCAAGACTCGGAGGCTATGAAGCGTGCAAGGGCCGCATATGAACGTGCTCGAGTGCGTAATTATCTACTTCTTGCTGACTTCTGTTGACTAGTGTTGAATGATCGTCTGACATGTCTTCTCGTTTTTTGTAGCTCACGTCGAGCATCAAAGAAAACCCGCGATTGCGTGCTGCTGCAGAGGAGCTTCGCAAACAGGGTGTAAAAGTGGGTGATGCCGTGAGCGAGGCGCTGAAAAGCATGGAAGAGTCTGATATCATGCGAGCGGTATGATAATTTATCTTTCTATTAATTTTCTAACTAATGTGAAATTATCACTTGAATATTTCCAGATCGGTCGAGCGTCCTCCGCAGTATCATCCAAAATTGCATCAACTACCGAGCCAATCCGTAATACCGAGGCGTATAAGGCACTCGCGGATACGGTAATGGACGCACTTGATGACAGTGGGTCAGCGAAACATGCCGGATATGAGGAAAAAGAAGCGCGACGACAGCGGCGTGCAGCTCGTCTAGCGAAGGCAGGCAAGAAGGGTGGCATCGCTGCTCGAAATCGTGTCACTGCATATCCCGAGTTGGTTTTATCATAATGTATTCACCATTAATTTGATTTACTGATCAACTGTAGAGCGGGCTCCGCAGTTGTATTGCACAAAGATTCCCCGCGACAAGAGCGCTGGAACCGTATGAAGGAGACCAACCCAGTCTTTCGACAATTCGTAGAGCTACGTCGGCAATACGATGAGTCGGAAAATCCAATCATTTCGTCAATGCGTTCTGTGACGTCGACAATTGGTTCGTGGTTTGATGAAACAGAGTATGCACAGGTGATACGTCAAATGCGATACATGGATCCGACATTCGATCGCGAGAGTTTCGAGCGTGAGCTAAGGGAATACATTGTCCCAGAAATTGTAGATGCATACCTCAGTGCTGATCGAGAATCTTTACAAAAGTGGTGTGGGGAAGCGGTTCGTACTGTATCTTTTGTCACTACATTACTCACTAGAGGTTAACTCTGGTTACAGACGTATAATTTGCTATGGGCGACCATGGAGCAATACATCCGACAAGGCCTCATAAGCGACAGCAAAGTGCTCGATATTCGACAAGTGGACATTGCAAGCGCGAGATTGCTTGAGAACGATGGAGCGGAGGTTCCTGTCTTTGTTGTATCGTTCGCGACACAAGAAGTGCTGCTTTTCCGGAATGCGAAGACGCGCGAGGTCGTGGTCGGCGCGGAAAACAAGGTCGAGCAATGCACGTATGCGGCTGTGTTGACGCGAGTGGAGGAAGAATTGTCCGATGAGTTGACGGGTGGATGGAAAGTTATTGAGGTGGGCCTTTCGTGTATCAACGGTACAGAGGAATTTGTTTACTGACGACTTGTACAGATGGCGCGTAGGTCTTCACGCGCATATTTGTAGGCCATCGTGTAAAATCATGGTCGACCATTTCGCACCTAGACTAGTCAAGCTATCTGCATTGCATATACATAGTTACACCACACATTAATGATATGAACTCTCCGCTCTCCACATTTTGGATTATTGTCTTCGTTGGACCGCTGAGGAGACGGCCGTTGTGGTTATGGTGTGATTCATTGTTTTCCTCGGCCATGGACACACCGGTGCTGTATATCACCGACGTCGGAGGTCGAGCCGTCGCGGATCTAGACTAAGCACTCCTGCTGTTAGTCAGACAGTCTGGTGGTCTCTACTAGACAACGATAGTTGGACATTGAAAGAGGCTCGAGGGTAAGGGTTCCGAATGTTGTGAACGCGGACAGCAGTACAGTTATTTTATATGTGCAACCCATACAAGAATTTTGCCATCTCAAGTCCGTGTCCAGGGCGGTAGGTGAAACAGCGGCTAAGGCTAGAATATTAATCTTGAGATTTTCATCGGCTGGCGGAGGCCTTCACGATGGCCAGTGCGGCACTTTGTTTCGAGGATCCGTCATAAGCCTCGTGGAAGCCGCATTGCAATGTCCTTCATGACGTACTCTGCGTATTTTTTTCTGACTATAAGAGCAGCTCTCGAGCGACCTGAATGCCTTTGATATTTTGACTTCCTCAAGACCGACACTTTTTTTTCGTTTGCAGGAGACGCCCGTAACGCCCTCACGTGACACTCGTTGAAGAGGTGGCTTCGATCAGATTTCGACGCGTCGCTTCGTGTCTTCAAACGTTTCACGCCCTCCACAAGATTATTCAAGATTTTTTATTGCGCCCAGTCCCTCAGCAGGCCGAATAAATTTCCCTATTGGACAAAGGCAAGCCGCTTCCCCCTGCTCTGAGTCATCGATTATCCTGGGCTCCCATCGCCCCCGTCGTCACCGCGGCAAATCTCTTCACGCAAGTCACATCCTCATCCAGCCACGGTCCACAGACACCCACAAATTACATATCCGTCGTCCAGGTGTATGGGCTTTCTTAAGCGCTTCTTTTCTCTCCGTCATAAGCAAAAGAGTGCTCGTTCCGACTGTCGTCAAGATTCGGCCGCAACACCTGAAACCAAGCAGCAAAGGAACGAGACGCTTGACATCAGCAGTGGCTCTCGCCACTTGGACGTTCATGCCGCTTTTCGCTCGGCGGACAAGCCTAGGAAGAAGAGCGAGGATCAAGATGCCGATGCCGCTGTGTCACGTTTATTGCGCTCGTCGTCTGCTCGCTATAATGTAGTGAAGCAAACTGACGTCGCCGATCTGCCCCCACTTCGTACGTACCCAACCTTTCTATCCTCAACACGTCGTTTTAAACCCTTAATATACTGTAGCCCACCCCATCAACACCGTATCATCACGCTCGACGTCCGCTCTTACCATTACGCCGTCCAATACGGTCAGCCTGAAAGCCAGGGGCTCGTATCGTGTCACGGTACATAAACGACAACAACTATCCACGACAGTCTTTCCGAATGCCTACCCACCACTTACGCCACGTCGCCCAGGCATTGCGCATACCAGCACACCTAATCTTCTTGCAACATGCTCCGTCTCTGACAATCCCACCGCAGTCGCTGCATCAACCTCAACCTCCGCCCTTGTCGACCCACGAAAAATTTCGTTCACACCACGCGATGCCAATAGGCTGAGTTGCCTGCGACAGGATCCTTCTGTAGTCAGTTTAGTAAACATGTATGATGACCATGGTCAGCTAGCGGAGAACGCTTTTGCTAATACACCAGCGGTGCCTCGGAGGAAGATTAAATTGAGGAAAAGCCGCAGGAAAAGCACGTTCACTGAGCTGCTCGGATGCGAAGGATCCGCTGAAGCGGATCTCTTGTGGGCAGAGTCGTGTATCGCGTGAGTTTGGCTTCGTCCAATTTGTTTTGGATAGGCTTTCATTACTAACCTTGTTCTTGTGTTCCTTTTAGCCAACTAGGTGCTATAGCTAGTAACAACAGCGCGAGTAATGCCAGTTCGACTAGTCTTTCATCGGCTTCATTACCAGCTCTCGACTCACCCGCGACGTCAACGTTCCATGACGCCGAGCTCGATAGTGCTCTTCGTACTCCTCAGCGACCGGCCGCGAGAGATCCGAGTGGATCTGACACTGCAGACAGAGGGAAAGGAGACGGATTCTCATCTCTAGTTGTTGAGCTCAGTACTGCAACCAGCCCAGGGTCCACAGCTACTGGTGATCAGTCTGCTCTGTATCTTGGCCCTCACAAGCATCTGCAGCAAGATAAGGGGAAAGGAAAAGAGACATTACAATGGCCATCGTCGGATGAAAATAAGGGAGAGAAACGACAGAGGACCTTGACGAATGGAAGTGACTCGTTGGACAGCCAAGGAGAACGTACGTTGGGAAGTAGAGTCGGCCGACGGCCGTCGCACCGTGCGTCGCAAGTATTCAAGTTCATTGACGAGAGGCGTGAGCGATGCAAGTCACAGGAGCTTTTACAAGGTTCTGATCTGACAGCATCGGGTTTGGTTGACGAGTTTGCTCGCTCAGATGCTGGTAAACTGTCGTCTGCTGCTACTTCTTTAGCTAGCAAGACGAATAGTATATCGCGAGCGAGATCATCTGCACTCGTGAACCTGACTGGCAGCGTGAAGAGCAATTTCGGAGCTCGCTTATCGTATCAACCAAAGACAGCACGCACTTCATTGGATGCTGAGCCGGCGCCTGCACCACCCTCGGCTATAACACACCGTCCACTTTGTCCTATTCCACGCCAGCATTCACGCAGTACGAGTAACTGCAGTCAAACAAGGGGCGTAGAGCCACTTCTACCAGTGACTTCTACCTCCGTTGCTTCTAAAGCGTCGCATGCGTCTGGCTTGTCGGGACTAAAGTCTGCGAAGGGGAGTACAATGGCATTAGGTCATTCATACGATGGGCGCGAGAGACAGAAAGGAGGGCGGAAAGCAGAGACAATGCGTGTACGAGATGTACGGGTAGATGTGGATGTGCTCCCACAGACGTCAACACCGCATCCTTCTAGGATTGCAAGAGCTAAAAAGGCCTTGAAAGTTAGTTTCGAACCTCGTGGCCGTAGTAATGGAAGAGCCACGCTCGGTGAAATGACTGGTCGATCCAATCGCGACTCCTTTGAGATGCAACACGATGCGTTCGTGGCTAGTTTGGAAATTCAATCTCAACAACTATCAGTGCCTAGACGTGAGAAGGAGAACACTATTCGCAGTGGGACTACTTCGAGGCGAAGAGGTCCGCCGTTGGACCTCGGTTTAGCGCGTATGACTTTCATCGATTTCTCTGCCTTTATCATTCTGACTCGTTTGCATAGGCGCTGCATCGACAACGCTCTCCCGAGCTTTTACTTCGAAGTATGCACGTGCACAACGCGATGACCCACGAACCCCTACCCGTAGCCAGTCCCTTCGCGCAGCTGATTATCTGTCAGCTGGATCTTCCTCTGAGCTGTCACCTGCTACGACACAGCTGATGGCGGATTTGCGAGCGCGAAGGACGATTGCACGAACGCGTGCGGACGTCGCATAGAGGACCTCTTTCTCACTTCTCTAGACGCTTCTCTAGACTCTTCTCTTGTATGCTAGTCGGAAGGGCACTTTTCACCCCATTTCCTTTGTCTGTTGTTCCCGAGGATCCCGGAAAGATCTAGAGGACAACAGCTTCATGGACATACGAGCGCGCTTTGCATGACTTGAAGACCGTACTGTTTATGTACATACATTAGTGTACTGCTTGTGTTTCCGTCAATGCTTTGTGCTCTCCGACTTGCTCTCCTACTGGTTTCGTCTATCTTCTGTCTCTGTTCCCAAATTCCTCTTTCTTTGCTTTCGCTGAGCTTTCGAGCTTCACCGAGCCAAGGTTTTTGTTCATATACAGTTCGTTTTCTCTGCATCGTTCCTCCCTTCTCAACAATTTGCTTATTTATTGCCTTCTCATACAGCGCATTAAAATGATCCTTTCTTCACAGATCCTAGTTCCCCTTCTCATTCCGTTCATTTTGTATTCCCGGTCTGGTTTCACTCGGTAATTTCCTTGACAGCAGCTCTAGTCCCTTGTTCACTTCAACACACCCTTTCCTTTGTCTGCATCCCACGATTGCATGTGCATTGGTCTTCACTCCTCGTCGGCTCTTATATGTGTTGACGTCAACCAGAAGTACCGTACTCCCAACTTTACACCTTCCCCCACTTTCCCCCTTTGTTACCCTTATCTGTTTTTCTTTTTGTATCATACTCGTTCTTACTAGTTCTGTCTGTGTGCACGCATATTTTGTACGTACGTACGTGTATTGGTACATGTTGCATGTATGTTGTGTTTGTGTGCATGTTTTTAATGTTGATTTTGTCTTTTCGTCGGGGCTAATTGATTTGGTCATGCTTTCCTTTCACTCTTCGCTATCAGTGGGACAAGGCCTTGTGGCTATTTCTCTGGCTTAAGATTACAAGGCATAAGCAGATTGAGAAATTCACAGTAATTGAACTTAGGCAGAGATTGTGCTGTATGCACTGACAGATCACAGAGGGCCACATTATATTATATAAATGCTGTAAGCTCAAAACAAAGTTGTATTAAAAGGAGACATTCTGCAACCCTTTGTGCTCTGTTTGATCATAATAGGCTGCAGAGCAGTATAAGTATTAAATATACAATATGTATATATTATAATTGTGTATGGTACTTTTCATCTCAAAACATACACACTTAGATACTCATGCACCACAGCTTAATTAGTAGTTAGGTTGGAGACAGTACTGTTCATATATTGACATAGATCATATCTGACGTTTGTGTATTTAAAGATTCTTGCTTACTTCGAAGTTTTTACTACTTAATATTCTAAGACTCATAGAATGCAGTGGTGAGGCTAATCCTAATGAATGATTGTGTAGCAATGACACAAAGTTACAGTGAGTAATATAGTTCGAGTCAGACTTTCATATTACAGTGAAATTTCAGCACTGTATATGATGGTTTCTTGCTCACTGTGCATGTATCAGAGAGTCATCTAGTCATGCAATCCAAACATTAATACGTTGAACTAGTCTAAACTGTATTTCTTTATTTAGTATTACTTTAGTTTAGAGACTACACGCTCAATGGTGGCTGTTGTTCTTCCCTCTACCTGAACTAGTACTCATTGATTCGGGTGAATGGCATCTCGGAATAGAAAAGTCCGTCTGAGAGTCTGCCTCTGAGATGGTGTCTGTAGGCTGAACAACTTCGAGATTGCCAGTCGGGGCCATTGGATGGATTTCTTCAATCTCTGCCGCTTTGACCTTTTTGTAGTACTTGCTTGCTGTGGATCGACGGGAATTCCGACGGCAGTGATTTGTAGAATCACTGTCTGCACTCTCGGACGGTTCCGTACTGTTTGCAGCCTTGCGCTTCACTGCATGGCCATGTTCACCAGTTAGATCAATTGTTCCATCGACTGATGCTTCAGGAGGAGCACTTTTCGGACTTCCGCCGTCGTAACTCATAGTACCGTCTTTATGGTGACGCGTCCCGTCGATGCTCGTCTCCCCTAATTCCTTTGCAAGCCTTTCCACCTTTCTAGAGTCATTGTGAACTCCACAATGGCAGAGGTAGGAGATACAAGCTGCTTACCGTCCATCTCTGTAACAATTTTTTAAATGAAAGCATGCATCAGGACACTCAGAGAAAGTATTGGTATGTGCAATAAACTCACCGTTTGTTCTTCATCCAATCCTGAACACTGGGAGCCAATCATTGGTATCAGTAGAGAGATGATACTGCCACGTACTCTTTATCGTCCATAATGTTCACGGTTCTCAGCTATTGTTCTTCGTTATCAATTGCAAACTCGAGTTTCGTCCAAACCAACAGTAACAGTTGTGCAGGTATTTATACTTGAAGTTTGCAGCAGGTAAGGCGAAGAATGTGCAAAGGGGTCCGATTTACTGTCCATTCTAATTCACTAATTGATCAGGAGCGAAATAACCGAATGCAAAGGGTAGGCAGGTCTAAGTCTACTGCTAAGGTGGACAAGAGTCAAGTTTTCAAATAGAATCTCTTGGTAAATGTGTAGATAATTTGAAGTGGGTGTATTCCAGCTCTGGCAACGTTCTCTAGATGAG